GCAGCGAACAAGAAAAGTTTGTCATTTAGATGTGGTGATACGAAGCGATGGATAAACGTACTTTTACTGAGGACAATTACTTTATAAGAGCATTCGAAGTTTTTGAGGTATAATATCCAGAAACTCATTAAAAATTATTTGCACCCCATTTAGTTAACAAACATCATATGGACTTTCCTATCATAATTTTTACGACATTTCCAAACGAAAAAGAGGCTGATTCAATATTAAAGACGTTGTTGGATAAGAAATTAGTTGCTTGTGCCCAGAAAACCTTCCAAGTTGAGTCTAAGTACCTATGGAATGGACGAGTAGAAACTGACAGAGAGGTACAAACTAAGATGACTACATTTCACGGTTATATTCCGCAAATTGAACGTGTTATGTCTGAGATGCACTCATACGATGTTTATCAGTTCATCGTTGTAAAGTTGGACTATGTAAATGAAAAATATCTAAAATGGATGAAAGAGGTCATTGACAGCAATAAGGAATAAACTTGGTTTCATTATGGTATTGCTTCGAACCATAAGCGTTGAGTCGAGCAATCTGTACACGATGTGTATGCAGCTTATGTTCATAGTTTTAACACAGCTACATTGTGAAAATATAGATTGTAAATGGTGGGCAACGTCGTCTTCTATGTCCATGCTATTTTTTAAGTGGAACGCATGGTGTTAAAATTCTTAACAACGGATAATATGTTTATGCGGGTATCGCGTTTATAACTTCAGTGCGATAGGTAAAAAATAGAATAGTGCACATGCTATTTCAAACGTCAATTCCGAATGAATTTAAACTTTCTAAGGATCGGTGTTCTCTGATCAACATATTGAAACAATCATCCTTTTTTAGACGTAAACATACAATAATGCGCTTTATTTCGAATTTTCACATGGGTTGCTGCTGAATATTTATGTATGCGCGGATTTTATACCGATTCTAATAACATTAATTCTTATTTTGATGTTCTCGATAATATATGGATCTTAGACGACGATTTATTCCATTACCCCTAAAAAGATAATCTATATATTTTACAGGTCTGTCTAGTTTTATCATGAACGTTTCACTATTCATGTTTCTTTTCCTATTTAAAATTGTATACCCGACATTTTCAATTATAAGCTCAAAATAATCACTGCTGAAATATTTTACCTTCATATATATAAAACCTACGTCATATTTTTCTGATAGAATGATCACTTGCTTATGAAGCTGTTTCACGTCAAGTACCATATCTATTGTATCACAGAGGCTCATCGGATACATTCTCTGCGGTGGCAGCTTCTTGACATCCTTGTCGTTGAATACATAGTACCACTTGCAATACTGTATAAAGAGATAGAGATGGTTCTCGTAATTGTCAGGCAGTGTTGGTTTCTCAAGAAAATCATCGATGTCCATTTCTGTGTTATACGTCTTAACTTTTGTTAAACTGAGATCACTTATGTATATTGCTCTTTCTAACATCATTTTCGAGTTGATTTGACTTAGTAACTTTTGTTCCTTTTCATTTTTGCTCTTTCTGTCCATCCACATCTCTAACCAAAAAGATTTTAACAATACACCAAAACTCTTTTAAAACACACGAACACCTTTGATTCGTGTTATTACGAATAATTTGCATCTTTTACAAAAACGCCTCGTGCTTTATTTCGCGTAACACGCGCATTGGTCAAAATTGGTATTGAACACAACAAGTAATACTATGTTAACATCTATTTATCAATACTGATATAAAAGTCAAACGTTTTTGAATGACCTATTGCATGAAACCATGATCGTTAACAACGCTTTCGAAAATTATGCGATGCAATGTCCCAACGGAGATTTCAGAAATTTTGCCGTTTTCATCAAATAAGCCCGATCTCTTTAGATAATGAGGCTCATTTCGAATATAATTAGAAAATGATTCAGTAAAGTATTTTCGTGATTCATCATCTATTGCCAGCCAAAATGATGATTTTAATGAAGCAAAAGTTAAAAGAAAAATCCGAATATGAAAATTATACCTGTCATGATGTATAAGAAATGTTACCAATATTTCCACATGTTAAATATGACAAATATTTTGATCGCAGTGTTAGGTACAAATAAAACTTTTATACGGTAATAATGAAGAATATGATTTTAACTCATAGTTTTTAAAATCTGTGCCATAATCAAAATGTTTCTACCAATATAATATCGATGCTGTATAGATTATATACTGCAGCACTAATATTTGTGGAAAAATCCTGCGAAAGCGTGCCTTAAATGTTATATAATACGTTTGCATATTCTCATAAGACTCATATAACGTGTGAAACTCTATAACAAGGTCACGATCTAAGATCAATAGACTCTTTACGTGAATATAACGTATCGCATACTAACATAAAAAACAAACCGCGATTATTCCTTCTAGAAAATAGCGGTGAAATCACAGAAATATATTCAAAAGGATGTATAGTAAGATTAAAATTTTTAACAAGCTGTTCTTTATTGAACCAATACAAAATAACATTACCTTACAATATTAGTTTCCTCGTTAAATTAGCATTGAACGCGTTCACTATCATTTTCTTTTTCTATCTGCTTCAGAACGTTTATCATTAGTTATTTCACTTTCTAAAGCATCCAAGATTACACCTACAGGCAAATTTGTCCATTCCTCTGGTAACCTTTCTATAAAATTTCTGTACTCTGTCTCAATTTCTTTCAAAGTACTTTTCTTTTGCTTGTCCAACGTGGTTTTTATTGTTTTGTCATCGTAAGCCATGGGGGTATTGCTGCTGAGTTCTATTCAAATGTTTTTGTTCCAAGGCATCGTGTTGGGGATAGCAATAGATGCTGTTCCAAGCCAAATTTCTTTTTGATGACCGAGAGAAATAACCATAAAGTGTAATATTTTTGAAAATAATGGTTAAAAACAACGTGTGGAGATCAATTCAGTAAGCAACAAGATCTATTTATTGCAATATAAGACTTATGCAAATAGTTATAAAATGCCAAGATTCATATTTAAAATTCCAAGTGTACAGATTTAGTGAACCAAGCATCGCCATTATATCCTGAAATTTTCTTGCATTCAATAGTGTGAACTACAAGGTGTTTGCAGGATGGTATGACTGCTGAACAGACAAACTTGAATTGCAAAAATAGCATTTTAGCTATTTATCCAAAAGTCTATTACTAACTCAAGTTGGAAATTTAGTTAAATGCCATAAACCTTCTATTACAGATGAAAAACATTGTTTTAATCCAAAGAAGAAGTAAAAAACAGTACAGTAACAGGATAAATACTGAGTTCATACAAATTTAACAATTCTAGACAGGTTGAACATGGCTTTACGAAGCGATACGTGGAAGCATTGTTTAAATAAGATAAATTGCGCGATAAAAGTCTCTCACTAATGAAATACCCATGTTTTCAACATGATATAATAGTCATATGTTATTTAAGGAGTTTGTTCTTACGTTTGCTGCTACTGCCAGATTTATCAGTCATTTATTTTTGAAATTAGGCCATTCAAACTTATTTTACACTTCAGTTTTTGTCACTCATTCGTGTTGCTGAGATATAAACATATATTGCCACATTACCATTTCCTTCAAAAACCAAAAGCTTACCCCCATCAGTTTCGAATATGTCGATTGAGCAAAGTTTTACGAGACGACATGTTGACCTCGAATTTGTCATAAATGAGCGGAAACTACTTACTAAAAAAGAGTTTGAGCTGACACTTCCCAATTCAAACTATGACAATTATGTAAAGGAATTTTATCGACGGAAAATAGCAAAATTTTACGAAAGAAACTGCAATACACAGTGGTTTATCGAGAAATTTTTTAGTGATTCGTTCTCTAAGGACAAGATTTTAGAGCGTTACCATAATTTCAGCCAAAAAGTGGAAAGCGACTTTTTAGTTCTCGATTCCAAGAGTGAATTTACACGTAGATTCAACGAGGTGGACAAAAAGTACATTTTTCTTGAACGCATTCCACCGAATTATAGTGAGGATGACGTTTGTGAATTATTGAGACCATTCAAAGAAATTAAAAAGCTTGAGTTGTCAAAATCGAACTATAACACGGTTTTTGATAGAGAAGCGGTAATCACCCTTTTTCCTGACTCGGATTTGTTGTTATGTAAAGAAAAAGTTGAAGAGCTGTGTACAAAGGGAATTCTCGTACAGCCATTCGAGTTAGGTGATGAAATAATAATAAAGAGCGCCTGGGTTGACTGCAGAGACAAAGACAGCGCCAATTTAAGAAAGATATTTACGATACTTAACAAGAATTATAAGACCAACATTGCCTATGAATGTGATAATGACGATAAGTTCATAACATTTTTGCGCCATGTGTTTTTGTATTGCTACTATTGTTCTCGTCATTTTGAGACAGAGATCGAAATGATCAGGAAATGTGGCGATTACCATGTGAGAGATGACCGAGTGCAACGGAGAGTGTTCGATCGTAAACAGAAAATTATAACAATGGAAAGAGACTTTGGGTACTTGAAAATGGATTCCCCAGAAACCGAACTCGAGAAGTATATTATTAAGGTGACCGATAGTGTATTTAGGTGTGATCTCTGCCACAAGACATTTGAGCAGCTAGTATACGTTAAAAAACACATCAAAAACAAACATGAGGAGCTTTACTCTGATATTGAGCAAGGAATAGTTAGATTTAACAGTTTTTTGGGTAGGATTGATATAAACTTACTTAACTATTTCGATGGCATTGATAACAACTACTTGCCTACGTTTTGTGTTCACGAAGAGGAAGGTAATGCCGTAAAGTACGATCTTAAAAGACTGTTTTCGGGTGATATAAAAATAAGTAAATAAATAGTCTATATACGGACATCGCACACGTTTTATCGCTCGCGACATCGTTGTAAAAACCTATAATTGTGCTGAACGGTGAAGAATCATGTTGCTTTTACATTGTATTGTATTTCATTGGTGGATACTTCTGTAACGTTGCACGGACAGGTATAAAAGTGCTATTCGTACTACTTCTGAATCTAAATGTTTAATGCTATCTAAAAAGCATATTACAGCGGGCAACGTTTCCTGTCTGAAAAACAAACTCTTATGATACATTATGTTGCGAATTTCGAATACCAAATTACAGCACAGATATCTTTGGCAGACCAAAGTGTTACACCTAATCTAATTAAATGCACCCACTGTTCATACGTAAGTATTCATGTTTTTTGTCAAAAAATTTCTACTGTTTGTAGGTCGCATAATGATAAATATGGTTATAGCCATTATAGCGGTATGAGCCGCTGGCAAGAAATTAACAAGGGGATGTATGACGAGAATTTAAATGTTGTAACCATGGTTCTGCTCCAAGTTGCAAATAAGTATTGGTTAGCTTGAGATAAATCATTAATTGAGAGCTTATTCAGTATTTAGGGTATTACATCTATTGAACACGCTTGCAACAATACACATCAAGTACAGTATCAAATTCCTGTATGCAAGACAAACCGTTGTCATTAATATCCACGGTGCTGTTTTAAATTAAATATTTGACGTGCACCCTAGGGATGTTCATGTATGTTGTATTGGATTTAAGGCGGAATAGTTGGGCACAGCTGAAGAACCCTGGAGAGCTATGCAACAATATCCTGGTGTTAGTCAACACATTCATAAGGATGTCATACGACAATAAAGCTATTGTAATCAATAATAGGTCGCAGAAAGTTTATGATCACGACCATCCAGTAGTAGATGAAAAAGATGAAAAGATTGTCAGTGATATTTTTGAATACAATGATATCGACAATATTGCCAATGACATAGGATATACCCTTACCATAGCTAAAAACACAAGCAACAACAGAATTATTATTATCTCATTGTCAAGAGAGAATAACAAGGATTATCTAAAATATCTGAAATCAGCTTTTGTTGCCAAGAGATACAGCGATAGATACAATATATCTGTATTAAGCCACCATAAAAACCCGGCTCTTTCGGAAATCGGATGTTTTTACAACAACTTCGCACTAAGCACATTTTTACAAATACTGAGTGGTAAAAAACCACAAAAAATTTTCTTCTGCTCCACAAAATGCAGCTGCCATGATAGAGAAATATTGTACGGATTGGTGTGCCCTGTTTGTCTATCGATATACTGCTCACTAATTCCGATATGCAAGAGATGTCGAATCAGATTTAACTTCAAGAAATAGCATGAACTTAAAAAGTTTAAAAAGTGCTCTCGGAACCATCGTTTGATCACTCTTTTTCTAGAACTGGTTGCTTGCCATTCATGGCCTGTAAATAAAAAATTATTCTAAGAATTCAACTATTTTGAGAAAGACAATTATGCCTTGATCTCTACTTCCTCAATGCACTGGCGTAAGGATTTATGCTGAATTATTAAAGAAAGGCCTTGTCATACCAACAAAATTTTCCTTCCGATCAACAAGATATTGGTCTTATGACACACTGCAAAACTTGGATCGGTACCAAAGTTTAATCGATGTAGAAAGCGCACAAGTGCCGTATATTTCGATGCCTGCTCCATAAAGTTGAGCTTGTGCTGCTGCAACTGGTCCCATATTTAGCTGAATCTTGGTTTCTGCTGTTTCTTCAACGTATTACCTAATAATTCGATCTTTTATGTGCAAGCCAACGGCTGTTCACGCAGCTTACTGATTTTTCTTTGAACCAGTTTTATGAGCCTTTAGCTCCATTGGTGTGTCATCTACACTAGTTATGCCCCATAATGATCTTGATAAAATCAGATGATTAATTTTGCTGTTCAAGCTCATTTAACTGAACCATACACAACGTTCTATTATTCGGAGTATGTTGTAAACTTAATCGTAAGTGACGCTAAAACTCGTAGCTCAAGCTATGTAAGTAAACATTTCACGCCAAAAAATGGTCATTTTTATGTGCAAAAATGTTTATTAGACTCGTTATCTTATTAATATTCTCATAAAAGCGATTCTTAATGTATCAATGGTGATTTTTTGATTGTGAAATATAATTTGGAATACATACTGAAATTTTGTATATCCATGTTCGAACAAGTGCATTATTCTTAGCAATTATATAATTCATAAACAAAAGACCAATAAAATAGCCTTACTTACCATTTTCAATAGGTTTATTTCCAATAGACATATTCTCATTACATTATTCCCAAGTCGATTTGAAATATAATCAAAAATACTATGTGTCTGAGGAAAATGATGGCATGTAAATGGGACACATGCTTGTGGTAGGATTGACAAACACAGTTAAATAAATTTAGAAATTCTATAAATTGTTCGCTAAAAAATTTTATCCCTTCATGAAAAGGTATTGTAAAGTGATACTTGAAACGGTTATAAGACCGTTTGAGGACAAATTGTCCGTGTTTCTACTCTTATTGCAGGTGGTTAGTGTCTTCATGGTGGATAGTTCTATATTTGACTTTTTCATGACTCTCCTACTTCTATATCTCAACAGCTGTCTTGAAACATTACAGAATTACAGAAACAACAGGGAGATTAGCAAGTTTAATAGTTTCATGAAAATTAAGACAAAGAAGCTGGATTTTAACAAGTTGGTACTGACAGAGGAGATAGGGGTTGGTGATATTATTCATCTCAGTATAGGTGACAAGATACCTTCAGACTGCATTCTCATAGATCAATCAACTTTCAAAGCCACCAAGTTCTTGAAGGTCAACGAAAGTATCCTCACAGGTGAGAGTATAGGTGTGATAAAGAAACAGAGCAAGGTTACATTAGAAGATGCGTTTTTGTTTTATGACTTCTGTTGGAAGAATTCTGATGTGAATAACGGCGTGCTGGAGCGCGATTCTGAACTGAGAGCAATTCTTGAAGAATATGACGAAAAAAGAAGAAAAAAGCTTTTTAAAACCTTAAGGCGCATAAGAAGGTACAAAAAGCAAAAGAAAAGAGTCTTTTACGGTGGAACCTTTGTGCTGCAAGGAACAAGTTTGGCACTTGTTATCGACAAAAGTAGAGAAGTGCTAAAAATACAAACTAGCCTGACAAATATCACGAGCGAATTAACAAGCGAAGTCCAAAGAATACAACATATACTATTTATTAGTATTTTGTCTGTTTGTATAGTATTGTTCATCTATTGTATGCTGGTGGGCAACATGTCAACCCTGAAAGTATGTACTTCATTGGCGGTTACCGCCATACCGGAAGGGCTAGACCTCGTTGTTCGTATAAATCTGAGCGTGATTGTGTTTAAACTGAAGAAGAATATGATATTTATCAAGAAATTGGTGTCACTTGAAATCCTTGGATCAGTGAACATGATTGTGCTTGATAAGACAGGGACAATAACTACCAATGAACAGATGATAGACCAGATAATTGAGGTTTGGCCAATTAAAAGGATCTTTTCGGTGGACAGTAAGGAGAAAGGATCAAATGATGGCAATCCAACTGGCCAAAATAATAATGATAGGGTGCAAGGGACCAACTTCGAATTTAAACCGGTGTGTATCAGCGAGAATGAAATATTCATGGCAATCTGCAAACATCTGAGCGAAGTAATAACGGTAGACGATAAAAAAATGGGTGATCCGCTGGATATTTCTATGTTTGAGGCCGTACCCGATTGCAAATCGAAGTTATTATTTTTTAAGACATTCTGTTGTGAAAATATGGTGACACGTGGAATAATAGAGCTTGGAAACAATTATTATGAAATCCTGAAGGGTGCACCTGAAAATGTCCTTGCCCTTTGCCATTCCTACAATTCCGATAGTAAAAAAAGTGCAAAGATAAAATCTTCTGATAAAAAGTGCATTTTGAGTAATCTGAAAGAAAGGTCGATAGCATGTGCATACAAACGACTGAACAAACGATACATAACGAAGTTGGTACGAAATGTCACTGATGTGAGCAGCGGCCTTGAAGATAAACAGTTGAAAAAAAAGAACTACAAATTGCTTGGTTTCATCACGTTCAAGGACACTTTGAGAGAGGGTGTCAAAGATTGCTTCAAATGGTGCCAAGCAAATGATGTTAAAATACGAATATTAACAGGCGATTCGAAGCTTACCACGATGAACCTTTTGAATGGAATCGGTATCCAAGGAGAGTTTTGTAGTGCCAAGAAATACATAGATCGGAATTTAAGCAATGCTAATTTTGAAGATGATGGTGCTGTAGAGCTGAGCAACACAGTTACGGCAACGAATCTCTCTTCAGCTGGTCGCCACGTGAACAAAAACCGCCATGAAGAAAAGTTCTTCGAAGTTATTTACCGTGCATCTCCATCGAACAAGCACACGGTTCTCAAACATTTGGGAAAGAGCAATAGAATTTTGATGACCGGAGACGGTGTAAATGATCTTTTGGCGATAAAACAAGCAGATGTGGGCGTATCACTGGGCGAAGGCTCGGATCTGAGCAAAGAGGTAAGCGATATAATACTTATCGACTCGGATATAAAGAATATTTTAATTTTGCTGGGTTCAGGACGAGTAGCATTGCACAACGTAAAAGCTCTTTTAAAATACCTGATAAGCTCTAATATAGGAGAAGTGATCGCGGTGTTTCTGGCAATAGTAACTAACAAGGCAATTCTTAACTCCAAACAACTCCTGTTCATTAATCTGCTGACAGATGGTTTGCCAGCCACGCTGATGTGTATGAACAGGGGGCATGGAAAAGGGCGGTTTTTGTTCTTCAGAACGACTTTGATAGCTGCCTACCTTGGTTTTACCACGTACCTTATACAGGACAAGACAAAATCGTTTTTGTTCATTGTGATAGGTGAAATGCTCAACTCGCTCAATAACATAAACTTAGGAGTTAGCCTTTTAGTTTCATGCAGACAAAACCCTCATCTTGTATTAGCCGTGTTTCTCACGTTGGCCTTGCTTTTTGCCATAACCAATATAAACATCTTTTCCTGGATTTTGAATGTTGAAAAAATAACACTTCGGGAGTTCCTTAATCTGATGCTTTTGGCATTTCCGATCATCCTGATCGATGAAGTTTTTAAACAGTTCAGTTAAATAAAAAAGCAGTTCTACTTTTCAGGCTTACAGCAATAAGCATATCCTATTGGTTGTATAAACCACTGGTTTAAGCATTTAAATTTTTATTATAACACTCAATTGGACGTGATAAGAAGATCACGTGTGTACTCGATAAAGAACACATCAACTTTTGTCGTGCTGTCTCCTAAGCATGAACACCAACCTATAGAAATAACCCTAACAGACTATCAATACCATTATAATGCACAGAATAAAGCTTACGGCTTACAAAAGAGTTTTTATCAAGTTGACATTTTAATTCGCTATTATGATACTTTCTTATAATTTCTAACACGTAAAAACGTAATTTGGTCAGTGCACCAAAATAATAAGTTAATCTATGACACACTGACAAAGAACTGATCCTTTGATAGCACATGCGTCCGAGATCGTATTTGTTCGGTCAGCTATGCTCTTAAACCTAATACATCTTAAATTACACATCTTATATCTTTAAATTTTCTATGTTTAACCACTCCTTATCCACTTCTGTTATATTGACAGCATATTTTTTTCCATTTTTTTCTGTCAGATATTGAAATACAAAATACTCGCTGTCAATATCCTTTGAATTGCGATCAATGTACACTTTCGAACCGTTAAAATAGTATTCGTCATGCACCCTCTTACATAAATGATCATAATACGTGATAAACAGTATTTTAGCAATTTTTCGCTTGATATCGTTCGTAAAATTAAATGTTTTATCCTTTAAATTATCATATTCGAGTATATCTCTAATTTTACCACCAATATTGCCCATTTTACTCGCACACTTTTCTTCACCTCTTTTCGTGCCGGGTACTTTCGCACAGCTATTTAACAACTCCTTATCGTGCAGATTATTGTTTATATTTCTGTGTGACAATATTATTTTTGCTTTTACAAATAAATCAGAAATATCGTTATGATACAAGTGCTCGAAATCCTCTCTTTTTATCTCTATATCAGAATCTAAAATGGCAATTATTAACTTGATTTCATCAAAACTATATTTCAGTAATATAACAGATAATCGCGGTTCAAATGGATATTTTACGATCAAACTACCTAATTTTGTGATCTTACTGTTCTTTATTGCGCCTATTCTTTCCAATACCTTCCGACTCTTCTCCAGCTTTTCGTTACTTAGCTGATTAATAAAAATATTTTTTCTTACCTTGAAGTGGAACAGCACCAGCAAAAAATAATCCAAACTCGTGTTCTCCGACTGTGGGGTGCTAAATTTTCCCATGTTTTCGAAGAACGTTGGGTTATAAATACGATAGCATTCACCAGCCTCTGTTCGCCCTGCCCTTCCCCTTCGCTGCTCAGCCGAGGATTTCGAAATAGGTATAACAGGATATGAGCGCAGTGTACCATCGCTGATACAACTTTTTTCGTACCCACAGTCTATTACGTATTTTATCGCTGGTATGGTCAGACCTGTTTCGGCGTAATTTGTAGCTAAAACGCACTTTCTTCTGTTGCTGTAGATTCTTTGCTGACTCGCCAACGACAACGAGGCGTGAAGTGGTATAAAGTCAATTTGATCGTTAATTTCTCCCAAGTTTTTGATCATCGAATAAATTTGTGCCTTGGATGTAAGAAACACAAGGATACTGCCTTGTCCTTTGTTAACAATTTCCAGCACTCTGTCCATTATTTCCGCTTCACCTTTGACTCGGTCATATGAAGCAAATTGACTACTTACATCTATTCCATCCGGTTTATATTTATCCGACTTGCAAAGCTTGCCATGCCAATGGTGCCGTAGATCAGTGTCTGCGTAGTGTACAGCAACAGGATACAGAATAGATTTTACTCTTACTTCACCATAATCAGAAAAAAGATCCTTGACTTTGTCGTGTGGTGTGGCACTCATCAGAATAACCTTAACGTTCTTGCGTATCTTTGCCCATCTAGAAAGCAAAGGCAGCAGTACTTCCAAGTTAATCGTCAAGTCATGCACTTCGTCAATTATAACCACATCATAATTCGATAGCATGACATCATTTATCATCTCCTTGAGTAAAATACCATCTGTTACAATTTGTATTCTCGTTTTTGGCGTTATGTTATTATTGAATCTAAATCTGTATGCTGCCACCTTTTCATTGGTCTCGTAGTTTATTCTTTCTGCTATGCTCACGCACGAGATTCTTCGTGGCTGAGTCATTAAAATTTGTCTAAAGTTGTTTTCAAGGAGCATTTGTGGCACTTGCGTTGATTTACCGCAGCCAGTGCTTCCACTCACGAAGACTATGTTATTCTCGCGTATCGAAGAAATAATTTCGTCTTCCTGGTAAACAATTGGTAACTTCTCTCTCAACTTTTTTATCTTTTCTGTTCTATTGAAACAAAAACCGCTATATATCTGAGCTTTTTTTTCATTCTTTGTGGATGTGTGGCAATCTTCTGTACAGGAATCCTTGTACACATCCTCGTTTTCAATTTGGTCTTCATATTCCCTTGGTATATCAGATTCTGCCATCCTCAGTGTTATTGCTGGTTCCATTTCACAAAAACGCTTCTTTTCAGCCTTTCCGTTCTTTGCATCATTCCTGCTCCTGCTCGTTTTTTTTTGTCTATTTGGTTGATCGGCTTTAGTAAAACAAATAGATCTACCATCTACACCAATTCCTTTTTCTGTAACGGAACAGGCCAGGCTTGCAGAGCTAATCTTGTTAAATAAATCCTTTCTTAACGCATCTCTTCGCCGCTTGTCTTTGTACTTCTCCAAATTTTTTTTAGTTCTGGCTACTGACATGGAAAGGGATGAAAAAATTTGAAGATAATCATTTTAATTAAGCAGAGACAATCACTCGGCCCCCAACCGCTTCAATCTTTCTCTTTGCTTCTTCAGTGAATTGTTTAGCTATCACCACCAAAGGCTGCTTCAACGACAACTCTCCTCTACCCAGCACTTTGTGTATGCCATGGGCCCTACAGTCAATTATCGGTGCCTGTCCCTCAACAAATTCATTTTTCCTGATCAATGCAAACAAATCACCGGTGTTAGTGGCATTCAATCGCAGAGCCTGAGTCTTTCGGTGAAAAATCTTGATGCCTCTCTTTCCGAAATAATCCGGATGGTATTTCTTGAAGAGTGTTTTGTGGTGTGTTAGACCACCACACTTACCCCTGCCTCCCGGGTGCTTGCGATGCTTACCCACACGTCCATACCCATGGCTCACGTGTCCTCTTAGCTTCCTTGTCTTGGTGCGTTTGTGGAACATTTTGCGAAGGGCAAAAATTTTTAGGACCTAAAAGTCCGCTGCCAATTACAACGCTAAAATGTTCCATCCAATCCAAAGAAAATGTTTGGTTGTGCAGGTCTCAATAAACGATAACTAAGCATGGTTTATGGTTATTAAATGAACATAAAAAATATATGGTGCGTTGAGAGCTATTGTTCTGCGGTGCACGATAGATGCTTTATACCTTACTATAAACATCGTGAATTTTGATCAAGCAATAAACTATTTTTATTATCTGTGAAACACGACAGACCATTATTAGATGACTAAACAAATTTTTTTATCCAATCTTGCTCAAATGTTGATTCAATTGGGAGCAATTGTGGCAGAATCGATGGTTTTAGTCGTGAAATTTGCTAAGATGATGATATGTGCTTATTTACCGAAAGAATTGATCCCCTGTAAATGAGCGAATCGTTTGACAAGCTAAAATTATCGAACGAAACAAAAGAGAGACTGCGAGCGATTTCTATAACAAGTCCAACCAATGTGCAAAAAGATGTAATTAGATCATTTAACGATGATTTAATAGTAGAGTCGCCGACTGGAACGGGAAAAACTCTGGCATACTTGGTGCCCATCATAGACTTTTATCTAAAAAATAAGCCTAGAAGGATAGTGGCCTTGATTTTGGTTCCGACCAGAGAGTTAGCTCAGCAAGTCAGTAGTGTTCTTGTCAATCTTGGTGTAAAAAGCACCGTCATAATTGGTGGCAACAACGAAGCTCTAAGCTTTGATGAGATATTGGTGGCAACTCCCGGAAGATTCAACAAGATATTGCTCAACAGCAGAACTATCATGTGTCCAAGGACAAACGTTCCTTTGCACACGCTTCTAAAAAAAATAGATTTTCTAATCCTTGATGAAGCGGATAAGCTGCTGAGCCTGGGATTCCGAAGTCAATTGCTGAGTATTACCGCTCAGATAAAGGCAAAAAGAAATGCACTGTTCAGCGCCACTATGAATGACGATATCTCTTCTCTGTGTAAAAGCTTTCTAAAATCTCCAAAAACGATAAAAAACCACGAGAAAATACCCTTGGATATACGCTATGTCTGTGTGAATCCATTTGGTAAACTGAGCATGCTTTATAATGTGATAAAACGGAATAAAAAGGTAATTTGCTTTTTTTTGACATGCAACGAAGTCGATTACTTCTATTACCTGTTCACAGCGCTCGGTATAAAAGAAATTGCAAGAATCCATGGGAAAATGAAACAGGAAGAGCGAAACGCGGTGTACAAGAATTTCAAAAGTGTGTTGTTTGGAACCGATCTGGCATCACGAGGCATTGATTTTTTGGGCGTTGACGTGGTAGTGCATTTTGATATACCACTGGATCCTGAGAGTTTCGTGCATAGAAGTGGTAGAACCGGAAGAAACAACAAACATGGACGGGCATTGCTGTTTATAACCGACAACGAAAAGAAATACCTAAATTATTTGAAAGTTAAGAAGATTGACATTTCCGAAGAGCGGAGTATTCGTGATGAGACAGGTAATGGTGTGAACGATCACAATGATGACGTTGAAGATAACGTTAAGAAACCAGCAAATGTGGATCGAATGGATCAGCCAGCAAAGAAAAAGAAAGTGGACTATGAAGGGATGGAAGTGGAAAATAAAATAATGGAAAAAGATAAATTAGCATGTTCTAATGATGAAAATATATGGAATGCATCACGCTACGTATGCTTGGATAGGAAAGAAAATGAAAGCAATAGAGATATACTGATCGAAAGCGATCGTGGACAGGATGTAATGAGCTTTAATGATACAAGCCTATGTCTATTCGAGAATTTTGAAGCTATGAAAGAGTACATAACCGATGAAATACTAAAATTATCGGTGAAAGCGTTTGTGGCCCATATATGTGCGTATAAGGAGCACAAGTTGAGATTTCTCCTCGATTTTAAGGAACTAGATTTCGATTCTTTAGCCAAGCTACATTTCCTGGTAAAGATACCTAAAATGAAGGAACTGCACGGTATAAAATTTAAAGATTATGACAATAAGCAGAGGATAGAATGATTGGCTGGTAAACAATTGTGATTTTGGTGCTGATTGTATTTGTAAGAGTTTAATATCGAACGAGTCATCAGCGCATTTTTTCATAACTTTGTGTTAAAAGACTATAACTGCCACGGAGTACGTATTTATTAATAAATGTATTTCTTTACGAGTTCACGGAGCAGATCAACGTCTATATCCGATTTCTTTCTGCTCTCCATAAACTCTGGCTCTTGCAACTCGACGGATTCGAGAAAATCAAGTATCTCCCGACAATTTTCATAAAAATGTTCTCCCATGCAACTACTAGCTTTCGATTTGATAAATTGCTTGCATTCTAAAAGTTTCGTTTGCCTCAAAAACACGTTCGGTAGTTGCAAATTAGCCTCCTCTGGACAGATAAAATAATCTTTTTCATCATCGTTAACGTTTAAAACTAGATCTATAGATTCCAACATTTCAATATACTTTTCCAAATCTATCGGTGAGTTTAATATACTTAAAATTTTTTGGAGTTTGGACTCATTCGACATGGTTGAGCTGGGGTTGGAAAAGTTAATAAATTAGATCGATGAAAATTTACCGATATGCCTGCGAACAGTTTTTTAGCCGATTGTACAGCTGTAATCACTCCAATGAGTCGTTTTAATCGTACTATGATTTGTCTAAGATGTTCTTGCCGATGGGCGCTATTTATCGAGGTATTATTAACCATGCAGGTTGCTTGTACAAACTACATTGCCTTTTCATGAAAGAGAGACCTTTGTACCAGATTATAACGCTCATACTTGAACTACATAAATAGTCATGTTTTCCTCTAATCGTGCGGATCCTGGCAGATCATAAGAAAATCAACAAAAAACGGTAAACATGACAGTTAATGATGTAAATTTGTGTAAAACACGTGGGAATAACACTATTTTTGTTTATTTGACATTAATTCTGAGCAGTGACTATACCTGAGAAAAAAATACTGCAAATGGCGTACCGCCTGAGTTAACTTTTCTTATGGAAGAATATTGTCCAACAGTCCTCATATGAGTAATAGTCATCCCTGTTGGTACAATCTGCCCTTTTGTACGATGGTATGGTGATTTCATCATTGTTAGTTTGACTTGAGGTTGTATATTGCGCATTGCTATGTTTCTACCGCTTTTTATTGAATGTAATCCACATTTCAATCTATGTTCATTCCTTGTTGCAGATAGCACATCCGATGAGAGTGACAACACCGTTAAGTTTTTGCAATTTGAATCGAATATTTATTTCTGGCTTGCAAAAAGACGTAATTTCCGATCAATGTTTAGTTTCTCGCTCCTCTTGAAGGTATAACTTGTGAAAATGGTTAGAAATGAACAAAATTGCTAGCCATTCCGTATATTGGTGTTGCAACATGTACAAACATTTTCTATATGTAAAAAGAGCACACTACTTAATGCTGACATTCGAAGATAGTAATTTCAGCAATATTTACCTTACAAGAAAACAATTTATATGATTACACTTGATTTTAGAACCATAAGCACATTTAGTGTTTGGTATTTAGTATTATACACTAGAAATAGGAATTAAAAAGAAAAGACTCGTTGAGTAACAGGAATGGTTATGGTGGTGTTCAATGAACAAAAATGACGTAAAATATTGCAATGTTTATCATAATTTTTGCAATTCGAAAGCATTCTAAATTCTTGATTGGTCTTTAAAGAGAAAAAATAGTTTATCCCACTAAGTGTTCATCTTCGGTATCATTTAGTAAACTAAAATAAGCATTTTTAACCAATCAAGAATCACAGAATTAAATATTCGTTTTCGTTGTAAATCTCACAGGGAAATGTACAATAAATTATACAATCAAGATTCAATAAGAAATATTTAGTGTAAATGCAGATATATATCATATTTTATACCACAGAAGAACAAGAACCTTTGTGCTGCGGATATTTCCTTCTCTTCCACAGACTTGTTTGATTTTCGTTCCATAATTGAATTTACTCCTGCCCCATCACGATGTTAGTATGCGAGCATTGTGGCAAAGACTTTGTATCATGTGATGGAATACTGGTGTGTGAGAACGGTCATGTACTGGAACAAAACTTAGAAGTTGTTGAAGGAGAATTTTCTGGTCGAAAGGCATCAAGTAGCTTAAAGTTAAGTGAAAAGAAGCAAGCATGCACAAATTTTACGCATCTTCGCATACTTTTCAAGGTATACCAGCACTACAAGGCAAAATACGACTTGGAGGATGATACCATGAAAATTTTTTTGCAAAATATCAAATTTACCGGAGTGTTTATAAAAGAGTCGGAGCGATTAATCTCCACCAATTTACTGGTTCTCATATTATATCTTAGCTTGCGGATTAAGAATGGCTGTAAAAAACCATACTTTGTTAAAGACTTCATAAATGACATTTCCGACCTCGGCGCACTCATAAACAAACATAAGCTAGAGAATGACTGCAGAGAAAAGAATGTCTTGATCTTTCTGGCCAAGGTAAACATGGTATTTCTTATTAATCAGTTGGGCAATTTAGATTTGGACTTCAAGATGAATAAGTACATGTTGACTGCCCTTGACTGCGGATTCGCTATCTTTGTCGAATATTTCTTACGTATCATAAGCGATATTGGTGATGTGTATGATTTTACAGAGGATGAAAACTTTTACAGCTCAGAGCTAGACTTTAGCAAATTCAATTTGGATAAAAAAAACATGGTTGAGTCGCTGTTGCGAATTAGGGCTTATGGTGCAGGAAATGGCATGCCATCAACCGAGAAGAATGTTGCTGATCAAGAAAAGTTTCCCCTGCTTCGAGAAAGCGATTTCAAAGTGCATGTAGATAATAAAAAAGACGGTGACAGGCGTGTGTTTTTCATCAATGCACTTATGAAGAACCTTCATATTATAAACACTTCACAAATTGCTCGCGAAACACTGACTAGCTATTTTCTTAAGTTTGTGTTCATCTCGGACCTATCGGACAGGTTATTCTTCTATGAACTGGAAGTTTGCTCGTTTCTATACGCGTATGTTAAGAGTAAAAGGAAAAGCGACTCGTTTTTGTCGGATATGCTCGACTTCCTACTTAAATACTTGAATTGTTCGGCACCATTTTTCGCAAGGCATGTGAGAAAGGTGTTTAAACTGTTTTCTTCATCCTCGCGCTGATAGTTTTACACGAAAATATGGCAAGAGTCATACATGCCATGTGGATGGGCCCAACGTGGTTACAACCTCTTAAAAATGGTGAGGTGTATTTGATAAATGACACAAAATGTTTTCTGCTAAATTAGACGTAAATAATATTATTTGTTCTCCTAGATGTACTATCATTTCTTTTGAAGAACCATGTTCATACGAATGACCTTCTATACACAGTTTAATTACCAAATACAGAAGGATATGAGCCCATTTATAGAATCGAAAGTACAACTTTAATATACGATCACGTATTGAAATATGCAACTTTTTGTACTAAAAACAGTTATTAACGTGTTTAAGTCTTTCGTTTCTCGTAAAGTTTCCAGGATTTTGTTTTTTATTTTGTATCTTTTTACCGTAATCGGTACTTCATTCCCATCTTTTTTGTTAGAAATAAAACTTCGTTACGAAATATCTTCAACTTGCAGGTCCAGCAGAATAACAACGATGCTCTGCTCCGTTTTGGTAATCATAAATTCTATATAGCTCTTAAATAAACAGCGGTACTAACGTTTTTGTCGTTACGTGCCAGTATGATCCGATGTAGAGCTGTGATTTGAATAATGTGCGATGAAAGGCTGGAATTTACAAAAAGCTCCTGCTATAAATGAATGGAACAAGACAGTCCTATAAATAATGTTAACCTGCTACAGTTCAAACAATAACCGAATCCACTGAAATAATTCACGCTCAAACACATCATCTTCTCCAATAAACTACAATTTGAACAATTTTATCGTTTAGCACGTGTACAACAGCACAGTATAATTCTTGATCTGATAATAAAAGATGTAATTGCTGCTCCTACCCACAAACGATTCGACCACACTGTTGAAACTTTGATTAATTCATCTCCTGTAAATGACGTTCAAAAATGTATAAAAATGCTCATGGTGGTAAATCGTTGCGCTAATGTGATCAGATGATCAACACATCGGTAATTTGCCAGAAATAGCGTTCCATAATTAATCATACACAGCAATACCGCTACATCCACCATCCATATTCCTGACCGAATAAATCCATTGCTCCTAAGTTCCTTTGAACTTCTACCATTTTCCTGTGATCTTAGTCATCAATGGCAGTGATAAATTGCGAGTTAATTTGTCCCGTGATGGAAGGACGAGTATATCCGGAAATAGAATGCAATTTTTATTGAGAACAATTCAACAAAAAGTTTATTAGCAATAAATCATCTTGTGAAACATTCAAGTTACTATTCTTGACAAAATGATTGTTATTGATCAGAATGGACAACAAAATATGTTTATACAGTTGTTGTTCGCTGAGCATGTTTCGGTTCTTGTGTCACAAATACTGAAGAAGGAAGTAAACGATTGATCATGAGTAGATTTAAATTTAAATAAAAAAGTTCCGCGTACTTTATTGCTTTTATCATCATAAAGGATTGTACTCACGTCCAATAACTGTAAAGTACTAGAAAAGATGCGAAAGCCTACTTAACGATATGTGTGAGTGCATATAGCTCTTCCGTACTTGATAAATTATTTGCTGGTAGACTCTCATCTCTGTCCAGAATTGGTTATTATATCATGGTGCTATATTAACACCGCCTCAAGAACTTTTGTTTTTATCCTGTGTTATGTACTATCGCTAAAAATGCTCTCATTCGCTCAGCACAAGTATCTCATTAAAGATAGTGGCTTTGGTTATAAATTCAGTTTCAGATCAGACACTAAAAAACTTTTTTAACACCATTTGTTTCAATTGCTTCTAAAATGATAAGAGGCTGTAATCGTGGACTGTGGGAATTAAAATGTCAGAAAAAGTGAGTGTGTATGTTAGAGTGAGGAATAACTTAGAAAAGGGACTGGATAAGGACAGAAATGACATTTGGTTCCTGAAGGACGATTTGCTGCATCAGAGGGTTGATGAAGATAATTTTATAAGCTATTTTTGCTACAAAAAGGTTTTCTACATGGTCAACAATTGTGATTTGTACAAAGAATGTATAGAACCGAATATTCAGCCGTTCATGTCGGGCAAATCGTTGACCGTGTTCGCATATGGCCAAACTGGAAGTGGAAAAACGCATACAATGACGGGAAAACAAACGGACATGGGAATAATCGGGAGAACGCTTGAGGCTATTTACGACAGCATGAACGGCTCAGCTGAGTGTTATCTATCGTATTTTGAGATTTACAACGAAAACATCATCGATCTGATCAATACCAGCAATAAGCCGCGAATTTTCACCTATAACAATGAATTAATCGTCAAAGGAATAGAAAAAACACCTGTTGCGAGCTTGGAAAAGTCGTTGCGGCTTATAACCGGCTGTGAAGAAAGACGAAAAACAGGACAAACACTGTTTAACATAAGAAGTAGTAGGTCGCACACTATTTTCAAACTAGAACTAAAAAATGCGAACACCACGTCAATGATGACGTTGATAGACTTGGCAGGCAGTGAAAAGGCATCAGGAACGTCTTTGCGCATCAGAGAAGGCGTTTATATAAATAAGAGCTTGTTAGCGCTTGGCAAGGTAATTAATTCGCTGAATAAAAACGAATTCACAAGCTACAGAGAGTCCAAGTTGACACGTGTTTTACAGTCCTCCATGACAGGAAATGTAACACTCATAGCTCTTTGTATGATATCACCTGATCAAAAATGTCTGGATGAATCAATCAGTACATTAAATTTTGCGTCAAGATTGTGTCAAATAGAAATGAAAAATCGAATGTATAACAGCAAACAATTGCCAGCTGAGTCTGTTCTCTGTGATAACTGTAAAAAACAGCTCAACAAGAAAGAGAAAAAACTATCAGTGGACGAAATAACAGACAGCTCCTCCGTAGAGGATTTTACGCTTATAAACCCCGATAAAGTAAAGGAAAAAAATTCGACGGAACAAATAATTCACCTGCAGAACAAACGAATACATAGTTTGGAAAGTATGGTCATCACGTTACTGGGGCAGAATCCATCCCAGCGTGAAAACGAGATATTTACGCTGGAGAAGAACATGTTTAATTTGCAGTTAGAAATGCTGAAGAAACCGGATATGATCAAAGGTGATGAAGACTTCGAAATTAATCAAAAGATATCCTGATCGTGTCCTGAATATGCGGTGACGTGTAAACGATCAGTTAATGTAAGTCCTTATGTTTAAGTTGAATCGTTTGCGCCAATCATACCAAATAATAGTGCGTAATTGAAAATAATTCATGAGAAAATCGCGACTAGATTAAAAAATAATTGTGCTTAATCGCCAAATAAATGCCAATAATTTGAACGGTTTCATTAGTCTCTAAACGTATTACTTGATAAATTGTGAATATTATACTACATTTAGAATTATAAAAAGCTTTAAATAGCGCGAAACTATTTATCATAGTCCGCTTTAAAATAATATGTCTGCCAAAACCTCAAACGTTTTAGAATCAGTGAAACATTTTTTATCAAGGAAAAAACTTATAATTTTTTTTTTGGTTTACCCTGGCATGGCCGCTTTGGAAAATAAGAAGTTTAACATGGTGTACGAGAATGGTGTGTACCGCCACATGCAGTATATAGAGAACATTTCTTGCACACAGAATGGTGCTGAGTCGCTTCACCAAGTTTTTATCAAGTCTGTACAAGAGAAGCCGGGTGGTAAGTTCCTTGGAACGATAAAGAACGGCAAAGTGGAGTACATCACATACTTAGACGGATATAACCGTGTCAGAAAAATATACTCGTTCATCAAAAAAATGAGCCTGGACAAGGAGGAGATTATAGGGATATTCTCTGTCAACCGAGAGGAATGGATAGTTTCTGAACAAGCGATTCTTATGGTGGATGCCATGAGCTGCCCATTATATTCTACATTGGGGGTTGATTCCATAAAGCATATCATCAATGAGACTTGCATGCGTATTATGTTCGTTTCGGGGGAGAAAGCAGAGTATTTGTACGACAAAATACTACCGAACGGTTCTATTGGATTAGAAATTATCATAAGTTATGACCCTATCCCAGAAGAAACGGTTGATCGCTTCGCAAATCTGGGAATATCAGTCTATTTCTTTGATGAAATATACGAAAATTCGACTGAGAAAGACATAACGCTCGATGATCTCAAAGTGCAAAATTCTGTAAATGTGGATAATAATATTTACGATAGCCTGAGAGTGTTGAAGAAAGTTCGGAACTTGTCTCGGTCTAGACTTGACGATGTGATAACAATTTGCTACACGAGTGGGACCTGCGGAAAACCCAAGGGTGCCATGCTTACGAATCGAAATTTTGTGTCTGCCATAGCAGCTTTTGCTCGCGGAGATGATAAAGGGTCTGTAATAGAGATCAGCGATTCGGTTGTTTATATATCGTATCTTCCTTTAGCGCATGCGATGGAAAAGATATGCGTGTGTGTTATTATGTCTGTGAATGCTTGCATAGCATTCTACAGTGGAAATCCGAAGAATCTGCAGGAGGACATGAAAATCATAAAACCATCGTTTCTTGTCGGTGTTCCCCGTGTTTTTAACGTATTTAAGGAGAAAATAGAGGAAAAGGTCAAGGAGAAAGGCATTTTAACGAGGTTAGTGTTCAACTTGGCATTAAAATACAAAAGATGGAAACAGAAAAGCGGATCTGTTTCGAGTTACATCGTGGACAATTTTATTTTCAAGAAGGTGGCAGCAGAGTTTGGAGGAAATATACAATTTGGTCTTTCTGGATCCGCTCCTCTCAATCCAGAAGTGTGTTCATTCTTGCAGGCTGTATTCTCAATGAAGTTATACGAAGGATACGGGCAAACAGAGGCTCTGGCTGCCAACATACTCAAACCACCACAATGTCACACATATGGAACAGTCGGTATACCATTCCCTTCGAACCTGGTCAAATTAGTGCCATCTGACATACCAGGCCAGCATGAAATCCTTCTCAAGGGCGACAACGTGTTCAAAGGGTACTACAAAAATCCTGAGAAAACGGCGGAAGTTCTCGATGATGACGGTTGGCTGCATACCGGTGATTTGGGCGTTGTAAAGGATGACCTGTTTTACATAGTGGGTCGTAGAAAAGAAATCTTTAAGACGTCTCTTGGTGAGTACATCGTTCCTGAGAAGCTTGAAGGCCTGTACAAGCAGGCACCAATTGATGATATTTTGATAACGGGTAAAACATGTGGTGATTACATCGTAGGAATTGCGGTCTGCATCGACAGTAAAATCTCTAAAGATGAAATCCGAGAGAAAGTACAGGAAATTGGGCAGAACGAGTATTCAAAGGGAAATATCACGAAATTCGAAATACCACGTGATATACATGTGGTAAGAGAGGAATGGACCATTGCTGATGGATTCATCACGCCGACGGGCAAGAAGAGACGAGCAATACTTGAAGAACATTATAAAAGTGAGATAGAGTCCATGTACAAAAAGTAAGTGTTCTATTTTAGTTAAAATTCTCATTTCAAATTTAATCTGAAATCGATTATTTTTCGTGCTTGCGTATTTTGTTTATTATGTTCTGTAACTCTGATATAATCGTTTTTTGATAGTTGGCTGGCCTAGCCATTCATGGCCCTAAATAGAACATGCAAGAGTTGTTTTTAAAATTCTAGTTGTAGCCGGATAGGGTGTGATCGAATGCCCGTCTACGAGAAAAAAGTGTAATCGTTTCGATATGTGGGAAACATGCCCATTCTGCAAAATGGATGAGGTGAAAACCGCATGGCAGCTCCTCTGAAAGTGCCAAAGATGGACTGAATTTTAAACTTTTTTCTTGACTGACTGCCAGGTTACCGGAAATTATGTAACTGTAAATCTCTGAAAAGAAGAGTTTCTTGGGTGCTCCGAGGAGGGAGGTGTCACGCAAACCAAGAATTGCACGTTAAGGTTGCTACTGCGGTTGCAACATGCCTTTCTGTTGCGATGAGGATAGGCTCGAAGGTGTTGTGGGAACAGCACATCGATTTCATCCATGAGCCAGATGGCCGGTTTTAGTGAACCAGAAAAGCGTGCTTATTTGGATGATGTGGTATGAGGAAATAAATAACTTATAGTAAAAAATGAGACGATAAATAAACGTGTTTAAAAAAACAAAAAGAGTTTTAATGTAGGCCTATGCCTCTTTGAACGCAAAACAAAATTAAACGTAGGCTATAGACCCCAATGCAAAATAATTTACAAAAATCTGAAATTGATCGATTATATGAGAAGTTCCACGCCTCATTGTCGAAGAAAGCAGAGCTAAACTCAAAGATAAATGACGAAAATAAAAGAGCATTAAGGATAGAGGCCAGAAAAAGAACTATTTCGGATTTATTGCGAGTTGTCTATGCTATAAAGCAAAAGACGTCACAACACACTACAGAGACCACAGAAGAAGAAGTTAAGAATATTATTCAGCGTTGCACAGGGCTTTCAATGTATGATGAATGTGCCGCTCGGTGTATTGAGTACGACAAATTGCAGAAAGAACTAAAATTTCACAAATATCCGCTTAGTCCAATTTTTATCATGCATCCCATTGTATTTGACACCCGAAAGGAGATATTCGCTATTTTGAACATGGGTGTTATGCCTACCGTACATCAGACCGATTTTTACAACAAATATTTTATATACCCGATAAATTATAGGGCGGAAAGAGTTTTCAGAGGTTACCAATCGGACCACAGCAACTTGCTGGTATATACATGTGTAATTTTGAGCAAGGACGAAAAGATCATTTTTGAAATATACGACAACAACAAGCTGCTTGTATCCGGTGGTAGGTCAATCTGGAAGAATTTCTGTGATCTCTTCAAGATGAACATTAAAGATGTCAAGCTCGAAGATTTCTTTGCACTGACTAACAAAAGTGTTCAATCTATGATAGAGGACTCAGTAGATTTGAAATTATATGAAAATTATATCCCGTTGAAAGAACGAAAATAAAAGCTCCACTTAGTAATAGTATTTGTATTAATGAGGAGTGAGGAAGTAACATCAGGCTGCCATGAAATATTGGGTACTGTTCTATTACATGTCTGAATGTTGTTAGGCGGGTTTGTAGCGTTGAATTTCATAGTAACTACAGGTTTGGTATTTAAAGAGTACAGTAATATGGAAAAAAGGTTTTTTGAATTCCCACGGCAGCACAAAACAACATAGATGCATTTTTACAAATATTGTGACATATCGATATGGTGTAACTTAGGTACAGAAGATCCTGTGAATAAACACGGCCATCAAAAGATGATTCTTATTTTAAATTGGGTATGAGGAGGTGTCAACTCTCATGATCTAAGGCTTTTAATGTCACGATCGATTCCATGTGTTTCTCTGTCATTCAAATACCCACATGGTGTGGTTAAGCATGTTCATATCCCTAAAACTTCAACTTATCAGTTGATAAAAGCTATCTTTATTTATGTTTAGGTTATACACTCACCAATTTTGTTCTTATTGTTACTTAAGATAGATGTTATGTTTGGCGTTTGCCCGAAGAGATAATGGTTCCGGCATAGATAGCAATGTAAATGGAGCGCAGCTATTGGTTCTTATGTACTATTTTCTGTGAAGAACATCGATAACACCTGTAATACCTTGCACTTTACAGTTTTTGGTAAATAAATCCGATAAAAAAGCTGTAAATACCGCCATTTTGTATAATTTCATCCGTCTCCATATCAAGTCCAAAATTTAGTGCAACATACGGTTCCATCAGCACCAGTTCAAATGCACCCACATCAAACACAAGCACGATCTCATCTGTGGCTTTCTTGGTGTCATAGCACAACGAAAGGAATTCTCTAACCATTTTGAGCGTGTTGATCGGGAAAATAACAATTGGTATCGGCGAAAACACCATCATCTCGTAAAAATACGACAAATTGCTCAGCGCTTTGAACGAAACAATTGTTTCTTCATTTTGGAACACCTTAAGAATATCGAAAGGCTTAATCATCATAATCTCACAGGTTAAACCTGTATGTGGTGCATTCTTGTGCTGAAACGTATTTTTAGATATCGGAATGTATCCAAATGTATTGTTTGTAGTTTTATTTTTGAAAAGTCCGGTTATAAAATGATGAGTAGCCATTTCAAACGCTTGTTTTTGTCTGAGAACTGCAAATTCGTGTTCTGTAAATACCGTTGCCTTTAGTTCTTCTATTTGTTTGCAGTGTCTGGCCAGAATGTTTGGGTAGTTTCTTAACGATTTCATGTTCATGGGTACCAACAAATTTTGTTTGATTATGACCTTTCTCCGTGCATGTCGTAGAAAATAATCGTGTGCTGGACACATTAGAACGAACGGCTATAACATTTGCCAAAACGGGTGTAAAGATACGCGCCAAAATTTTTGCTCTCCTAAGATGCTAAAACACCATATTTACAAACTAAATATCAATGCTGTGGAACTGTCCTTCGCTGGAGTGTGAACGGGTAAGATTTCTCTTCTTGTAAAGTGAGATATGGCCATAGATGTGACAGCTTTGTTGTAATTATAAATCGCATATTTGGTTACTTACAGTCGTTTTTAGCGTTTCATCTGGGCCCTACGCACAGCTGTTATTTCAGCATTTTCGCAATTGCTGGTCAATACTTCTGATGATCACGTCTTCAACGTGATCAGGTATCATGGGTAGCGGATACAATGGCAGTATTAGTAACAAATTTTATTTAAACAGCGTAAATTATCGGTGCCTTCTACTCGTTCTGCTTTAAGAAGACTTCAAAGTACGTTTCATACTCTTCCTCCGTCATCTTTTCTTTGTCTTCCTCGGTTACAGCAGAAAATGCCTTTGAGACACCACTAACCCGGATCATAATCTCGTTTTGTACATCCAAAAGATGTTGCTCACTCTTCTCAACATCGTCAGACCGGGTTGTGTTCAAGAATATTTCTTCCTCAAGCGACTTATCGGTGACCAACGACTCATCCTTCTTTGATAACATTTCATTCAATGCCATCTTACCCAGTTCCTCACCATTTACTGCTTCATAACCTTCTGTTTTTTTCTCTATTCCTGAGAGTTCCTCAAAAGTGTACGATGCCTCGTATCCCCTAGTATCAGCAACCTCTTCACCCTCTCTTGCGCTCTCATCTGTTCTATTCACCGCCACACCAGCTTTCATTTCTTTGTTTTTCTTCATTTCCAGAGCCTGGAAATAATCGATTGTTGGGATGTTGTAGTTATCAGCCTGCTTAAGCATGTCAATAATATCCTTCAAATCGTTCATCATGAGCGCATGCAATTCGTGTGGATCAACTTCCGTATTCCTATTTTCAATCAGCTCGGTGTTACAGTCCGGACAGATAAACCGGTAATTTTTGACAAGCGACTGCGCCTCAAGAACGGAGTACTCAGTTTTGCATTCCGCACACATATATCCTATTTGCTGTTGCTGTTCACGTAAATGCTCGTTTATCTCTGTGCTCATCTTGTATATTTTGTATTTTATGATATCTTTAATCTCCCTATAGTCTATGTAGTATATCTGCTGGAGAAGCTGTCGTCCATCAATAGTAGTTTCAATTTTACTTTCTTGTTTGATTAGCCTGTCTTCCTTCAACCTTACTATTAGTTTGTTGAACTCCTTGCTCAGCATCTTCATGGCACTGCATATTTCACTTTCTCGGAGCAATAACTTCTCCAAGAGAATGTCCATTATGACACAATGATGTGGCTGGTAAAAAAGGCGCAGTGTATGGCGTATTAGCTTGTGCAATAGCGGTTCGTATGACATGTCCATGAGGGGTCAACTGATGCGGTGTGCTTATAAGGATTGGTTCGCACGTAAGTTTCAGATTTCGTGATTCGCTACCAAACGAGGTTTCATAATATTTACTATCAAGAACGCAACCAGGACGTGTAAATCAGCGTTCCTGTTCAACAGCAGCAAAATTGTCGCCCGAGATCATTAATAGGATGAATTGGACATTAATCAGGCAAGTGCAAGATAACCATTTTATCAAATAAAAGATACTATCAGAAGCAGATGAGCTCGAAGACGAGATCGCAACTAAGAATCAGTACGAGGTATCGAAAAATGTTTTTTTGCGTTCAAACCCTAGATGGAAATTTTTAGCCCTTTGCGAATGAATACCAGCAAAATCCGTCTAGATTTGCTAAACGCTTCGTGCACAAATTATACATCATTGCTTATTCTTTGGCAGTTTCGTCCACAAATGTTCAATTCCACACCCTTATCTCTAGGAATAGTTGTATATACTACGACGCCCAGTTTGTACCTGTTTCGCAAATATGATAGGCACGAACGATTTAATATAAAAAAGCATTTAATGTAATTCGTAAAGATAGTCCGTGGAATTCCTGCCTAAAAGAAATACTTGTGCGCTTCCTTCTGTTCCTTGTCCTTGACAGATCCCCACTTGTTGATTCTTGGTCTATTGGTTTCAGAGTCCCTCCTAAACGTAATATCTAACCCTTTCAAGAACGTGTTCATTGCTACATTGACGTCCAAGGGCTCACTCGCCACGCTTGATACAGCTGGTTCACCTTCGAACAAGATTATCTTGTCTGCTAGGTACGTGGCCATAACCAAGTCGTGCTCTACAACAAAGAGGGGCTTTTGCTTGTTAACTGCGAACCGCTTCAACAGTCTGCTCACCTTTATTCTTGTATCACAGTCTAGATATGCACTGGGCTCGTCAATAAGATAGATGTCGGCACTCTTGCTCAAACATATAAAGAGGCACAGCCTCTGCAACTCACCGCCGCTCAATTTACCCACATCATGATCCATGATCTTGTCTATTTCCAAATCCTTGATGAGCTCAGCACAGCTGATGGCCTTCAGTCTTATAACCAGGCTCCTTACGCTTTTATCGTACTTCAAATTTATCTTTTGATATTTAATGCTGACACTAAATACGCCCTTAACCAAATTCAAAAAGGTGCTCTTTCCCATTCCATTTTCTCCCAACAGCACGACAATCTCGCCTGATTTGAATAATCCAGGTTTAACATTAAGCACGAAATTCTCATATTTTTGCTCCATTGTGTTATAGACGAATTCGTTGGATTTAAGAACAAGCTTCTCCAAATCTGGTACATCACCCTGTTCCTCAGCCACCACATCTTTTTCTTCCTTCACCTTCATCTTTTCCTTCCTGTCAAACTTCATGGCTTCATCTCTGAACTTCATATTTTCGTTCGGAATGAAGCCGGATAAAAAAACATTGATGCACTGCTTAATGCTAAAAAGCTTAGTTATGATGCCATAGCACCCAGCCTTTCCGTATAACACCGATCCATAGTCAGAAATTAAATCTGCTATGGCCAGATCATGCTCTACCAAAAATACAAAATCCCTTTTCTCGCGGATGACATTAGAGATCGCAATCCTCTGCTTTACATCGAGAAATGAAGATGGCTCATCGAAAAAAAACGAGTTTGCATCCTCCAAACATGTTTTAAAAATGCAGAATCTCTGCAACTCACCACCGCTCAGTTCGTCAAGATCCCTGTCCAAAAGGTGGCGCATGTTAAGACGAGCGACAAGATCCTTAGTGTATGCATCATTCTCATTTTTGACGAATTTACGCACGAGCAATCGCTCTTTCTTCATTTTTTTCTTCAATTCGCCAGGTATCAAATCGATGTACTGTTCCTTCACAGCACATTTTACCTTTCCCTCTAACATTTTTATAAAATATCCGTGCAGCTCGCTCCCTTTAAAATTTTTTATTATATCCTGCCAGCTCACAGATGTCTTAAAAACACCGAGATTGGGCTTCAACCTGTTGCTCATTATCTTTATAGTCGTGCTCTTACCTATTCCGTTGGTTCCTATGAGCGCCACGACACTGTTTATTTTAGGAATGGGCAATCTGTGCAGCTTGAACAAGTTCTGGCCGTACCGATGAGTCAGATCCCGTGTTATTGATGTGGGCAGGTTGTGCATAGTTATTGCCTTGAACGGGCATTTCTTTACACACAGACCACAATCCACGCACAAGTTCTCGTGTATTACCGCAATCTTATCCGTGTTTGTGACCTCAATGCACTTTTTTCCCATATTATTAACTGGGCAAGCCTTCTTGCACTCCAATCTACATTTATGTGGCTTGCAGCGATCTTTTATGATGAAAGCTGATCTATCAAATTTATCCTTTTCTCTCTCTTTCATTCAAAGGGTGGTACAAGAAAAATTAAATAAAAATTTTGCTTGTGCACATGACGCAAATGATACCATTCATGGCAAGTATTTAGCAATATCATAAACATTTTTGATTCATCAACGTTTAATATTGGTATGTTAACGGATCACGCAGCCACAAACTCGATTTAAAAGTTTTTGGCGGTCAGCTAACAATACACCTCCTAATTCCCATAGTAACGTTCTTAACCCGTGATTCATAAGCATGTGACCATTAACACGAATGATGAACGATCAAATGTTTATGATTCCGTAATTGTGCTGATATAAAAGCAGATGATTAAAATACGGTAATAAAACTGATTTTGCTGTACACGAGAATAAGACAATCTTCATGCCAAAAAGCTCACCTAAAGATGAAAGCTCTTACTATAAGACCAGTCGAGCGAAGAACTCTTGAGTAACAATGAATATTCTTCCTAGGACTTTTAAACAACGCGTATTAAAGGTTATGGTTCGTTGTACAAATTGAAATGTTTGGACACAGCAAAATTCGGAATAATTTATTTATCATTCTATCTTTAACGTTCATTTTCACCATCTAAGCTTGATCTTCTCTTTGCTCTTGCTCTTGACAGCCTTGTTATCGCAGTAATCATCGCTTTCTTCGAACTCAGCAATAAAAATTCTTTGTCTCTTTCTGACATTCTCTTGTTCTGATTCCTTTTCCAACTCATATTTCAGCTCATCACCATACAATCCCTCTTCCAACCTCAACAACAGCTCCTCTTTCACTTCCTTCTCAATGTCCATTCTCAATATGCTCTTTACACCTCTTCCCCTTTCAATTCTTAGTGCTTTCTTTCTTCTAGCCACATATCGTATTCTGTCCTTTTCCTCCATCAGCTCATGTCTCCTTATAAGATACTGCGTTAACTTCCCCAATCTCTGCTTGCACTTATGTATTACCCACGAATCCCAGTATTTAAGAATCTCATCGATCTCCTTCAGTGCCACGTCATACTCAGCATTCAAAAGTATTTTTTCGTACGCCTGGACAGGCAGATTTACACGTTCCGGCTCTTTTACAAATAAATATAGACGGCCGTCTATTTCTCTGACCGTTGCGTATTTACTGTTCGACAACGGACAACTTGATTGTTCGCAAATGCCTGTGACATTGTTCTCATGCTTGCAAAGTGTTTGTGTGTCGGTGGGCAACTTGAAAGCACAGAAATTACTTTTTCCACCGATAAGTTGCCAAATGCTTTCGTCAGACATTCTGCCGGGGCTGCCATTTTAGTTACAAATATTTGCTCAGAACTGGGCGCACCGTACAAACGTAAATATATCTGCAAGATGCTATCGAAAATCATCCTTTAGCAGTTTCTTACGGACTAATTCGCCATAACGCTCTCAACCATGCTGCAATCGCTGATCAGCCGTTCTCGAGTATCGCTGCACGAATATAAGTGTAAACAATATCCGTGTGTTGACCAAATTTTGTATTTGTTTCTTTTTGTACGTGTGCCCTGTGTAATATAGCTGTTGAAAATTAAAGCCCATGACTGATCGGGCAAGGGAACTTTTAGATAAACTGCTAGGACCAACGCGCAACCTAACAGAAAAGGAGGTGGAAAAGTTGAAGGACTCTGACAACTGCATATTTTTGCTTGCCGGATTCTGTCCCTTTAAGGCCTTGGAACATACAAAGATAGACATTGGCCGATGTCCGTATGCTCAGCATAAGGAAATACCTGTGAAATACATCGGATCGGTGAAACTGAAAATGTACGAAACTGAGCTACTCGACCTATTGGAGATGGTTATGAGCCTTTTTGAAAACAGGAGAAAAAAGATAGGAATAAGTGAAGGACGCGTGAATTTGAGGCTAAAAGGTTTTGAAGAGAGAATTAAACTGATAATAAACAAAGCAAAAGAAGGGAAAGTGGATGAGTCTCTGCAACTAGCGGAAGAAATAGAAGCCGAGGCCAAGTATGCTACCGACCAATCGGGCATTGATGGCACCACTAGAGCACATTTTTGTGAAACGTGCACAACTTCAATTTCTAACGTGATCGAGAGCAAGGAGTACAGGATGCACATAAAGGGACGACTGCATCAGGCGTGTGTGAAAATGCGCTCTGTGTTGGCACAGCTTTTACTTAAGTACAAACTTGGAAATGCAAATTTTCTTACGAACAAGAAACGGCAAAAATTGAGCAAACTGGAAAGGATAAGTTATAAAAAGAAAATTGTGTAAATTCCTAACACCATGAAAATTAAATGATGCCTCAACATTTTGTCTGTACACTAAGTACCAATAAAAAGTTATTACCACCGGAATAAATCCTTCATTTCAAAACTAATACCACGTCTTTCAACAGCAATAGTAATTGATTAGCTTATCTCTTTGGTCATATCTAACAAATAAAGACCTCTCGTGTAGCAGTCACCATGATATTTCCCACTATATCAGCAAAATTTAGTACAAACCGTGATTTACCTGAACAAAAAAGTTTTAACAGTGCATGTAGCACAAAAACACAACTTTAATAATATTAGCACTCATAGTACAGCATTGATACAATGCTAGGTCAAAGAACAGCTTATTTATAATGTATTCATATTTGCATAGCGGGCCATTCATAGCTAAGTGGACGAAAATATTCCAACGAATTAAACTACCGGTTGAAAATGCATCAATCCATGGGAATACAGGGATGTCTGTCGTGCCTTGTAACCGCAATCTATCGAAAGAAACGTATCTGTGCAATATGAACTCTTAAAGTTCGTGTTCATTTTTTGATAAAAATTGATTTATAGTGGTTGAAGACGAAATTCTTCTTTCCATAATGGTTCAACATCGATTTCCATGCACCAGAGCTTGAGAGAACCTTTGAGTTGCCAATTATTATCAGAGAGTGCTTTGCACGCGTTATTGAGACATTTATTCGTCTTACATCGCTCAAAAACCCCATATTCTTTGACTTGACCGTTGATATCAGGATAACGTCTTTCTCCTGTCCTTGGAACCCATCCACGGTGTTGACACAAACAAAATCGAATATGTCCTGGCGGATGCTGAGCAGCACTTCTTTGATCTTCTTCATTTGCGCTTTATATGGTGTAATTATACCAATTTTATTGAAAAAATCGTAATTTTTTACCTGTTCCATTAGTTCGCTTATGATGCTGCCTATATACTGTGCTTCCTCGATATTGTAGAAACTGAAGCAGTTATCGGTCTTCTCTTCGCCATTTATCTGAATAAAAGAAATTGGCGGTATAACATTTTCGTACGGATTTTGCCTCTTTTGGATCGATTTGTGGGTCAGAAGCCGAGCTCTGTAAAAGTATTGGTTGGGGAATTCTACTATCAGGGGATGCATACGGTACTGAACGTTTAAGAGCACCGAGGGATACGTTTTTTGCAGCCTGGCAAACAAGCTCTGCTCATAGGGCTTGTGTTTGGAAATAAGCGTTGGTGGAAGCTGTTTGGGATCGCCAACAAGAACCACCTTGATCGGGTTAAACTTCAAGGGTATAAGCGTGCTCGTCTCAACGGACTGACACGCCTCATCAATGATCAAAATATCAAAATCAATGTTGGCTACCTTGATTAGTTCCTTGGCAGAGCTGCTGAGCGTTGCACACACAACGTTAGATCTTTTCAATAGTTCACATTTTCTCTTGGCTCTTTCGCTGTTGGTCACTTCGAGGTTCATTAGATTCATTCCGTTCCTCTTCTCTTCCAGCTCCCTTTTAATGATGCAGTCCAGCGTAAGCATTTTCAGATTGTCATCTATGTTATTCTGCACGCCTATCCGCAGTACTTGCAGCCTTTTTACATCTCGGTCCTTCAGATGAAGGTCGTTGATTCGCCTGGCAAGTTCGTCCACAGCCGCATTGCTCGGTGCACAGATCAAAACACGTGGTTCCCTGTTTGTAATAAACATCTTGGACTTCAAGACGCTGACAATTTGAGCATTGAACAGAGACTCGATGAGAGAGACGATCATTTTGGTTTTACCTGTGCCCGGTGGCCCGTGTATCAGTGAGAAGAAGGAAGGGCTCATGTAGACATGCTTAATGGCGTTCTGTTGCGATTTATTCAACCCGTACATTTTTTGCACCACCTGCTCTACCAAGCCCACATCATCTACAAGAGGTGCAGTTTCCGCGTTTTTTGACGCTAGAACGGAGGGAAGGATAGGGAGGTGTTGCAGTTTGTACAACGCTACGTATTCTCTGAAAAAACTAGAGAAACAACAGACATCGTAGTACACAAACTCGGTATGCTGTCTGGGCCTTTTGAAGGTGCTCCTTGTTCTAACGGTAACGCTCGGTTTTTTGCCCTGTTGGCAATCGATTATAAGTCCTATGAAGTAATTGTCATCGCCCATCTCCAAAATTTTCTTGGGTCTTTTGTTGTCATCTGAGTAAGCGAAAAGTAAGACCTCAAAATCAGGAAGTGTTCTTTCAATGACAAAGGTTAACTCTGTGTATTCTATTTGGAATGTCTGCTTAACGAGTGTGGCATACTTCTTGGAACCAACAACTGCCTCCGCTATACCTTTTAACAGGTTATCCCGGCACTCATTAAGCAGTAGAGGCTCAAATACACGGAAATATTCGTCATACGTTTCAAATTTGGAAGGAATGTTCTTGGAACAGGTGATTTGTTTCTTGTCTGTTAGATTAAAGCCTAAAACATTCTTGTAAAAATCGTTAACACATTTTATCTCAGTGGCCACCTGTCTCGCAACATTCCTCCTTATGCCTTGTGAATTAAGACGACCGTATATGCTTTCATCTCCGAGGTATGACAACGCCGCCTTCTTTGGATCCACCCACTGTCGGGTACATTGTTCCGCATTTGTCAGCAGAACTATATCTGAATCATGGCTGCTTGCTAGCTGATAATCCGGTGATAATGGTTGGACTTGGTCAATTTTTGAATCCATGCCGATCAATTTTACGTTGTTTTCATCTACTTTTCTCAACGATTCTAGGTTTCCATTCTGTTCGGCATTTTCTCTTTCGGGTGTTGTAATCTCTGAGAATGACTCGCTTTCTTCCATGTTACTTGGTACGGTGCTCACCAGAAATGAACTTTCCAGTTCTTCGTCATTCGTATTACTTTCATCTTCCTTGGCTAATACTTCTGCCAATACCCCTGTTTCCCGACCAGCAGCGATTTGTGTGCTTGCAATTCTCGGTATTTCTGCTGTTTGCTCGCTTACATTTAACAATACATCATAAAACTCTAATTCGTCCGTTTTATCACTTGCTAAAAAAAAATTTTCACGAAAATCTTGCTCTTCGGTCTGTTCAACTTCTGTTTTCGCAGTAGCATTTGGCTGATGAGCTCCTTCATCACAATATACGGCTTTAGGCTCTATCATTTTACTAGGATGTCTCTTCTTTGCTGCTCTCACCTTGTCTAGTTCAACTACGGCTGCTTTCTTTTCCAATCGGCAATTTGCTTCTTCTAAAAATTTGTTCGGCACGTTTTTTACATGCTTAACCCTCGGCAACACGGTGTTCTTCGCCTTCCTGCTTTCGTCCACTAAAAAAATTCCGAAATGACCCGCCAAGTTTCTAATCCTTGTCCTTTTGTAGGATGGAAAAGTGCCAATACTGTTGATCCTGAGCCATGAATAAAACGCAACAATAAACTCTTCGATATCTCCTCCCAGTTTAATATCAAGTTTTTCCAACACTATAATCCAATCCAAGTCGTAAAGAAACGTTTCCTTGACGTTTCCTCTTACTTTAACCCTAGGGAGTAACACTATCAGCGGCTTAAGAATATTTTTGGTATTTTTTCTGTGCCATAAAAGGTTAAATAGCTCAGTGTACGTTTCGTAATCAACAAATTGCAGTTTTCCCATGATCTTCAACATTTTGGTAAAGCATTTTGGGTAATTTCTAAAGCGGTCAAAGTAGACATTCATTTTCTTCAATACGCGCGTGAGCACATGCTGATCATTCTTTGAAAACATGAGCGACTGAACATTGTACGTAGAAAAGTCTGACTTGACCAAAAGTGAGTAAAAATGTATCTCATCCGAAAGCGGTTCCTTATTCTCGCCCAAGATTTCAAGAGCGCTCTTTTTGAAAAGCTTGTAAATGTCCAGCAGCTTTTCTGATCCCTGGTATGCACTGAAAGCCTTTTCTACATCAAAAATGAAGAGATAAATGAAGGGATTGAACAGGTGGTTGTTTCTGGTTGTAGTAATGCATATCCTGTGCCACTTTGTGAATAAGCTGTGGTATAGAACGGCATCAAAATTGTTGTTTCGGAGAGATTTGTAGATGCTGCCTATAAACCTATCGATACACGCCTCAACAAACTTCTTTTCCTCTTCATCCGCTTGTTCTTTGTCCACTATTTTCGAAAATATATCGACAAAGAAATCGTATTGATCAATAAAAAGAACAAAATCACCTATTAAATCATAGTTTAGGATGATTTGTCTGGTGAACGCTTCGGTGTATTCCGGCTTTTGACTGTAATACTCGTAGAACTGTTTGTCGTAGCGCAGCTTGCAGAACACCCTAAACTGTGAAATCAACACATAATTGATGTCTTTAAGAAAAACGTTATTTGTGCACAGCCTATCATTTCCAGCATTGATTGTATCAAATATGCTCTGGTAAATCACGTCAAGGCCCTTTATTTCAGAACCATTCCTCAGTAGATACGCAGATGCCACCCTAAAGCACATAGTTCGCAGATTTACATCGTTAGTTTGGCGATAAATGCTGTCAATGATGGGCACAATTTCATCGGTGCAATACGTTGATTCCAGCCCAATATAAATAAGTATTGACATAAGCCAACCATACTTAACGATCAGCGAGTGTGAAGGGACAAACCGCTCATCTGTTTTTGTGTATTCCAGCAAGTAGTTCCATTCTCCGGGTCCTGAGTGCAGATACAGCAATTTCTGTCTGTTGAGATACCTAAAAATTTTATAAACGTATCCGAGCAGGTCCGGCTCAGCACACTGTGTGAGGAGGATCAGCGAAAATGACATTTTGGAGAACACGAGGTTTTCTTTTCTGTAGAACTCTTTGAGCTGCTGAACAAATTTGTACTTTAGCTCACAGATCCTCATACACTTCCAGTTGTACGTAAGTATTTCTGTAAGTGTCGTGGTGCTAATATGTGTACAGCTGTTCATCATCCTGAATAGCCTCTTATCATCCAAGTCCTGCAGAATGTCTTCGTTGTTCTTGTTGCTGAGATTTTCTCTCAGTTTGTAATACGCGATCAGACATTCCGGGCATTCGTTTAGCCAGGCGAACGCCTTCTCCAGATTTTTCAGTATATCTGTGTGTGTTTTAAACAGATGGATGCTTGCAATCAAAAACGCTGGCAGTTCCGTTTCGGTGCACCAAAAATGTTGACTTTGAATAATTTTTGTTGCCATTTTCTCCAAGTCGGTGCCATCAAACGAATCCTGTGCTCGAAGAATTTTTAACATTTTACCCATGGTGCTGAATAAAAATACTTAAATGTTGTTTTTGTTGCTAAGCGCCAACAAACACCGATGAAGAAGGAACCGTGGTGAGAAAAGGTAATTTATCATTACTAATGTCACAATTCAAAATTTTTGATGAATTAAACAGAAATCTCAGTGCGGTTGCAGTTGTAGAACAAGTGATTACCACCCTTTTATATCGTAAACAGAAAGAAACGAACTTTCCGTATAAACAAAAATTTACCCCCGCAGCGCATGCCAGACAATGTGGAGGAATAAACAGCTTTAGTGCGTAATGCTCCTCAGATAAATTTTATTAAATGAATATTAAACGCTCAAATCCTGTTTATCGACTGTTACTCTGCTATTGTTCTTTAAAGAGTTCATAACAGGGTACAACATTTAAATTACATTTTTTGATGCACTGATAGCGGTTTTTATACTCTTAGTGGTGCGATATGTTTTGAAGTGGCACTCAAGCCGGAGAAAAGATTTGTCTTGTATTTTATTTCAAGGCACCGGTGAAAATCATCGTAAATCGAGGGCATGCTATGATGCTCAAACCATACAATTCTTACCGTGCGTATGTGAACGACTACATGGCATTTTCTGATCAAACTAGTTGATGTGATTTTATTGTGGTTGGACAAACCGCTTGAACATCAGCTATTGCACCCAGCGCTTGTGCAGCAGCATCACACTCTCAAATCAAACTTATACTTTGTTTAACCGCTAAAACGCCCACGAAATGTCCCGCAAAAGTACGAAAAAATAAAAACATCACATCTTGCTGTTCTACGAGACGGGTCAGTTACAACATATCGCTGTTCATTCCGTATGCTGTACTTAAATATTTTTAGTACGACTTTCTCGCTAGAAAAGTGCCTTGTAGGTGATGCAATCTAAGAAAATGAATAAACGCATTTGAGTGAGGAACATAAAAAGGTGCCATTACCTCATGTACAGCTCGTGTTTTCACCCATAGGTTAAGAGACACGCTTTTGAAAGACCAGTAAAACTTTTCGTAGATCCTTTTAGGATGTTTTGTCGGTGTGGATGTATCACGGCACGTTAAGCTAACACCCGGTCTGAACCATCACTTGCGCTACCGCACGGTTTTTGAGATGAAATGCATTTTACGAACTAACACTACGTAATTTTGTGGAAGATCTGAGCAAATTGCACTTACCTGTCACAGGCAATCGTGCAGACGGGTGCGCCAGGCACTAAGCCAACACGAACAGCAAAATTGTGATCAATTGCTGGTGCACACCAGTAAATGAAAGCGACAGGCAATGAAATGCAAAGAAGAAAATCAAATTCAAAGATTTAGTACGAAATTTCATAAATTAACATTCCCACGCCTTAATAAATTTAAATGTCCTTGGGCCTATAGACTCCCAGAACCATTGCATGGTCCTTCTCGAATGGCTCTAAGGAGACCTGCTCCTTCGGCTTAATATCGTCTTTTCGCAATTTGTTGACTTCATCCGCAAACACTGATTCCGCCTTCTTGGTGGAATCTATGCAGTTAGCTTTGATGGACATCACAACACCGCCTTGACTCTTAAGAAAATATTTCGCGTTCAGCCCAACAATCCGTGCTTGATCGGGCTGTGCTACATCTGAAAATATGCAGTCTACTATCGGCACCAGCATACGGTAATTCTGGGGATATCTTGCATCATCTATGATCGGAATAATGTTGGGCCGCTTCTTCGCCAGATTTACGAGATCACGTCCGGATCTCTGGGAGAACTCGACCGCGTACACCACACCAGATGTACCAACAAGGTCCGACACGTGCGAGACAGTCGTGCCCGATGCTGCCCCTAAATAAAGGACCTTCGATCCTGGACCCATATAGACGTTTTCGCATCCCGAGACCATGCCAGCTGCCAACTTGCTTCTGTACGGATTCCATATGCGGTACTCCTTTTTTTCATCATTCGTTTCTACCGTGATTCGCTTCTCGTTGTAAACACTCATACCAGGAACCATATTCAGCGTGCACAACGAATCCTCCTTGCCCCGCGATACGTAAACACCGGGGAACCGCATGTGCTTCTCTACAAGAACCTTCGTCTGCTTGACAAACTTCTTCGGCTTTCTGATGAACTTACCATCTCTAGGCTTTCTATCAGACTCATTTCCTCTGTGTTTTGAAAATTTGTGCCTCTGCGTAACATTTGCCATTTTCGCTTAGGGCCGAACAATTTTTTTTACTTAAAATTCTTTGCGGTCAAAACGGGCTTTAAATACGAATGGTCCCCACACAGCAGATATTATAGGCTAGTTACAGCAGTACAACATCATTTTTGTGGCTGTACGACCGGTACATCAATCAATTCTGATGCTCTTACCATTTCCGTACAAAACTGTACATTTCCTCAGTTTCTTCTTCAAAAAGCATAGAAAGTCCATTGTTATTTCAATTTTTTGCACGTTTAAATGCCGGAGAGTAGCTCCGAATTGAATTACAAAATCGTAAAGCATCGTCTGTGGTATTGCAGAATTCTCCAGATCAAGCTCCTTAAGTTGGTGGTTTGAAAGGAAGATCTTGAGAACAGATGCATCGCCAACAAAGTCTCTCAAAGTAAAGGATTCTAACGCATTTATACGAAGCAGTTCCATGTACATGGTGTCATACAATTTCAATTTGCTGATGCTCGTGTAGTCCAACTCGTAGAATGCTCTGCTGCAGTGTTTTATACGCAGCAGGGGCTGCTTCACGGTGTTGTTCTGCAAGCACTCCAGCTCAAACCCGTCCTCCAAAAATGTAAAATCAATTAGCCGGCGTGTCTGAACGATGTGCATGGCCCTTTCCAAGGTAAGTCCGCATTTACTGATCAGCAGTGCATTCACACTCTCAGGAAGCTCAAAATCATTGTCCAGCTCAATGTTTACCAGTGTTAGGTCCCGTATAGCTGTAGAGCCCAGCAGCTTTCCAACTATGTTATAATTCATGTTATGCAGCTCAACTTTATTTATTGCCATGTTCCTACCTCGCACATAATCAACACTGTCCATGATCAGTCTGTCAATCGTGCTGGTGAGATAAATGCAGTCGAAGTAGCAGCAACCTGCGATCTTAAGCGTTCTTAGCGATAAAAAAGGTGCCAATTCAATATTAAACTCCCTCTTGTCGTCATACACCATGTATTTCTCGACGTGTTTAATAATAACCGACGAAAAGTTCCGGCTTGTCAGTCTAAAAAAGTCTTTCTTTCTTAACTTGGCGGACAAAGACAGCCCAGGATGATATTTTTCAATTATAAACGATAGATCAAGCGGTAATGTAAGCTTTAATTTTTGCGGTTTGGTTGTGTTCACCTTCACGGCATCTCGATAATCGCAGGGTTTGGGCCTTTTAATGAATTCGGTCAGTTTTCTCATTTCAGGGGCTCAGCAATTTTGACAGTTTTACCTTAACGAGTTCTCGTTTACCTTTTTGTGTTTTATCCAATGGGATGGACAGCAGAGCTGTGCTCCTTACCATCGCTCTGGTACAGCGCGGAACATGGGATTGAAATGTGCTAAAATATCATTCTAACGCTCAACAGTAGCGGTTAGGAATTCCATGTGGAAAATAACAAGAAAATGCTGTGATGGTGGTTATAAATTCATTTTTAGTCTGATGATGGCATGTAGAGCATTTATAAAGAGGTACAACGAAGTATGTGTGCATTAAAGTATTTCTCTGTCAATGAAAATTGCGTTTGATTACGTTTGTTGCTCAAGGAGGATCTTTAATGCTGATGTGATGATTACTTTTCGTTACGAGTACGTATATTTATCTTTTGCGTATCAGCAACATCTAAATAACACATCTCCTGGCACACTGGTCTTTGGTCTATGCACGATAAGCATTCTAACAGTGGTATTCCCGTGTTGCACACAACACTTCTTAACGCCATCAAACACATCTGCCGGTTCTGTTAAGATCGGTTATGTCCATCAGTGCTTAATTCATGGCGAATATTTTTTCCGAAACTTTTGCAGAAAATGCTCGGTTTGCTAAGCGTGTTGTATGGCGGTACCAAGCACAAATACAAGGCCTGCAACAGAGAAGAAAGGATGCTAAAACACTGTTTATTTCAAAAAACTCTTACAAATTTCAAAATTTTGGTGATATTGTTCATAATTATGGATCTTATCGACGGAATTTTATTCCTAACCGTGTACAAAACGCTGAACAGTTGGAAAAGAAATCCAAGCACCGCAAATTTACAGAACACCAGAACAACACCTGCCACAAACAATGACACACTTTTTAAGTTCCCACGGTTGTTCAAACTCATCTGTGGTATGAGGAGTAGAAGAACACCAAAACCGAAAACAATATTGCCTGCCATCATCATCACCCTGTCGAAGAACAGCACGCCGCCTATCAAAAAGAATATCGTGCCTATCACGATTATAATTAATGCAGATTCACTTCTTTCATTCATGCCAGGGGTGAAGAAATTCGTAATTGCTCTTTTCCTGGCTGTTCTGGCAGTTGCATTGCGAATTAGCCGAAGAAATGAGCGGTTTCTGCATCGTAGAAGAACGGATACCACGCTGCACCGCGTATAACGAAAAAAAGGTATCATCAGATGGGGAGCACACCAAATAAACCATGTTTGATATTGATATTAAAAGAGGACCTTGTGTGAGTCACCTTAAGAGCAAATTGCGAACTATGATTAAACTAATTTTTAAATAAACCTAAGAGCTGATTATTTGGACAAAAAGTGAATCGAAGCTGCAAAGAGCATTAAAAAACCTTTGCACAAGATTGAATACGTACCAAAAACAGTAATGAATCATAATATAACAGTTAGATATGTTGTATTTTTTTATTCAAGGATATTAGAAGTTCTGTTTCACAATACGACATATTTTCTCTCACAGCATACCATTTTCATCGTGTGAACTGTTGATCAGCTTTCACTGCTGCACCAAATCTTTGTTCATACGATGTGCAAAGTAGCATAGAATCTTTCAAAGTGATGTTAATTTGGAATGATAGTATTTCAAGACTTTGAACACTTCCATTTTGAATACTTAACAAATATAGAACTGTAGAACACCGGATCAAATAATGGAATAAATACTGGAATATGTTTGCTAGCATAAAATGTGATTATATGGCGATAGGCTGTGTAATCTTGGCTAGTGTTAGCACCATTTTGTAGAGCCGGCATGTGATGAATTGAATTCTCATGAACCAAGGGCCAGTGGACACGGTCGGTCTCAACGGCTAAAAATGCGCGTTACTTTGGGATGTGATGAAATAAATAAACGTACTTTTAGTGAAAAGGAAGACGTGAGGATTAAACAATAGCACCTTTGATAAGCCCAAACAGGAAGTACTGACAGGCATGTCACAGGAAGTCGGCCTAAAATACATCAGCAAAGAAGAAAATACAAATTTTTAGCTGCGACATAATTCTGAAATCTGCAAATAATATCGATGGTATCAAGTTCCGTGGTGCAGATCAATAAATAATAAGAATGCTACACTACAGTTTCAACGAACAGTGTTTATTCAAGTAATTATCTTTGTACCTTAAAACCTTAGATGGAAAGGCAATTTATTCTGATCTAGCGCTACTTCAAAATTAATCAAAACTGCCAGTAAAATTATCACAGATCTCCATACATAAACCAGAATAGGAAACTTCGATCACAAAAATATGTTAGTAAACGATGATTACATGCTTTTAGCGAAGAAGTTGCAAATTGAACACCTTTCGCGATGTTACGCTGGTGTTTGGATGCATTTTCAACGAAGGCGTTGTTTGTGAATAAATCATTGAAATCCGCAATAATTTATTTTGCGGTCTCACAGACCAAGCACAAGTCAGAAAAAGATGCGCGATAGAACAGATTTGCGTCTTTCTTAGCAGATAATTTTACAAATTGCAATACTTACTTATCAGAATGGTATACATCTCCTTTATCACGCAAATACACTGTGACATTTATAAGCAAAAAATAATTTGTCACACATACACAAGAAAAAGGGAAACTCAGTAGATAATTGGTTTGTACCATGATAGTTAACGCCTTTGTCCAAAACAGTGCTGCATTACTGAATTAGAACCTACAATCAATCACAAACAAACAATTAATACACTCCTAGTTCACCATAATATTGGTTTTCGTAATTTAGGAAGAAGGAGCGGAAATTGCTCCTTTTCAATGATTTAAACATTCTTTATTCACCCCCTAATGCCAGAAAATTTGGATTCCAGCAAATGTACGCTCAACCTGCGCGAACTTATTCAAGCATATGAGGGACAAAGCGCTGTTGTGCCCACACTCGATGTTGAGAAGAACCAAAATGACCTGAAAACGATTGATGTGGACATTAACCGAAACTTTCCGTTCTACGTTCACATGACAGACGACGAGAAGCAATTGTTCAGAAATGAGCTCAAGAAGACCTTACTGCGGCTGCCCGTCAGCTATGTACAGAGCATGTGCGATATTGTTGCGGTATTGATGTATTTTTACTATGCAGAGATGAGAAACGGTAGTTCGCTGGTAAGTCTGGCAGAAAGAGAAAATACAGCGTCTGCGATTGATACCAGTGAAAGCGGAGGTTTGTACGATGAAGAAACGTATGAAAGGATGTTTAAGATAATTTATAACATTTTGAAGGAGAAATACGTTCCTCTGATCGATGATCAGTTCAAGATGTACCTTGAGAACAACGATATATTCATCAAGATGATGAAGCAAAGGGGTGTTGAAATCCCTTCGAGCAAGAGCCTGATCTACACCAATAGCACGCTGACCTGGTTCAGCAGATCTATGGACAGCATGAACGATATTTACAAAATGTTTGCGCTGATCATTTCTTGCCCGACAAGCATCGTGTTTCTCCTGCTTGTTCATTATTTTGATTTTATCGAGAATAAAAAGATGATAAAAATGGATGATAACGATATAATGCCAAAAATAATCAAATTGGAGAAAGAGTTCCTGAAACTGCAAGAGGAACAAGATACCTCTAAGCCCAAGATGAGCAAAAAAGCGATCATATATGGTGTTGTTACCGGTGCTGTAGTTGCTGGTGCGGTACTATTCGGTATTTTCAAGAAGTACAAGTGATATCAGCTCAGTAAAATTTGTTAGTCTTCGCTATTTTAAGCACTTTTTGGCCTGTGATGGATCTCATTGCCTATAAAAATATTATCTGCAGCAAGAGTAGCAGTGCGATCTGTCTGGCGTGTTGTTATATTCCTGAAGCGATTGGCAAAAAGTCTCAAATCGCTGTTAAATAAGTAACAAAAAAGGTAAAATAAACAATCCGGTGCCAAGCAATGTTCACAGAACCGGTTGCTCGAAAATAATCCAACATCAGCTAAATTTATCAATTGGCAGATGTGTTGCACAGAAATGCTATTTTCATGACGGCTGTGAGAGACCTGAACGAACAAATTTGATATTTATATACGGCGTACCTGCAAGACTGGTGCTGTTTATACGTATGAATGATCGATGTAAAAGTGAAACAGGCTGTTCGTTTGTATTACAGATATGTTTATTTTGGCTTTTCAGTAATATTTGTATTTTTTCTTTTCTCCTGCAAAAAACCATTTATCGGTCACAAATCAACCAAATATTCGCGGTTGTATGAAAGGACAAATAAAAATCTCCGTAAAGAACCAAATACTCGTACGAAATCATTGATAGGATGATTCCTTCCTTTAAATCAGGGTAACTCCGCTATCACATCACTCTTTTCTGAGCAGATTTTCAACGTTTTTTAACATAACAGCGTACAATAATGAACGAACAATGTGCTAAAGGTCTTGATCAGGGGCACTTGATGCATTTGTTTGTCTGAGGAACGCAATACGCGGTGTGGCGTACGAAACACAAATAGCAAAGATTTGTGTTCCTTTCAGCATGATAAAAAAGACCACAGCTCTCTTATCTGGTTACGTTGTAATATCCGTCACTAAAACGCGTACCGTAATCAACAATTATACCCTATTTCAACAATATTTTCGTTTTCATATGCGATCCGCAATACGTATCAACCCATTTTCAGATCCCCATGGCAATCAAAGTAAATTCGAATCAGAGAGGTAATAACGTGCTAGATTATCTTAATCAGGTGAAATGGTACTATGAAGATGGTCTCACCACAGATTTTGAGATAGAAAATTTCATTTCTGTTCTTTTTCTTTCTTTACGCTTTCATTTGTGTAAACCAGAGTATATAATTGCCCGTTTGAACAACTTGAAGGAATACAGGACAAGTATCTTACTGATATACATAGACATGCACAACTACGAAGAGCACATGTCCGAGTTCGTGCAGTTTGACTGCCAAATTTTTCTTTGTTTTAGCAACGATGAGGCGGCCATGTATTTGGCAGCCATAGATGTGAACGCCCACAGATCAACAGAAATAATTAAACACAGGTACAGTTTTGATCTGCACGAAAGGAAGATCGAGTTTCTGGCTAAAATACCAAAAATTAACAAAAAGGATGCTGCCGCGCTGCTGGAGGGCAAGACGTGTCTGAAAGCACTTTTTGATGATCCAGATTACAAGGCATTGAACAATGCCAGGCTGAGCACCAAAAAAAAACAGAGCGTGGAAGAGTACATGGAAATGAGGTTTACCAACAATACCTAAGCAGATACTGCAGCGGGTGTAATTGAAACAGCAAGTAAACTTATTATTTGGATGGGACGGTCTATATCTAACAAACCGAGGAATAAATCGCGGCAGATGCTATACGCAGAGTTAGTATGCTTACAAACCTGTAGCCTGCTCTAAATATGAAATTTGGTCAAAAATGAAGTAAAAACTGTTCAACAACATCCTCAAATTTTATTGAAATTCTTACTGAACAGAATACAATCCTTGATGGTTTGCAGCGGGCTGTGCTCAGCAGGCTCTGCAGCAACATTAATTTGCTCCATCTTAAACCGGCTGTCCTTGCTCTCCAACGCCTTAATTATACTACGGATGCACCCATCCCATTCCTTGTATTTTCCCAACTGCTGGTTGATGAGTGCCACATTCTCCTCGGTCATCAACCGCTCGATTCCCAGCACAAACATTATGTGCTCGTTGTTGATGTCCTCATAGTCAAGGGTCTCTAAGAAATACAGGTACGCAAGGAAATCCGTGCTCAAAAGGATCATTAGCTCACAGGCCTTTACAAACGTGGAAACAGATGTCTTTGTAGTGTTGTACTGGTGTTTTACCATGTTAAAATTGTATTGAAACTGCTCCAGATCGTTATTTCTCATCGATTCTATACATTTATTTTCTATGTTTTCGATTTCACTTGTTTTCATTCGGGGTAGGGCGATAAATTGCAAAAATATTTGGGATGTGTGGGAGCAACGAGAGATAAAAGTAAATAAATGTGTTTTGGCGGAATAAGGCGCGAAAGTACATCCGTGCCATTATGAAATAGGCGAGATAAACCTAAAGGACGAACGAGTATGTTTGTTTGGATGATATTATACGGCGCGGAAATAAAATACCACTAACGATAAACGGTATAATCATCAAAATAGTGTCCTAGTGCACCATTCCGGTGCACTATATCGTAATATTTAGCGTATCGCATCCGTATACTCTATAACGCTTTTGACCGGTCGAGTGCCTGCGGTTATTCGATCCGCATAGCATACAAACACGCGGATAATACACAATCACAACACCACCATGGTATTCGATCCTTTCACGCATCATTACCACCGCGAACCGTAACCAATCGCGATGCACGGAGTGTCTCGCTACTCCCCTCGATTTACAAAAATTACGAATGCCCTGTCATTGTGATCAACCGTATTCCACAGGCAGTGTGCCATCGTCCACATGAAACAAAAACCGATTCAACCACTTGTTTTACATCCCAATCATAGTGATCTGGCACTCGACCACACTCTGCACACGTAATCAGAAACACAGCAATCACGGGTTACAAACAAATTCAAAACTTTTGTACCCTTCATGGCCACATGGGAGTCGAAAAATTCAAAGCGAAGAACAACGAATAGAATATTAAAGGAGTACATGGACATGGCCCTAGACCCGCCAGAGAATTGCAGTGCAGGACCGGCATCAGATGAAGAGTTTGACAAGTGGGAGGCAACGATAATAGGGCCGCACGGCACGCCGTACCAGGACGGCATTTTTCTGCTTGAGATATACTTTCCGCCGAACTATCCGTATAGTGCGCCTAAGGTGATGTTCAAGACACAAATATTTCACTGCAATATTAAGGATGGTCACATATGCCTGGACATCCTCAATACGAAGTGGAGCCCTGCGCTTACGATATCTAAGGTGCTTCTTTCTATCTCCTCGTTGCTGAGTGATCCTAATCCGAATGACCCACTTAATAAGCAGGCAGCGGATTTGTATATGAATGATAGACAGAAGCACAACCGGGTGGCGAAGGACTACACAAAGAACTATGCGATGGGGGAGAAGTAGAGCGGTGCCAATAAATACAACGATATTTTTATGTGCGTGTCAGCTTTTGTGTTTTGATGGCCGAGCAGTTCTTTACGAGTGCGTGGAGCTGCGTGCTACGTTGGAGAAGAAGGGTGGGTGCGCTGGTTGTCTGCATTTTCGTGTAGAACGGGCACGTGTTGCGCCCCTTCACGCCTACCACATCAAACTATGGTATCCCGGATTGCAGGCCAGGCATTCGCTCTGTGCGTTTTACTTGTCAAGCCCTTGCCATCAATAAGTAAAACTTCTCCTAAAAAATCAAATATTCTAATGTGTACTGTTTGTCATCCTCATTTTAAGCTGCCATTAAATTTCTACTCCTTTCCGGTCACCGATCGGTAACGTAAACATTTCCACCATGACAGTCCTGCGTTCACACCGTTCGTAATAGAAGAACACACTGCGGTAGCACTCTGCTCCTTTTGTTCTGTTCGTGTTCATCTCTCGTTCTGTTATTGCACCGTTCTCATTCCATTTATGCGCCATACTCCCAGTATTTAAACCACGTTCCCTTCGCTCACAGCAATTCATCCCATCAATCACCCGTCAAAGCGTAATACACCGTGTTAATAAATGTCATACACTAGCGAACACACCCCGCACGTAATTAAGACGAATATTCTACGTTGTGGCATCGTTGTTGAACCATTACCATTTAATTCCTTGGCATATCATATCTTGTGCATTCCTTGATCGGAAGATAAAGTAAATCCATGCAGCCAAAGGCACAATAAAGAAGGCGGTGCTGATAAGGATTTTGTGCACAGTACGGGTAAAATTGCAATACCGGTGCTCAGCACCATACGACAGCAATTTTTTATTAAATGTACGTTTATTCAGATTTGAAAACAACAGCAAGCCATTTCCCAATTTATACCATGTACCATTTACCATCCCGTCCTGTACAACCGGTCAAACACGGCATTAAAACAGCACATCAAGTGCTGTTTTATTTATCGATGTGTTTTAAAGCGTGTATACACCATCATATCGCTGTTTAGGGCCGTCAAACTCATTGCACATCACATTTTTAATGAATAGAGGAGTGAACCAAGCAATTAAGTACGGGCTGAGGAAGTGCACCACTCGTGTGAACGGCTGTGTTTCACGTGTTCGTATGAGCTGGCATTTTATCATTGATCGGCATCGTAAACTACGGGTGTGTTAGATCTGACAGCTGGATGCACATCGGTTAAGACGTGCTGTGCATATTATCGGTGATAAGTGCACTGATAATGTTTTAATGGCAGCACGATGGTAAAGAGTGGTGTATCACACCGTAGCACGCCATACCGCACACACTCACGTCGTATTGAACCGATCAGTAAATTTGTTAGAAAAGCGTTCACTCATCAACCGTGCTATGTGTTTTACCGTACGTGTCTTCTGCCTTGATCGGCCCATTCAGTGCCGCCTCTTTCCTTCCATCCCACTCAAAACATGTCATGCACCAAAAACACCTCGTAACACCAACCGTTCTCTCATGCATCCATGCTAGACGGATAGAAAATTGCATTCGCATAAATGACCTTTCTAATTATTTCCTGGTTTGCCTCCAAAATATCGAATCTTTTTTCTGACAAAAAAAACTATAAAAATAAAAAAATATTAGAGCGGTATGTTCGTGCGTAACAGCGATAAAATTTTAGAGCCGCTTGATACCAAGAAAATACATAAAATGCTGTTGGAGTGTTCGCATGGCCTCAACATCATGAGAGAGGAGCTTGATGACCTGTTCAACAAAATAGAGAGCGGGCTGTGCGACAATCTTAGTACATGCGATATCGTGTCGCTTGCTGCGGAGTGTGCAGCATCAGCAATGACCAAGAATCCTGATTTTGGATGCATAGCGGCACGTATCGTGGTGCGGGAGCACCACAAGGTAACGCTCGATACCTTCTACGAGAAGGTGAAGTACTGCTACGAGCAGAAGAGGTACTTCAGCAGGGAATTTTGCGAGCGGGTGCGTGAGAACAAGGACGCGATACAGGCCCAGATCGATTACAGCAGGGACTACGACATTTCGTTCTTCGGGTTCAAAACGATGGAAAAGTCCTACATGCTGTCCATCAACAGCCGGACAGTGGAACGGCCACAGGACCTGTTCATGCGTGTAGCGCTTGGAATACACTACGACTCGCTGCAGGATGCATTTGAAACGTACCATCTGATGTCGCAGAAGTACTTCGTGCACGCTACGCCCACGATGTTTAACGCGGGCACGCTAACGCCGCAGCTCTCATCGTGCTTCCTCCTAGGAATAGAGGAAGACTCAATCGAGGGCATCTTCAAAGCGGTGTCTGATGCAGCAAAGATTTCTAAGACTGCAGGCGGCCTTGGCATGAATGTGCACAAACTGCGTGGCGCCAATTCACTTATCAAATCTACAGGTGGTCGTGCATGCGGCATTATACCGGTTGCAAAGATATTTGAAGCGACACTGCGCTGCATTGATCAAGGCGGCAAGAAACGACCGGGATCGATGGCGATCTACGTCGAGCCGTGGCACTCCGATATCTTTGAGTTCCTTGATATACGCAAGAACACGGGTAAAGAGGAGCTGCGTGCACGCGATATTTTCACAGCGCTGTGGATACCTGATCTGTTCATGCGGAGGGTGCACAACGATGAGAACTGGTCGCTGTTCTCCAACGATGATGTCCCGAACCTGTACAATCTGTACGGAGATGAGTTTGACAAGGCGTACGAGATGTACGAAAAGAATGGCATGGCGCGGCGGACCGTGCGTGCACAGAAGTTGTGGAAGGCTATTCTGAGCAGTCAGATCGAGACTGGCACGCCGTACATGTGCTACAAAGATTCAGCGAATAGGATGAACAATCAGAAGCACCTTGGCACGATCAAATGCAGCAACCTATGCTCGGAAATAATGGAGTACACCGAGGAGAACGAAATAGCGGTGTGTAACTTGGCATCCCTCGGCTTGCCCAGGTTCATGCAAGACGGCCAGTTTGACTATGAGAAGCTCAAAATGGTCACCAAGATTGTCGTAAAGAACCTCAACAAAGTGATAGACGTAAATTTGTATCCTCTACCCGAGACAAGGAACAGTAATCTCAAACATCGTCCCATCGGCCTTGGAGTGCAGGGCCTTGCTGATGTTTTTGTGATGCTGAGGATGCCGTATGATTCAAAGGAGGCGCGTGCCGTAAATTTGCGCATATTTGAAACGATTCATTTTGCAGCACTTGATGCGAGCTGTGAGCTTGCGAAGGAGTATGGGCCGTATGACAGCTATGAAGGAAGCCCGATGAGTCAGGGCGTGCTGCATTTTGATATGTGGAACGTGGTGCCTGTGACAAACCATGATTGGCGGGGTCTCCGTGCCAGGATAGCGAAGTATGGTGTGAGGAATTCCTTGCTTGTTGCACTAATGCCCACTGCAAGCACCTCTCAGATACTCGGGTACAACGAGTGCTTTGAGCCCTTCACCACGAATATTTATACGCGCCGCACGCTTGCGGGTGAGTTCCAGGTGGTCAACACGTACCTGATGCACGACCTGATGAAGCTCAATCTATGGAGCGATGAGATGAAGAACATCCTGATACAGGAAGAGGGAAGTATTCAAAGAATTGAGGGTATACCGGACGAGATAAAGAGGCTTTATAAGACAGCGTGGGAGCTGAAGATGCGTAGTTTGATTGATCTGGCAGCTGACAGGGCACCGTATGTTGACCAGTCGCAGAGCCTAAATATTTTTATGGCACAGCCAACATATCCTAAGCTGACGAGCATGCATTTTTACGGTTTTAAACGGGGACTTAAGACCGGCATGTATTATTTGAGGACTAGACCGATATCAGCTGCTGTTAAGTTTACGGTTGATAGAGGCATGGTGAGCACAACAAAGTTGCTCCAAAAATCATCGTGTAGTCCCACGAGTGAAGATGATGAGTGCATGTCATGTAGTGCGTAGAATAATCTAAGTAAAATAGTTTTAAAGATTTTGTTTCATTGCTTACGATTGTAAATTGTATCCTTGGTATGACAACAAAGGTAATTATCGTCCTGTAGTGCGCTCGATTGTGCGAAAACAGAGTGATTTCTGATGAATTGGATGAATCTGCTTTTTAAGTACCGAAGGAAGGAAACCTGGGTATCATATATAACTATGGGAGAATTTTACTCATTAATCGCTGGTCATGCTACGTGCCGATAGGCTGTCAAGCATCTTTGAGCGTGAAAGTGTCGATTTGCGAGCGATTAGCTACAGAGATATATCGTGTACGCAGCCAGCCCGTACATGATCGCAAGATAGTGCAGCCTGAAGCATAGAGTGACGTACGTAGCCTTCTTGGATTTATCAAAGACATACGATGTGTTACTACAGAGGGCCTGCTGGCCAAGCTGTGGTCGTACAACTTCCACGGAAATCTCGTTTGGCTTCTCACTGCCTTGTACGGGCATCCGTGCTGACTGGCTAAATTCGTTCAGCATTGTTAATGTACAATATCGAAGTTAGATAGAGATGCCCGCGTCCCCGGTTCTGTTTAACCTGTGCACCAATGACCTGTTCGATGGTCTCAGCAAAGTCACAGTGCAACCGGCGCGAGGTCATTCCAAGCCTGCTCTACTTGCCAAGTCTGCCCATGAACTGCAGAGCAGGCTACACAGGATCAGCTATTGGTGCAAACGGTGAAAGATGTCTCTGCACATTAACAGGATTGAAGTATTTGTATTTGGTCCAGGAGATGCATACAGAATGTGCTTTATCGAGCAGTTTCTTCCTGATATAGATAGCTATACACACCTCAGCCTACTATTGACATCTGATCCTGACGTGAAAGTAGTAATACGGGTAAGAAAGAAAAGATGGTCCGTAAGTCCATGAGATGAAACCGCTCCTCACACAGAAGTTTGTGCCAGCATCCACTAAAATGCTTTTGGTCAAGTTCGTTCTACTTCCGATTGCAACCTACGGGTGCGAGTTGTATAGCGTCCACTACCCATTCCAGAATAAAAGTTATTCGAGCGCTTCTGAGGAAGATAATGAAAGTCATGGCTTGTATGTTAAAGCCACTGCTGCGGTTTCAGCACACCTTTATATTGTGATAGGATGCGAGCGAAGATTTTGAGCAAGATGAAAGACAAATTTTCCTTATAAACTAAATTCTAGTAGTCATGACCGGATCTAGCGGACCACAAAAGTGTGTTTATTCGGATATTGTAATGTGTGAATATAAGTAAACGAGTTTTAGTGAAAAAATGAGCTACTATCACATGTGTTGTTTCCTTGCACTAGCATTGCCATAATTACCCCTAGACTTAGGATGTTGTTCTGTATTGTATCGTTTTCTTAGCTTTGTTTAGCTTCAACACCATCTCTCAATATATTGGTACATCTTTTTCTTCTTTTGCTGATAGCATATCAATTTGAGAGAAAACAGCTGTGCTGTAAAATTGCTGCAAAACCACACAAATATTTGCATAATAAATACTAATTAAATTGATCACACTATAATACCACATTTAATATTTTAATGTTGCTGTCATTTACAATTTTTTGATTATTTTTCTAATTATCTGTCAAAAAGATGCAATATAGTCATCAAGACCACAGTGATTAGCGCTCATTCTTAGTCAACCACCATATGTAAATATGTTGTTACGATTGAATATTTTTAATTAAATACCAGTTTAGTAACAATTGTGTCATGGCTTTACAACACGTGATATCGATTGTGAAATGGCAACAAAATATCATGTCATGATTATCATGAGAATACTAGCACATTATGTAGCTATAATATTGTACAAAAAGAGCATAAAGAAGACGAGTACTGATTATTACAATCGGTTTGTTCAGCAACTTGTAAAAAAATACTTTCAAACAGTGCTTTAAGTAGTTACAACATTCAAAAAACAAATGCAGGTGACATTTTATATTAACATCAGTTGATCAACATTGATGACATTTATGTTCAATATTTGTTCGAATTGATTTGATGATAAGAAATTCATTTGGAGTAGAAATGATAACAGGAAAAGAATGCAGTGATACTAGCACACACAATATAACTAGTGTACATGCATTGTAATAAACATAAATATGATAATGCATTGATAATTGCATATTGTAATGTAGCTTTCAGCTTTTCGTGAGGTAGAACAACACAATTACAATATGAGTTTTCTGATCAAAAGCAAAACATGTGTTTAACAGCAATGTACTGATCACTTAACAATACTTTTATTCTTCCATTATCATATTCTTACATCATATCGAAGTTCACACAATTAACAACAGTGTGTTGACCATGAATACTTCGTTCATGCAAACAACTAGTTTACTATTTTCTGTAACATATTGATGAGAAAAGCAGACCTATTTTGTGTGATCGATGCCATAAACAAGAAAAGAACACACTAAACTTGTAAAATGTGTGCAGCATGATTGTTAGTGTCAAAAAAATCATAATTTAATGCTGTCCTTCTCGTCTAATCACATGACCAACAACCATATGAGATGAACAAAAAGCACGTGCCGATATGAATGAATTTCCTTATCATTTTTGCAAATTTAAAACTATAAAAGGAAAGAATTCTGTGGATCCCATGATTTTTTTCGGTAATTTATTGTTCATTCATCAATTGTTATGTGCCAACATAGATGGTGGAGAGGGTGATGATGGCTCAGAATATGTATATACAGAGGAAGAACTTGAGTATGATCTTAAGCACTTACTGGATGAACCTGAAGAACACTTGGATCTCAGGTGTGCCCACATTGTGGAACGTCTTCTCTTGTCAGATTGTGAGACACTTTTGGAGAGGGCAACAAGGAAAAAATACGAGAACTTGCAAACCTTCTATCGTGAACTTTCAAAGACAATACAATTTGTCTACGAGGCAGAGAAGTTCAGCTTATACTTTTCTGCCCAACAGGAAGATAATGCTGAGCCAAGAGAGAGATTGAAAGTTTTTATTGACAAATCAAGCATTGAAAAAGCAAAATATATTTTAAAACGATTCGACCGTGTGAATTTGACAATTGTTCATGGGTTGTCTGTGAATTTGCATGATGTTGATCTCGATGACACAATGCAGCAATTTAGTTTCATCACCGATTTATACCTTCTAAAATTGGTACATCTACATGCGAATCGGAAAGGTGAACCCCATAAAACATTGCAAGATTTCATTGATCTTGAAGAACTTCCAAAATTGCGAACACTTAAAGTGAAGCATATGTTTGTAACAGATGAATTTTTAGAGAAAGTGAGTAGCATGAAATTGGAAAGTCTAAGTTTTACTGGATGTGCTTTTCTTACTGTGCAACAACCGGAAGATTTTAAGGTAGCTTTTGGAGAATCATATGAGACTATCTGCTTCAGTAAGTGCGAGATGTACAGAACATATTGGTCATCTTATGTTTTAGGTGGAATGCACTCTATAGCGATCATAATCAATCTAAATAAGTGCGTAAAACTACGCAATCTGACGGTAAACATGGGTGAATATGCGAGTGTTATACTCAGTAAACAAATAGTAAGGGGTCTACGGTGTTTATCACTAGGCGAAAAGAACCATGAACTGCTACTTTCGTCTTCTCAGTGTTATGGTGCTAGACTAGAGCATCTAACAATTGATACAGAAAATTATGAGCTCGCTGTTAATGTTCTAAAGGGAATTAACCGAAACGAACTTAAGCATTTAGTATTGATTTGTCATGTTTGTGATGTTTCCGATTTATTTAACCTAGACTTTGCCGCTCTTGAAGTTTTAGAAATTGATGCTGGCGGTGGTAATTTGAGGTTGGATGCTAGGCTAACCAGTGGAATACAAATGAAAAAGTTAGAAACACTGAGAATAAATTGCTGGTGTGTGGATAAAGTGTTCATGCAAATGATAACTGAACTGAAAATGTTAAAATATCTTGAAATGCTTGTAAAAGGTTGGAATTGTAATCATGAAATTCTACATAGACAACTAAGCAATTTGAAAGGTCCAATAGAAAAACTCTTTGTTAGTTCTAATATGACCATTGGTGAATTGGTAAGGTTAATAGAACCTTTGAACAAGCTGGAAGAATTTTACATAGACGGTAGATCCATACTTCCGTTGTCTGATAGCCCCGCCAATCGAAATGATGATGAATTTCAACTTGCAAAAGTTGATGCGAACAAACGGAATTTGGTGGAGAGCAGGAATGTGATGCATCTAAAACTCCACACTCTCCATATTGGCTTAGATTCAGCTTATGAAGAACTAATCGAATTTATGTTGTGTCAAGGTTTTGAAGCTTTCGCAGGTATTAAGAAACTGGTGATATTTGAAGCACCAACAGATTCTTGGACAAGGTTAGAAAAAATTCAAAAGTTATCAGAAATTTCGCCAGATCAGCTAAATAACTTGATCGAAAATATTTTTGAGACGCTCAAACAGCTTGATGTACTGATTATCCGTTATATGAGTTTTCACATTTCTGAAGAAAAGGCTCATATTCTTCGTAAGCTTTTTTCTGAGAAGTGTAGATCTCTCAAGGAGCGATGCGAGTGGTCAGATAAGTGCAATGAAGAACAAACAATCTTCGAGCTTTATAAGTAAAAGTTAAGTTATTTTTCGATATTCTGGTGCTGATCATTTCTTTTTTATGATTGTAATGATCTCAGGTCTCATTGTTCATGGTATTCAAGCAATCTACAACATATTAACGATATGAGCCAACAGCATGAATGATGCTATCAATCTAAACACAATGGATTGTGTCTCCTGCATATGATCAACGCCATTGCTGCAGAAAATTTGTTGATATGAACAATTAAGATCCTTGTTGATCTGTGAAGCGATTTAAAACCGCTTGTGTTGAGGCCACCGCACGGTCATGTTTAACAGTAATGAAGTATTTACCAAAAATAAAAGCTGGTATGATGTTGTGATCTATTCGAACATACTACGGATGACATGTCATTCAAGAAAGCGATTCGAGCCGTGTGCTGTGAGATAGTCTAGCTGTCATGCACCGTTAAAAGCGTGACAAGCAGTTTTAGATATGTTAATTTCATTAATTCACCTTTATTGTTTTAGAAAATTGTTGCTGTTAATCGAGCAACTGATGAACTGCATAAATTAAATACGTGTTGGCACATTCATGTTTGTCTATTACCTGATAAATATTGACAGGAGAAAATGGTCGTTCTGTGAAAGTATGAGAGAGGAACAATATGGCATCTCTTCTGAGAATGCTAATGATGGGCTGGATATTGAGCACGCTTTCCTTGGCTGGGTGTCAGTTTACCAAGAATCACATTTATCTGTAGATTCCGATAACATGAGTTCCTCAAAGTGCTCTTGAGAGGTGTTGTTGCGCAAGTTATGGCTTGTATGTTAGGACTACTGCTGCGGTTGTAGCACATCTTAATGCTGTGATGCAGATTATACGAAGATGTTGTTCAAACTAGCGCATTAGCTTCCTCCATGGATCAAAAAACAACGATCAAGATCGGTCTCAACAAACAAAAAAGTTTGTTTATCCAAATGCTGTAGTATGCGAATAAAAATAAATAACTTTTAGTGAAAAATAAACAGAATTCCTCCCATCGCCCTCTTTAAAACGCATATTGATTTATTCCATCCCTTTGCCACGAATCACCAGCATAAAACGATCGCCCTCCCAGAAAGAATTAAATTGGTGCCTTAATCTCCTTCTAAAGGATATAAAACCGTACAACAGCACGGCATTCATCAAACATGCCAAAAGGAAGAGCATATTCAACAAAAAGAGTATGTACATCCTAGCATATGAGAATGACCTTATCGGGTTTTTAATGTATAGGACGGAACGTAAAGTAATGTACGTTTATGAAGTACATGTAGATGAGCTGTATAGAGGTAAAGGAATTGGTAGCATGCTTTTGAAGTGCGCCTATGGTGTTCTTGAGAAGAAGTATGTGAAGATGGTGTTATTTGTTGACAGGAGAAATTTAGGAGCAGTTAGGTTTTATGTTCGTAATGGGATGGCCAGGGATATTGAGGAAGAGTATAAAGGATCGGGATATGAGGCTTATTCTTATGTGAGAAGAGGAGTAAATATTGAGAATTAATATGCAGAAAGATTTTGTAGCGCTTGTTTAGCACCACCCTTATAGTTTGTCCCACTCATTACGTGCACAGTTTCTTCCCTCATTTAAACGTTGCTTATGGGCTTGTTATACACGGCATATCATTCCTTATCATGTATGGTACATTTTTACATGAGAAGACCTTCCTACATATGTAAATTGTTCTTCGTTCTTTACACACATATTTCTCCTCAAATTAACTTTATTTCCAAAAACGGCCTTACAAAGCACGCATACCACGTTTATTGTAAATAAATTTTAGCAAATTATTGCTAACTACGGTTTTGTTGATTGCTGTTTTAGGATGCACGTTGCGGTTTTCTGCATAGGAACAAAGTATGTGCCTATGGATGACATCTTAAACAAATGCATATTTCATACTCCTCTTTATCGCCAATCGGTACCACCAGCTATTTCCTCCCTACTCTTCTACCATCACACTGCCTCGTATTTTAAACTTCAACCCCATACAAAAATAAGTATCACGCACCACACTCAACTCCCAGTCATAATACACCAATCCACTCTCCACAAAAAGTACACACTTGCCCAGCTTGTCATTAACCTTCCTAACCATAACCATATCAAATGCACTCATACCTGTTTTATAGAACAGCAGATAGTCGTACTGCTCAATAACATTCAATATAAATGGTAAATTACTTATTGCGGTAACGAATAGTGCCCGCTCTTTCTGTTTGAGTGTATTTATGTCTGGAAATAGCACGGTTGATTTAGTGACAAGGAGCGTATTAGTTGTGGATAGAACGATTGACTGGATGAATGATGTTGATTTGTACAGGGTGGTATCATTTATAAATGTTGTTTTATTGGTCAGTTTTGATAGGATGGTGTTTTCCATTTCTTCTTCTTTTTTTGGGGCTGTGCCGTGGAAACGGTAATGAAAGGCACTATAAGCAGGTGGGTGGTAGTACGATAATGAATAGAGTAAGAGTTTGATTGTAAATGTAGAGACATGGAGTAGAATGTTAATGTACGGTACAGTAAAGAGAGAACGGTAAGGCTGTGTTGGTAGGAAATAATTTGTTTGATATTCTGATGAAGAGATGACCGCACATTTACTTAAGATTAATTACAAAGCGAGTCATTGCATTTAATTGATACATTTACGGTGTTAACGTACACTGATCCTTTAAATACGTCTAATACTTGACAAGGTGTTCGTATCGTACCGTAAAAATTGCCACCAATGTTTCGTTACTCACGGTACAAATAAATTCATTTTTCATCGCTCTACTCACGGCACAATATAACAATCAAACACGAGCTGACAAGTAGTAATTAATACCTGCAGCTCTCTTAATGCTCCATAACATCTAACAAAAATAAAAATATGGTTTACTTACCGCTACGGTATACTCCACATCATTTAATAAGCCAACAATTAGCAAATAATATGATGGTATGCGCGTGAAAATACCTAAATTTCTACAAAAAGAAAAGTATGATTATGCACAATGGATGCAGAGCTGCTTGACAGCATTCTCACGGCGTATAAAAAACTGAGGATGGAGTTTCACAAACTAAGGAATGAAATAAGAAGAATGTATAGCAACACTAAGAAGAGTATAAAACACGAAATAAAAGGTATAAAGACGGATATGGGAAGTTCTGTGAAAATGAACAAGAGAGTTAGGGGTGGTAGCGGTACAGTAAGGAACAGAAATGTAAATAACAGATTTGGTAAATTAGAGAATAGGAAAGTGAAGAGAAAGGATGTGGTTAGTGGTAATAGAACAGATAAATCGGTGAAACAAAGGATGAATGGAGGAGCGTGTAGAATAGTTGAAGTGAACAAACAGGATGAGCACAGAATAGTTGAAGTGAACAAATTAGAAAATAAAAACGGAACAAATAAACCGGAAGAATACAGAGCGATTGAAGTGATTGATAACCGCAATGAGCACATGATTCGAAATAATGCAGCAAATGTTGCCTTGATGAGCCGTTCTGCACGTGGTAACAAGGACGTAACGAAAACGGAGAAAGAAGGTGTACGGATGAAAAACAAAAACAATCTGGGCTCGTTCATGAAAATGTTACAGGAAGAAACAGAATAAACGGTTTTTACTGCAGTAATACAATCATCGCTTCTTCTTCGCTTACCATACGTGCTGACAACAATATTTTGCCGCGAACCGCCGAGGGGTACATTAATTAGGGTACGCCCTGCCATAAAAATATGCCTTAATTTGTTCTCTGTCTAGGGGGTCCTGTTTTTACATGGACAACAAAACAGAACTTATCAAAAAAATAAACACCTCCATAGAAAAGATCTTAGACTCTCTCATCGACATATTCACAATTTTGCAAACAACGAACACAGAAGATTACGAAGAACTAAGAGATGTTACGTGTGTGCAACGTAAGATTGTGCAGGTATCTGATTCTGTACTGCATATCTATAACTATACGGTATTACTGAGGTATACGAGGTATGAGAAGGTCGAGAAGAGGGCAGAACATGATGTGTTTGATGCCGATAGTATGTTTAATGACATAGTTAATGAAATAATGGATGGCTAAGGATACGTACGTGTTGATTGATACTAGGTGATTAAAGAACTGTAGTGGTGGTATTAATTACTTTGAGTGCAGAGTGATGGTGTATTTATCTTGGAATAAAGGAGCTGTTCTGATAACTACGTTTGAACTATGAATTAACGAATAGATTGGTTGTCTTTAATACTGCCCCATGTTAAATAACACCTCGTATTGTGTGACAAAATACCGGTAATTTACACGAATGGTATTTTCTTCAAAACGAGTGTAACACCATAATTTGAAAGCATATGCTGCTGCTTAGTCCTCTTATAACGCGCTATACCACGTGCTATCGCTCTTTAACATCATTTAAAAGCATCGAGACAGCGCAAAATTTGCTTTCACGTAGTGATGTAAAATGAGCATGAAAATGCCTTAGCTGGAATAAAAATTGAACAAATTTGTTGCGATGAAGAATGCTATACCTAATATAGTTGTTGAAAGTATATTTGAAGGTGATACCGCGAATTTACCGAGCGCTAATACAAATGAATTAGCCGTACCCCTGTTTTGACCAGTAAAGCCTTTCTGCAGAATATTCTCAACGTTCTTCACAACAGAGGTATAAATGACAAGCTTTTCGTCATTAATGAACTGAGAAACGCTCTTTTATACAAGAAGTGTCCTACAAACATCAAAAGAATGGTGATAGAACGATTACTTACGCTTTATTTTGGTTGTCACTGTGTCAGCACGAGAAATATTATTATCAAGGTGCTAGCGAACACAAGGAATATACCAATAGATCATTATGCATATCAAATATGTGATGATCTTGCGTGTACGAATTCTGAGATACGTTGTGTTACACTGAAGTTCTTGAAAAGGTTGAAGTGTGTGGTGAACGATGAAAATGTAATATTATGTGCTAAAAACGCAGGAAGAAAGGCATACATATCCATTTTAAGAAACAATATAGATATTACTTCTCAGATTTATCGCAGTTGCGTTGTGAAAGGAACATTTCCTAGTTTTACGGTCAAAGAGCATGTGCGGATCGCTCAAAGAAATTTTTACGTACAATCTCTGCTTGTGAATAAAATAAGAAAAGAAAAAAATGCGGAATTAAAACGAGAGGTTGAGGAAAAGATACCTTTTCTAAGAGATGGGGCATATAATGCTGTTAAAGGGATGAAGAGGGTTAATTAATGTTGGTACGAGAGAACGAAATGTAAAAGAAATATACTACATTGGTTGGTACGAGAGAACGAAGTGTAAAAGAAATATACTACATTGGTTGGTACGATAGAACGAAATGTAAAAGAAATATACTACATTGGTTGGTATTCGGAGCTACCGTATGTGTATAGCATGTATAAACGTATGATGTAAAAAATGTTGTGTTTATAAAAGTGCGGTGGAATAAAACATCGTGGGGAATTGATCAGAATGCTATTAGGGACAATCAATCAAGGAAAAAAATGAAAATATTGTTATAGAAGGATAAATAAACATAATTTAGTGAAAAAAAGGGAAAGAGTGATTTGCTAGTGTATATGAAAGATGTGGGTACTACTGGACGGATAGTGTTAATGAATGAGAGCACGTACAGCATAAATAAATGAGAGTAATTATTCTTGTTATTCTTTCATTAGAAGTATGTTCATTCATCTTTTCATATCATACCTAAAAAAAATTGTCTTTTTAGTCGTTTCGTTGTCACCTGCGACAAGACGAACTAAATCCGTTTATCATGGTTCTATAGTTACGATACACTACAGGTACGTTCTTTTCACAGAATGTGTTGAAATTCTGCCAGTTATTTGATATGAAGAGTGCACTCCATTCCGGATCGAACAGTTGAAATATTCGGTATCATCCAAAGAGCTTATTCAATATCGCAAGAATGTGCCTCATCCATTTCGATCTCAGGTTAATAACCGTTGAAATGAAGTAATACAACGCAAAAGCGCATGCATCTGCGATTTAAGGTGTGCAATTTTGGTGAACAACAGTTCACGCTGCTGACAGCAGGGCTTCATAACTAAAAATGTTATTTAAATACATCATTGATATAGGGTGGTGCTCTTACAAACAAATTTGATGTGCAAACGATAAAACAAAGACATTAAACACGATTTCACAGGTAAAACCTACCTAAACTACTATAACATACCATTTAAACTACGGAGTAACATCACACGCCCTCGTTCATCTCTTCAAGCGTGATCCAACGGTTTACATAAAAATTCTCATCATTCTTCACAATTTTAACCTTAACTTCCTCGCTCACTGCTCTCACGCTCGTGATAAAACCATCTATGTCGTACTCAGGTATGTAAACCATAGATCCATTCGCTAAACTCTTGATCACGTATGCCTGTGTCACCGGCTCGTGTTCACTGAGATACAAGTACAAAAACAGGAAATTGCACTCCCGTGATGCTATCTGTGCACCTCGGTGCCTTGCATTGAGGTGTTTGGTGAGAGCATCTATGCTGTAATCATCGTATCCGTAGTCGGATTGGAACATGATCGACTTTACGAGTCGGTGTACCACCAAGTCGGCATATCGCCTTATCGGCGATGTGAAATGTGTGTAAATCGGTTCAGCGAGACCAAAATGCCTGAAGTCTGCGAACGGAACAGTTCCACTCGAAAAATACGTGGCTTGTGCCATCGACCGCCTCTTCAACATCGATCTTACACTTTCTATCTCCGATTCGATTTCTTTTATTTCGGTCTCCGGGTGCCTGCGCAACAGCGAGCAATTTCTGATATGCTCGTACATAAACTTTGCAATAGTGACATTTGCTAGAATCATAAACTCTTCTACTATGCTGCACGTTTCCGCCTCACACTTGGTGTTTATCCTCAGCTTGTCACTTTCCTCACGAACAAGTGTCTCTCCGATGTTCAGGATTAGTGCACCACTATCAATTCGAGATTGCTTAAGCTTGCGCGACACCTCATACAGCCTATGCAATGATGCGTATGAGCGATGATTTGTGTCATTCAAAATACGCTGGGCCTCCTCATACGTAAACGACTCTTTGGACTGAATTATCGTTTCGCTCACCTTTGTGTTAATGATATTGAAATTGCTGTCAAACTGGAATATTACGCTCAATGCCAGCCTATCAACATTGCTCCTTAGCGAACACAGATCACTTGATAACACATCAGGCAGCATGTCAATTCGTCTATCGTTTAGGTACACAGTTGTGCCACGTCGTTTAGCTTCTTCGTCAATGGTTGTATTTCGCAGGACGTACGAACTCACATCGGCAATGTGCACACCTATTTCTATGGTATCTCCCATTTTGCAGTGCAGAGCATCGTCTATATCGGTACATCCCGGTGGATCTATGCTAAACACGTATTCATCTCTCAAGTCAAGCCTGTTGCTGTTTATCTCTGCAAAGCGCTGCAAATCCCTAGTCTCTTCACAATTTGTTTGTTCGTGTCCGAATCGCTCCGTTTCTTCGTGGTAATTCTTACTCAAAGGAGCGTTCGGTATTTCATTGAGGAGCAGAATGCTGTTTATTTCGACTTCTACATCTTTTATAGGTCCTATTGTGCCGAGATACACAGCATTTGGATATTTCGATGTTTCTTTCCATTCTGAAATGATAAACTTCAATCGCTTATCCTTGATACGCCCAACATTACTCGTCTGTATCCTGCATGGTGGATATTTCTTGTCCATTGGTTTTATCAGGACGTTTTGTGTGCCTGTACCGCTTATCGTGCTGTTAAGAATCGTTCCTACAATTATCCTGTCCTTTCGTTCTTTTATCCCTGTAATATACGCAAACTCCTTTCTCTCGTTTTTCGTGTCTACTTTGTCCGATCCAGATGCACTCATAGCGTCTGTATCAGTCTCGAGCACCTCTGCCTGTACTTCATCCGATTCCACAATTTTAAAGTATACCTCGTCACCGTTCAGCGCCCTGTTAACATCCAACCGGTTGTTTACGTAGTACTTCTTGTTCTCGCAGTAAATCGTGCCTGAAAAGTAGTTGTAATATGACGAATGGAAGAAGCCTACGGATCCTTCATTGGTGTACTCCCGGTAGCTATCGTCGTCCGGCGTATCAGGCACTGTAACATAATCACACAGAAGAGGATCATTCATAAACTCAGAACAATTTTCCACATCCAAAATGTTAATTTCAACGCCTGGTACATGCGAATGGTAAAATAGCAGGGCACGCCTCGTCTTGCTAGGCCACTTCTGTTCATATATTGTCATATTACCATCTCTAACCAACATTCTCCGTTCTTCCTCCTTATTCATCTCTTCTAACCTAAAATCATCGTAAAACACAAAAATCCCGTTCCTCTTTATTATCCTTGTGTACGAATTGTACCGCCGTATGTTCTTCAACTTTATTTCCTTCAGTACACTTTGCAAAACGATAACATTCTCTGAAAATAATAAAGATTTGAATTTTATAAGAATGTCCGCTTCAGCGATGTAATACTTGTCCTTCACTAATTTTGTGGTACTGGTACAGCACGCAAAACCACACGGTATGTTGACCCGTTTGTAGCATTCAACGACCCGTTTGATAAGCTTGCGCCTTCTATTAAAGGCGTATGTCTGCTCGCACGCTATCATACCGGGGCACCCAAATATTTTTATTGTACATCTGCCGGAAAATGTTGGGCTCGTAAGTACACCGGAGAAAGTATATTGAATGGGGGAGAACGAGGTGTATTAGTGGTAGGAAAGTCTTTGTCAACACATTTTTATTTGTCGATATTTATTGTATGTGCAGCACAAGGTATAAATATTGACAGTGGTGTTACCACAATATAAGGTAACGGCCACAAAAGTATTTATTTCACCAAAAGAATGTTCGTTCCGACAATGACTATAAAAATGCTTGTTTTCCATCCATTAGCCACTTGCTTTGTTTTTTGTGGGTGGTAGATTATGAACTGATGCGTATTAACATTCGAATACTCGTTAAAATATTTGATGCCCAGGGATTGCAGCTCAACCATCATTTTATTCTGTAGCTGAGCCGTATTTTGCAACTTTTTATTCGTTTACAAACACCCTCCTCATGAGTCTCAAGTTCAAGAAAGTTGACAAATGTGAAGATGTGAAAAGGATAGATTGCTCTTCTTCGGGCGTATACATACTCAAAACAGACATGGTGTTGACCACAGAATCAGGCCAAACATGTGCACAGAATTGTAAAGACTTCGCTTGCTTCAAAAATGATGTCCTTGTTTATGATGGGCGCGATTTGATCTTTGGAGATGGAAGGCTTACTGTGGATGCGTGCTCGGATGTTTTTCTCAACGACAATATTGGTTTGCTGAGAAACAGCACGTTAATCATCTATGATAGAAAATTCAAGGTACTGGGAGAATATGAGTGCGTTTCGAAAGTGGGATTTTTGTCAGACGGTTTTATCGTGGAACTAACCGAACCAAGCTCAACCTTGAGAATATATAAAAATTTAGAAAAATTTGATGAATTGAGTGGTAAGTTACTGTTTTGTAAGGAAAATGTGTACGGTGTGCTGAACGAAAAAATTATCATTTATAAGAATCACGTTGTAAAGCAGCGCATAGAGCTGGCGGGAGGTGCACTATCATTTGCTGAATTTGAGGATATAGGAATACTTTATGATGACGAGGAGTTCAGGTATTTTTATAGAGGTGAAGAGGTTATCAATCAGGAAGAAGAAGAGTTGTTGGTGATGGGACTCGATAAAAATGGTGAGTCCGTTGGTCTGAGAGATATTGTGATATTTAGGGACCTTGTATATCTACTTGGTTATAATGATACGTTGACTAGATATAAGATAGAAATAGAAAATGACAAAGGTGCTGGTGATCAGTCTAGCAGTAGGATCAGCATGCTAGATATGGAACCAGATTTGGATTTTAATGAGCTTTCGCTTGATGAGAGCACAGCAGCAACGAATGCGCCAAAAAGAGAAGAAAAGGAGACGAAGCAAGAAGGTACAGAAGCTCAGGAGGAATCGAGTAGGCTTACAGAAGCTTTTAAGTCTACATCATTGTTTAGCAGCAAAACCGGTACACTGGCGGCCAATCTTTTTACCAGCGCTACAAGGGAGACTGGTGCTAAAAATGTATCACAAACGACAATTTTTAAGGATAGCTCACCAGAAAAGAAGAGTTTTGATGCTTCGATCCAAGATAAACCAAGAAATACAACGATAAATCTGAATGTTGTCGGCTCTAGTAGTATCGGAAGTAGTTCTGACGGGGCCAAGAGTGTCGTGGCAGGAGAGGAAGTAAAAAATAAAGATAGGACAGCTGTGGATGTAAAAGCGGGCGATTCAATAACCGGATTATTTCAGCGAGGTGCTGTTGTTGGGAACACTACAGGTTCAACACGTTTTTCTGCCATAGATAAAAAAGAATCTATATCAAGTCAGACTGCGCCAAAAAATCCCGACGAAGTTCTCAAGACATCTTTACGCTGTGACATTAACTCCTTGATGAATGATTTTATGTCTATAAAGACCAATACGTACCAATTCGAGAGCATCGACGACCTACCCGACAGCGAAAATTACCGATTAATATATACAAAACTCAAGTTCTTGGAAACTGTGAATGAGAGAAGTATTAAAAAGGAACTATCACGGCTGAATGCAATGCTGAATAGGAAAATTACATTTGAGAACTATTTAGGCTATTTCGATGAAAAAATAAAGGTTCTAAATAGTGCGCGATACCTGATCAAGCACAGAAGTGCACCTGTATATGATTCAGCTTTTAGTAATCGGCAACTTGCGGCTAAGTTTTTGGACGATTTAAAACTTTTGGATGCGAAAGCTGTCAATAAGCTTGACAAACTAGAAGAAAGAGAGCGTATGTGCAAGAGTGAGCAGGTTAAAACTGAGACAGCTTTTGTTGCACCACAATCGGGAAATAATGTCTCCTCTACACCGACCAGAAATGAACCTACCGGTAGTTTTCAGCCTCCATCCATTCAGCAAAATATCTTTCAAGAACAACCGTTGTTCAATCCAATGAACAGTTTTTCTCCAAATACCACGAATAGCGTACAGAACAGCTCGAACACGCCCTCTTCCATGAATACACGAACATCGACGTTTTCACGTTTCCTGAACAAACAAAATGATGTGTTGAAAAAGATGGAAGAACGAAAATGATAATTGTGTTTGCCAGTGGTCTGTACCGATACAAATTGCTTATTAAACCGTATTTAATACACTAAGCTTTTAATCGTGTTATATTTTTGCTTATTCTCTGCTCATTTTGCTCGTTGCATTTGGTATTCTAGACTGTGGTACAACTATCAGTTCTCGTAACATCGATCAACAGATCGTTATGGTGTGTTCAGTTCAGTCAATCGTTCTAATAGCAATTTAACAGAAAAATATCTGGTGAAAACGTTGTTTGCATCTTGATCCTCCGTTTACTGCTTATGGCATAAGTCCATGTTTAGATACGTTTTCCCACTGCTGTTTAAATAGCGTGATAATGCTGGAAGAATAGATCGCAAATGTTTTATTTTTGGCTAAAAATAGAATTAGGGCGTCAAGCACGGCCACATGCGGTTTTGCACAGAAATGTATGAATATTCTGCTGCTAACCTTCTGATGTGTGTTGTGGTAATCGATTTTACAATAGACAGCCTCGATTCCAAAACATTATACACCGATCAAACTAAAATGGCAATTATAGCTAAGGTACATATGTGATGAGTTTTATAGTTATTAAAGTAGTAGATGGTTTATACGGTACATTTTGCTGTGATTTGGTGTGAAATGCCCTTTTTTAGTTTGTTGCAAATCTCATTCAGCTCACCGGCCAGCGTTTTATAGAAATTATCGAAATAATCCTTAAAGGAAGTTCACGTGAACGCTTTAAAATTGCAATTGCAGCATTAAGTAATAAATTAATTACCATGATGGTGCAACACTCTGCAGTAATATTTTAAATATTACCATGATCTTGGTGAATGAATAATTTGAGTATACACTTCCATAAAAGTACCACATGCATAAAATGTAGAGTTATAAAAAATTTTAGCGGTTATGTACATTATTTCAGCGGGATGAACGTGCGCACACATCTTCAAAAATTCGTGGTCGGACTTGAATTGGAAGTTTTACTCTTTTTTTTCATTTTTTTAATAGAATCGTTTGCTTGAATCCCTGCTAAGTTATAACATGAAATTTGGTAGTTTGTGGTAGGAATTTCTGGTAACATGTGTTACTTTAGGCGAACATTCGGTGGTCTATATTGGTCATGTGCCGTTTTATATGAACATCTCCTCCGTACGTACCATGCTCGTGTGTTAATTGTCTCAATTATTCCGTATTGATACACAGTCCTATGCTAAAATAGGTCATAACAACCCTATCGTTCCCAATTTCGGACCCGCAATTCAAGAACATTTTGCGGTCCCTAAAACTTCATCATATGAACTTTACCCCTGTGGAATGGTCGTAAGAACCGAGTTTGAAAAAATCATCGGCGATTTGCAAAACAAAAATTACGCCCAGGTCATAGACCGCATAACACAGGCACGCAAGAAAGGTGCATCTGATCCGCGAATAGAAATAATTTATGCCTATTCGCTGATACAAATGAAAAGATTCCTTGAAGCATCTAAGGTTAAACTTCCAAAGATTTTTGATTCTAATTACACATACATAGTCAAATGCGTTTTTATCGGGTTGAATCAAACTAAGATGCTCAAGAAGTTAAAGTTCAGCGATCCGATGGAGTTATACGAAGTGGCATTGCTTAACTATGAATACGAGAGTTGTGTGATGCTTAGCAAAGAGATAAAACGCAATGGAAATCACTTCACGGTGTTTTCTATCGTTGCACAGATAATATACGAAAAAAAGACGCATCATACGAAATTGCTCAAGAAAATAATACAATCCAGCTCTTACAGCACAAACTGTATGTATTTTCTCAAGAAACATAAGATATTGGAAGACGAGGTGTATGCATTTGTTAAAGAGACAGACAAGAGAGATCTTTGTTACTTTTTGACTATGAAGGAATTTTTTATGGATGGCCGGTGCATATATTTTGCTATGGGTAAAGACCGAGCGAGCGATAAAGAAACCGTTAATTTTCTGCTCGACAACTTGGATGACTGGGATATTTATGAGTACGCTATTAGAAAGAATATCGAACTTCCTGAGAGACCGACCTTAAATTACCTCTATTACAAGTTTTACTACGAAAAGTCGGAGTGCGCACAGAAAAAATTGATTCAGAACATCTCAAGTGTAAGTGAGCTGGAAAAAATAAATGAAATTCATCCGATAGCAACACTAAAGGATTATTTTGAACACAATATTGAACAGAGACTCGCCATCTTTCATGAAGATCCAAGTCTTGTCAATTTAAAATTGTTGCTTTCTCTCCTGATAGGCTCCAGAGAAGAAAATCTTGTCATATTGGCATTCTATCTTACCTACAAATACAAGAACAATGATGAGTACGGATATGAAATACAGCTAATACATCTATTTATTTGCCGTTACTTGCTATATCTACCAGGCATATCCATGGAAATGCACAGCTTGCGAATACAAGAGATACAGAAGATCAACTTATCGTTTCTATACCACGATGCATCCGTGTTTTATCGTAAAAGATTTGACGATATTGAAGAAATGGTGATGAATAATCTAAAAATCATCAATGAGTCAATGATTACGTTCGTTAACACAGGTAAATTCGATATTGCAATTTCTCTGCTAAATTTAAAGAAAAGATTTGAAGATAACATGATTGTTAAGGAAATAAAAGCGAATAAGATATTGTTCAATGAGGTTAGAAACATGTTTTCGGATCTTCTTGGTTCTAACTGCGTATATTTTTTTAACAAGTATGCGAAACAAAGAATGCGACCTGGAATACTTAAGAACCTATATAATCTGAAAAACACAGGCGATGACTACAAAAAATTACTGATTAATGACTACTACAACTTAAGGGATGAGTCTGAGTTCAGCGATGCCTTAGCAAAAATTGTGGAGTACCAGGAAGGAGCTGAGGATATATAAATGCGCAATAAAGAACTTTTTGGATGTTTTAACTATTTATATACTTTAGTGGCTCTTCCTACCTTCTAAAGAAAACAGAAGTATTCAAATGTTAAATCAAGAGTCAGCCTTAATTGCGTTGCAACATAGAATGTGTATCGAGTGTTAAATACCTTACATTTCATGAATAACCGTGTGACTTGGCTCAATAAACATGTACTTCAAATCCTTTGTGCCTGAGAAACATTCTGTATGTCGATATGGGTTTAACTCATAACAAGTCAAATGCGTTATTTTTTCTAGTCCTAATCTTTTATTTGCTAAATGGCGTTCTATTATTAAACATTCACCCATGATGACTAAAAATAATAATTTGCAAAATATCGAACCCCTGATGACAGGCAAGCACGAGTACTATGCTGAGTTCTGCCCAGAAGGAACCTTGAAACTGGTCGAATATGCTTTAGAAGCGGCATCCGCGGGGATACCAATGATAGTGCTAAGGACAAAGGATGCTATTTACTGCGCTGCAAAGAAGCAGACGTTCGAAAGTCTTGAGGTGCCGAAGAACCTCAACATAGTTCAAATATCAGAAAAGGTTTATCTCGCGATCTCAGGATTTGCTGCCGATGTGGATCAAATTGTTGAAAAGGTCAGAGATATGGCGGCTCGAAAAACTTATGAGCTTGGGTTCGATGTGACCGCTGACATCCTTGCTAGGAGTCTAGCGGATGAACGACAAGAACTCATTCAGCGTTCTGGGGAGCGACCAATGGCTTTTACTGCTATCTTTTTTGGTTTTGATGATGACATCCCTCTATTGTACCACACAGATACCTCTGCAGTATTCTACTCTTATTATGCTTTAGGTATCGGCGAGAATAGTATGAAAATGAACAAATATCTTGAAAAAGGCTATAACATGGATCTTGATCACAACAGGGCTCTGTTTACTGTTGTAAAGGGGCTTAGTGAGTCAATTGGTAACGAATTTTCACCGGGAAACATATCTGTATGTTATACCAAGAACAACAACGAGTTACAATACTTAGATGTACGTGAGATTGATACTATCCTACAGAGAATATCTGAGGCTGATTAATAAATCGTTGTGTGCTAATCTCCGTCTATTCTCGGGTGTTTCTTCTCTACATTGCGGTATTATATGCTATTAGTCGATTATATTGGCTAACTATTCTATTCAGAAATTTTGGTAGATTGTGATGGCTTGGTTTCGTTTTTCAGGTAACATTCATATTTTCGCAGTACGGATAGAATGAAGTTATCAACTATCAATGGCTTGATGTCACTTCTGAAACGGCTTTTGATCGTAACCGCTTTTACTTCAAACATGTTTATTTATTTTCCCATGCATAACCCTATCCAAGATACTCACTTTCTGATTGTCAGGATCGAGCTTTTAATCGCACAATCGTTCAAGTGGATCACCATCGATCTTTTTATAGCATTGAGTGATTATCAAAACCGAATAACGGCCCTATATTGAATGTTTAATATCCGTTTCTGCCAACATAATTCAACGATTGAAATGCTTTAAAAAGGCTAAATTTATTGTTACATGGTAAAAAATGCCGAAGATTCATAATAATGTTGTTCAAATAGCATACTTCATTTAGCGTTAACATGAGAGGGTAAATGCTAACAATAATAAAGTCAGACGCATCATAAAAAGCGATAGCGAGAACAAAAACTAAAAGATTCTTATGCTCTGACTGGTAATAACATAGGAAAATTTAAACTACATATCTATGGTAGGTTTTGCTTTATTCAATCGATTTTCGAACTTTGTAACATGTCCATAGCCACTCTTTGATGCGAGACTCCCATACTTTTTCATATAAATCTGTTCTAAAGTCTAAATCCAACAGAATAGCACCATTAATAGCTTCAAATATATCCCCATATAATTTTTTATAGTTGTTGACAAGATAACTATTCCTCAATTCATCCTTGTCAAAACATGTTTCTATATAGTTGAACAATTTGCTTGTGTATAAAACATTTCCGTATATCTGATTGTTTACCAGATTTTTTCGTGCTTCATGCAAGGCAAAAGGGCAAGAGTATTGGTTGAAAATTGACTTTGTTACAAACACGTCCAGCACAGAGTCGCCTATCAGTTCAAGTTTTTCAAAATAGGATCGCGTACCGAACATATTGTCCCTCGTGCTCGGATGAATCATGGCCTTCTCGATAAAGCCCTTGTTCCTGAATTTGTAATCAAGAATCCCTTCCACCTCAGCAATATTTTCTTCAGACATAACGTTGTGGTGTTCAGCCAGATTGACCAAAAATCTATTACACCGGAAAAACGTCCCGTTGTTACAGTTATCTAGGTAATAAAAAAAGTCAAAAGTCTTCTTTCTCACAAGCACTTCCATAGAAACGTCACCATCCAGCTCAAAGATGTCCCGCAAGAATTTATCTGTACTTATTTTCTGTTTTTTACGCGTACTCTTGCCACCATCGGTCTCGTCAAAAACACCAACAATGTTATCAGAATATTTTGAGATGTCAATAATTCCTAACTGAAATATCATTCTTTCTGTCACACTCAGGTCATTTTCGACATAACATGCTCCAATTATCGCTTCAACAATATCTGCATACGTCTTCTCACTACTTATTTGGTTGCAAACCGCCGTTTGCGAATTAAAGGCAGTATTCTTGAAGTTAAAGTACTGCTGAAGCTGTTTACAGATATTATCATTCAAAGAAGGTGGTTGAAAAACTAGGTTAGAGAAATATGATTCCAACTCAAGCTTCTTTCCGATAAGTGTTAAATTGGAATTTTCTATTATGCGGCATTTCGAATCAACAATCGATCCGGTGTCATATTCAAAGCAAAGCATGAAGAACTTTGTAACTAGATACTTCAGAATACAGTCACCTAGGAATTCTAGTCTTTCGTAATCCGGATATTTGTCGTTCTTCGATATAAAACAGTTGGAAAGCAGTTTCAAGGAAATTGGAAGATTCAAACCAACCCTTGCCTCATCAACTAAAGCCAATACTTCGAAATAAATAAAATCATATGTGAAAGTAACATATTTTTCGAAAATATCTTTGATACATGGAGTGACACGCATTATTTCTGAGGATAGCAGCGAGGTACTAGCACTCCCTTTTCCGCGATGCGAGTATATGTATCCGTTAAACATCAATCTCTTATCGCTATCTGCTGTATATTTTAAATGAGTACCGTATTTTTGCTCAAAGTATTTTAGATACGATATAAGTTCTCCGTTGCTATCGTTCTCTTCCTTCAGAAGATGATCGTCGACGTTGGAGCCATTATCGATTCGAATGACATTATCATTGATGCTTTGATCAGACCAGTCTTTGAAAACATAAAAGTTCTTGTTAAACGGATTAAACAACAGATATCCAGTGTATTCTTGGTTTTCATATAAATTACCTGCAAAACCATTCAAAAACAACTTTTTGTTTTTCAGAGGGACGACGAAGTAGTTATATGTACTGTTATAACCGATCTTTTTGTAATGAATTCCAAAAAACAGCACGTTATACAGCGCAATCAAGGACATTTGCTGATCATCAGTATCGATTTCGCCCAAATACTCAAACGATGCGCTTTCAAGTTCTATTGTTTCTTGAAATGTTTTGCCACAGATGATGCCTGTGTCTGAATTAAATGCATACAAATGGTTCAAATTTAAGTTCAAAAAACACTTGGGAATGGCACGAGACTTAATCTTTGGGAAATTAGCCTTCTTCAGTGTTACCATATACTTTTGCTTGAAAACATTCTTCACATAAGTAGAGTCACAACTATTGACAACATGCTGCATAAGCTTAAAAATGAGCGTGTACACATGTGTTATGAATACCGGTTGCTCATTATTCTCGTTCTGGATTAAGATTGAAAAAAAATACTCAAGGGGGTAGGTGTTTATGCTACTAATATTTTTTTGGTATTCGGTATCAAATCGATCCAAATAGTTATTTTCGATTTTATATGTTGATTCGAGCCATGATTTATACACTTTGTTGATAATAAAATATTCTTTTATAAGCGATAGGTTTTCATCCAAGCAGCCACATGCCATCAAACCTTTAATCGCTTTGAACGCAGCATCTTGTAATGCGGCTCGTTTTGATTTCTCTACCTGGCTTATGTGACTTTCTGTAAATACCGGATCACAGCTCACATATGGCAACTTCAGATGGCACACAAACCCCTTGTTGCTGCTGTAGTGAACATCCGTATATTCAAGGTTGGCGATGAACAAAAAGTGTTGTTCGAACAAGTGTTTCAGATTGCACAGTAACCGTGCTAAAAAAACGTGAGCAACACTTTTTTCAACGTAGGCGCCCTTTTTTGTGCTAATTTTTTCTTCTGATTCGTTCACATATCTGAAGAGGCGATAAGCCCTGTCGTCTCTCTTTATACTTTTACAAATCTTGACTATGTTCGCAAAGCAAGCATTATCATCCGCAATAAACAGGTACTTGTCAGCTTTTACATTTACATCTATAACATCATAATATATCAGAAGATCTACATCGGTTTCATGCTCATTAAAAAAATCAACATAGTTTAAAATCACTGATCGTTTGCAGGCTACGTATATTTTTTTACCTTTGTTATTTTCAAGCAGCTCTTTCAACAACAGAAATTTTCTATGGATCACGTTCAATCGTTCATATTCCTTTTCCGATACATCTGTTTGTTTGTAGTTACTTGCTTTCTGTACAAGATGTTTGTTATTCTTCAGGTATTCAACCATTTTCTCGAACGCCAGCTGATATGAAACAGATTCAAGCACCTCATCTGTGTTATAAGTTAAGGCATTTTTCAGCCTTAAGTACGTCCATAGGCTGTCATCTCGCGTTGGCTTACAAACTACAATCTTCACATCTGGACTTATAGCCGGTTTATCGTCGCTGGGCAAGAAAAATCTCTTGCTATGCAAATATATAGAATCCATCTCATTTATTTCACCAAGAAACGCAAACACAGCACATAGATCCCTGCTTTTGATGTTATTGTAGTAAAAAATTTTGAAGGTCGATATTTCTATGGAATCAAGCTTCTGTAGTCTGAAAATAATGCAGTCGTACTCCACTCCTGACAACAACCCCCGTCTCACAAGAAAAAAAAATCTATGGCGTGTTATAAGTTGTCTATCCTTTATCAGTGTACTATGGATATTTACACCACGGAAATCGTATATATTATCAAATTGCGTGTTGTTTTTGTCATCGATTACCAGTATCACTTTCTTGTAATGATTTATCAGATGCTGTATAATTTTGTTCGAGTTACTATTTAACTGAAAAATGGTGTTGCTTGTGATTTGCATTGGGGTAGCTTTTTGTTTTCTGTAAAACTTTTTAAAGTTTTGACATGCGAATAGCGGATAAATGTGTTTTTCTTACACATATAAACGTAAAATCAAGGCTTATATATGATGAATTATACATGGATAGTACTAACTTAGTGAAATATATAAATTTTTAGGTATTGTTATTGTAACAGGTACTTAGCGTGTGGGAGGTTTCAAGACCTTAAAATACTGTAGAGAATTAATGATACAAGTGAATGTGGTGAATGATACTTCAGTTTGGGCAGGACTTGAGAAGTTGCGCATTGAAAATCTAAGTACATATCAACGTAACGTTGTACAAATAAAATTTGTGTTTGCACCAGGCAGAGAAAAACTCGAGCGGTTTGATATTCGATGCAAAAAGAAACGTTTATGTTTTTTACTAAAAGCTAGCCACATAATACCGTTCATACAACAGGATAAAAGCATAGCACTATATGTAAAATTTGGTCCATTTTAAGGTGATAAGTTTATTTTTTCGAATTATTTTCTCCTGATGGGGAATATAGAATTAATCGTTGGCACAATTGCGTCTTTGACATGTTATTGGTAAAAATAGCTGTTGTCTCGCATGTGGAGATAAATAAATGACTCACAGTAAGAAAAGTCACGGATATTTCAGGAAAATAAATTAAGTACTATTTTTTAGATCGCTATTTCACATCAAGAAAAGTTTTTGCTGATTTAGACAGGTATTGGTTTACTCATCAGCTTTTGGTTGTCTTTTCATTTCTTTTGAAATGCTGGTCGAATAATCTATATATGAATAGCGCCGTTGCAAATTAAAAGCTGTGAAAACAGATTATTACTAAAATTTAGGATAAATTTAAATATGTGATACGGAAATACCGTTTGTAGATGTTACTACCTGAACACTATAATGTTTGCATCCTGTGATATACATTTTTTTGAAGAACTTGTTACATATTATAATCGCATCGAACAAGGTTCCATCCCAAAGTTAAGTATCCGAAGAAAAAGACCAATCTCTTCGCTCATGGTGGCCTATGTTCGACTCTCTCTTTATAGACAGATTTAGGCAAATGCCCGAGGAGTCTGTTATATGACAACAGAACACAGACAAATGATAAATTTTGAGAATGAGAAGTATTAACTCATAGGTAGCAGGTGGAAGGTAGATGTCCATAGAGGATGCATACCCTCACTATCGCAAGATGGTAGGTGACGGTAATTGAATGACATAAGACTTTCGGTTCCAAAATCGATTTGACGTTAGAAATATCACCATAAATCAAAATTATATGGCTGTGGTATGAGATAGTCTGTAAAACTAGCCAATGATGAAGAGATAAATTGTGCTTGCACCATTCAAAAAATATGTATTCATGCAAAATAAATTAGAAAGTATATGCATGCGTTAAATTGACGAAGTGATTGTAGAAATCAAAATTGAACAAAGTTGATGGAAGAATATAGCATTGTGTTCAGAAATATGCCTGAACAACTTACAAATAAAAAAATATTTCCGTACAAATTTACTATCCATGAATGTGCAGTAAACTACTGCATGGTTGTCATTTTCCCCTCAACTGGTATACTACCCGTTTAAAGACATAAAACTATAGAAGCAGGTTAAGAGGCAGTCCTGAACCAGAAGAGCTATATAAAATAGGTAAGGTATGAAGTGACATGCTGCACACCATACCTGGCTCTACACATAATCATAGTGATGCACACTACAACAAAGTGGGACAAGACAGATTATTCAAGCTTGTAAAAACGTAATTAGCACTAACATGGTGCTTCGCTGAATAATTTTCCCGTGGGAACGGTTTATCCGGTCATTAAGATTATTTATTGTTCGCTTCTTGTCAAGCATATCACCACTATCCGAGATCACTGTTCAACAATGATCCATTACTCAATTTAAAAGGTCTAAACTGCTAGGCTTATACAACATTAGATACTCCGTTATTTCGTCATTATCCTATGAGATCGTTTCCATAAGATAGAAATGCATTCAAAATTCTTTTGCATACAAACAGCCTTTATTTAAAGCAGCTTATTTAAAAAGCACCAGCAGTGTCTTTTGATTCGTTTTTTGTCACGAATGAAAAAGCGCTGGTATAAAACTCAAACACTGCAAACTCATGTGTTGCTTCCAAAGACATCAGTGCTATTTCGATTTATTTTAAATGCTCTTCTCACGTTATATAGCATTCAATTGATGTTGTAGAGTGTAAAGAGTTTTTGGAATGAACTATATCTTTGTTTACAAACTGTGATTGCTATATGAATTGGTTTGTGCATCATAATAAAACTGGTATAATCGTTTAAACTTTGCTTAAACAACTTTGTTATTTAATAGTGTATATTTGGTATCGCTTTCGCACAAAGCTAGGAGTTAATAGTATCTACCATTAGAAAGCGTTGAATATGCTAGTGAAATATAAAAAATCAATTTGAAATCTATCTTCAAGTCACTTAATTGCAGTTAACATTTACCAATATTTATATCAAAAGGCATTTTATCTGTGGAAAACAACACCAAAAATAGACCATGTTCAGAGTGAAAGTACTAAATTTCAATTTTTTAAAAAATGATATAACGGTAATGTATATCTGGTAAGCAAATGTTCTTTTTTCATACCGAACAATACGCACCATGTTATGTGGATTTACATATTTGTTTTACAAGTCAAATTTATTAACAAGTAATTAATCTAGTGTTAGCTAATGTAAAATTTTTTCAAATTTTTTCATACATTGTGCTATTCAAAGTATTCCGTATCGTAAAAATCTAGATTTTCCAAATATATACAATTCTTTTGAGAAGTGACGTTCGATCAAATTCAGAGGTAGTAGAAAAAAATGTTTGGAGGTAAAATAGCAAATAAAGCATGTACTTGATTAATTTGGAAAAAGGAGATAATAATGAACATTGCTATGATATTAATGGTTTGCTGTAGAAAAGTATGTTTCACATGATAGGATGACCATTGATTGGGATGCATAAAATTGAAAACAAACGGTCTATTAATTGTGAGGATTTAACAGTATATATGTTGGTTTTTTCTCTACGGGCTTTCGAACGTGTAAAAATAATAATTGTTGCAACGCAAAACGATATATTAGTACTACTGAGCTATTTTGTGAAAGTTTATTGAATTGTTCCCTCAAAACCATTACAAGGTTATATAACCGAATATTTGAGCATTTTGATAAAACATGCATTTCATTTCTTCCTAGATTGATTGCGGATTTGTAATTAGTAATTCGGTTTGACATGACACTATTTAACAAAAGCATTTTATTACTAACTCATCAGATTAATAGAAAACATTCCGGCTTAAATACAAAAATACGCTGACAAAGACAATAATTCATTTTGCTATCATATACTAATTTATCAAACAGACACACATATCCAATGATAGGCACAGGTGTTCTGATTCCTGACTTCGTGTCAAATATCAGTTATTTTACATGCCAGGCATTATCATTTGTAATTTCACGCTAATAGAACTCTTATCCATGTATACGTCCAAAAACTAATATTTTTCTAATTTTCTGTAATTCCAATTTGCCCATTTTATTTTATTAATTCAAGTAAAACATAATTATAGTAGTAATTTCAGCAATGACCAGCGACAGTGGCCATTCTAGAAAGGTTGTCTCATGAATTACTCTTTTTATTATAGTATGTTTACTTCGCTGCCTCTCCTTTGGCGAGGTTGAGTATGATCGATGATCTGCCTCGTCAAATTTGCACAATGCCCACTATATTTTCAGCTATTGTGTTTTTAAATTTGTTGGTTGCAATGCTTTTTGTTGTAATTCATTCGTTTAATAGTTTTAGAGAGCTGTCATCTTCTTTTTCCTCTCATTTTCCATCTATCATTTTTATTTATGTCGATTCCCTTTAAGGAATGAAAAGTGGTCTTAGAATACCACATTAATATATCAAAAAAGTCATTAAGATTATATTTATCTATTCCAAGTAGGGGGTCATCAATATTCTAGCGCTAAATTGAACAGTTTTGTGCGTCACAACGGAGCTTTCCGCTTGACCAGTTAGTTCATCAGTACCATATACAACAATTTGGCACGGAATGTATATATACATTGTAACAACGAGCAACACTCAGATATTAAACAATAAATATGATTGATGGGCTCATGCGTTCTATTGTCACGGCATGTGGTTGGTTTCAAGATCTGTTCACAACCAGATGATCAAATATTATTGATTAAGAATTAACGATTTTAATTAAAATCGTATCACATTAAACCAGGCATGGTTCATTGGCTTTGATTTACAAGATTTGCTTCCGACAATGGCTGGTCTAAAAACGTTTAATTATGTGCGGGTATACGCTTGAATAATAATGGTCCAATAAAGATCAAATTTAACAAATGCAAAAATTGCCACTTGAGATATAAAAAGGAGATGATTTTGTATGTTCCACGGACCAATTAGTTTTGAAGAATAAAAAATATTCCGAATTTATTCATTTTTCCTTATTCGATAATATTTCATCTCTGCGTGGTTTCATCATATTTGATATGTTTTTATACCCGCATAATGATTACATATCTATCGTGTTTGTTAAGTATTTTCCCTCCTTATCGCATACTGTATCATTAAATATTTTTGAGCTGTATAAATGAGCTATAAAATGTTAAAACACTGAGAAAACGTAGATAATCCTTTTATTTGCAGCAAAAGTAGTGCCTTTTAATTTTAATATGCAATATTCCATATTTTCATTTTCCAATAAAAATTTATCAAAAAGCTTTTTTACCCCCGATAAGAATGTCAAATCAAGTTGATTCAGCTCGTGAGACAGAGTTGCCGACAGAGAATGAGGTTGAGCAGCTAGCCGTAAGGCGTGCCGGGCGTTTTGGTGTTTACAGAGTGGCGAAGGTTGAAGATGGCAAATTCTGGCTCATGGGCGGGATGTTCTTTTGCATCGCCTATATTTATTCGGTTATACGAGAGTTGAAAGACTCGTTCATCATCAAGCGACAGCTTCCAGCGTCTATCAGTTTTTTGAAATTGTTTTACGTCCCGCCTGTGTCAATAGCAGCGTCTGCACTGGTACAGAAGTGTCTTACCATCTCGTCGAACAAGCGAATTATGAGCTATGTTATTGCGTTTTTTGGTGCGTATTTCTTGCTTTATGGTGTGGTGATTCTGCCGTTACAAGACAAGATTGAACCAAGCAATTTCAACGCAACAGATGACTTCAGTGATTCTAAAATGGCGTATAAAGGGCTTGAGTCGGTGTCAGCAATCGTGCTTACACTGAATTGCTGGACATCTACGCTGCACTTTGTAGCATCTGAGGTGTGGGGTACGATGGTACTTTCACTTCTTTTCATGTCATTTTCGAATGATGTGTGCCCATTTAGACAGTTCATTCGATTCATGCCACTTTTCTATGTGTTATCGAACATAGCACTGATAGGATCATCGCTCACGATGTTATCATACCAGTATTACAACCAGATCGTGACATACTACGTTAAGCAGATGATGCTTAGAATAGCGTTTGTTATCATTGCAGTCTTCTGTTTGGCAACACTTGTTTTCCAGATTATTCTTGAAAAGAATGTTCTGGGCAAGGTTTTGTACACGATTGAAGGTGAAGGACAAAAACGATCAAAGAAGGCGAAACCGTCGTTTTCAGAGGGAATACGTCTTATGTTCAAGTCGAAGCTTGTCCTCGCAATATGTGGAATCGTTCTCGCCTACAACATCGGTACAAACATGGTTGAATCGTGCTACAAGAGCAGTTTGAAGATTGTGTCTATGGCGAACAAGAAAGACACCGGAAACCACGTTCTTCTCAAGTCATCCATAATACAATTTATAACCGGATCAGTGGTCATTGGATTGCTAGTATCCCCTTTTTCACGCATCATCCAGAGCCGAGGCTGGAAGATAGTAGGTATGATTCCACCGCTGGTTGCCACAGTTGGTTTCGTGTCAGTTTTCATGCTCGCTCTGTTCAACACGGGAAGAGATGGACAGAACATTCCACCCGTAAATGCAATGTTGAAGTCTGATATAAGTGAAAAAAATAGACTGTGGTTCCTGTCGTTTGAGGAGACTGCATGTGTGCTGGCCGTGTCATTCTTTAAGATTTGCAAGTATGCCGCGTTTGATATAGCAAAGGAGACATTGAGCATGAAGATAGACAAAAGATACCGAGCAAGATTTAAGGGAATTTACGATGGTGTGTGTGGCAAACTCGGTAAAGCCGGTGGAGCACTGCTCCTGCTAGCATCGAATTATATCATAAACACCACCGATATTCGTAGAGCATCTTTCTTCTATCTGATCATTTCGTTGATTATCGTGCTCGTATGGTTCTATCTCGTCAGCTATCTCGCAGGCAAATACGAGGAGTCAGTCAAATTGAAGAAGAACATCAATATTGATTTGTTCAAGGGAACGAAGAAGATGTTTAGTGATGACGAAGACGAGCCTATTACAGCTACGGGAAGTTGATAAATCAACATTAAAACGCTTTAGTTAATTTGTACTGTTTATCGGTTAATAGCACCTTATACAGCTTGCATCTGTGTTTTTATTTTCTAGCCATGCTGCTTCTGTTCCTAAAATGGGATTAAGCCTGGTTAGTGATGCAATTTTCATCTTTTGTCACATTAACGTTTTGCTTAGCGTTTTTTAGCTGTTCTCTCCTGTTTCACGTTTTTCAGTGGGATAAAAGTTATTTTTATTGGTAATCGTGTCTATTTACACATATTGATTTGTTTTTTTATTGGATTAAGGTAGCATTCGAATGTTAATTCACTCGGTCGTTATTATATAGGTGACAAAACATGTGGTGAGCAATACCTGCCACTTGATTTTTTCGTGATTCGGGGTAAATGCAACAAATGTGAACCGTACGAATCTTTGCTTCTGCAATTATTTGTGAAATATTCTCTATTTAATGTTAAAATGGGGTGGTCTCCAAGATCTAGATGTAGTACAAGCTATGGCCTGCACTTTATGGTCAATATTGCGGTTGCGGCATATTTTTCTGTTGTGGTAGGGATGCGCCTGAAGGTTTTATGCCAGCTGATGCACTAATTTCTCATGAACTAAAGACTAGTAGCCATTATCGATCCCTGTTGACCGGAAAAGTGTGTTTGTTGAATGATATTGTTGTGTGAGGAGACAGCCAAACGCATTTTTAGTACCGAAATCTTGAAAATACATTTTCGAAATTTACAGCAATATGACTCCCAGTCCTTGGCCAAAAGGACCACATTGCAATTTCACAATATACAAAATTGGTTTATCCATCATAAATCAGGCCACAACATCTTCATTGCACAAACTCGGTTATATTCACAAATATTTCTGACTCAAATATTAAAAATTTTATTGGTTTGTACCCAAATGTCGTTTATTGATGCACATGAATTTGTCGGTGAACGCAGTAATGAGATACAGGAATTGGAAAAATCTCTTCCATCGCGCAGAAAAAAGAACATGTTATTCCAGAAATTACCATTTTACATGCGTAGGCGCTCGGCATCACACTACAGAAAGCGCAAGCGAAACAAGAAAAGTGATTACTACGGCAAACGATTCAGTATGATACATGTTAATGGACACAAAATTGCTCATAAACGGTTTGAAAAGACTTTTTCACTTCTGCACAAAGGCGGAAATTATATTTATAACATGGTTCATTACCATGGATATGTTTATCGTATAGATTATGGCGTTGAACAGGAACTTAAGAACTACAAATATCATGACATAGATGCGTCAATAAACAGGAAAGAGCTAAATGATGATCAGAGTTGCGGACAAGGACGTTACTACACGTCCAATGGTGATGCCCATTTTACGTTACATTTCAATGATGAAGGCAAGTTCCATCTGTTTAAGACAAAGAAGACCCTCATTCTTGTAACGGCTAGTGTTGTGCCAGAATTTTTGCAAGCAAAGGAAATTCTTTGCGAGACAGAAAGCATATTCGAAGTACTAAAAGAAAAGGAATTATCACGCTCCGGAGTTTATAAGTTGACCAATGGTACCATTACAAAGAGCGATGTAATGATCGACGATTATTTCAGCAGTATACAAGAGGACCACGTTGTTAAACTTAATGCTGAATTTTCACTTGTTCTTATTTTCAGTAACCTGAAGAAAATATTTGGTAACATCATCCGAGTCTGGACAATAATAGGACTGGAAGAGTACATGAAGTTATCGTTAGATTATGGGTTTTTTGTTTTTCCTTTCGATGATGTAAATAGCGATTGGTACAAACAATACGAGAAGGAAGTGTTTTACGAAGAGAACCAGAAATATTTTAGAACACCGAGAGGAAAGAGATATGATTATTTGGCATTAAAAGAGAACGATAACAGTAAAATGTCACCTTGTCCTACTAATCAAACTATCACTAAGGAACGCGACACACAAAGCAATATCTTTATTTTTCCATATAAATTTCCATGTGCGCTAAAATCGCAGTTCACGTATTTATTTAAGTGTGATAAAGGAAATTTACAAAGATGTGCTCGCGTTTACCGCATGGGGGATGAAAGTGTTGTGTGTGGATATATTTTGAGAGGATCTTTCTGCTATTCTGTTGGCAAATATAGAGGCATCGTTGTTCTTTGGGAAGCCTGGGATGATAGTCAAGCGTATTTTGGTATGAACATTCGTTCCTCGCAGAAATACTCCCTCGTAAAGATTAGTTAAATAAGTGCTCTAGATTTGGTCACACTTTAGATAATTTTATCGTAGTTTTTACTCTCTAATTCGTTTATTCTGCCTGTTGCACACATCATGTGGTCGATACGGTTCTTGAAGCTAAATTCGATTTGAAGTGATTTTGAACAGAACCGGTTGTAACTATCGCTAAAAATATTGGAGCTGTCAAATTACCTTGAAAATTAGCAGGAAACGATCTTTTCTAGCCGTTTAGGATCGTAAAGAGTCCTTTAAGTACTGTTAATTGGTACTTTTTTCATAGCGAAGAAAAACAATCAACGGAAATATTAAATTCTGATCCCAAGGAACCATGAAGCATGTATCGGCACTCGAAAATTTAGTTGAGGAGACATCTCATGAGGACTTAAACTCTCGGAGTAATAGTAGATTATAAAAAATGACGTTTCGTACGCTACAACATTTGTTTTACTGCTTAACTTGGCTTTAAAAGTGCTTTATAAATACATTATCACTCATCTCTTGCACCATGAAATACGAATAGTGGTTTCAATTCGAAAACTCTTCTTCTAAAACATGAAAATATCTTCTTGTTAGCGGTCCGTATCGCGTACATATATGTAGCATCGCAGGAATGATAGCATATGATAATCTTTTATATGAATATATGAATTATTGTCATGGATAAGTTACTGTCCTTCGAGACAGGTAACCAATGTTTCTTGCCAAGTTGCCTTAAAGAAAAGTTTACCCCCACAAGCTCATGCAAAGATTTCTCGAACAGAATCCAAATTTGGTGAAGTTTTATCAGCTTGCCAATGATATTGCAAGCAAAAGAATCAATCACCACACCGCGCTACAGTATTACAAGACGAAGGAGGATGTGGCATATCTCTTCAAAATAGATAATTGGAAAGTGCTTGGTGATGTAAAGGGGACGTTACAGATGATAACAAATGACGCAGGTGAGGATGAAAGGCAAATACTCGATTTTTTGTTAAGAAAAAAACGGGTATACAAGTCGGCTTTGATCGTTATTCTGTGCATTCTTAATTTCAAGTTTGTTGTTCATACGAGAAACCAAAAAAGTCGAAAAAGAAACATGTCTACGTACAAATTTAAGTTTGAAACTGTTGAAGAAGCCTTTCTGTACTACCTGTACATCGTTTACAACGTTGATAAAAAGTATATCAGCATTTTACATGGGAAGATCAAGCAACTGCCATTAAAAATGGCGCTTGTTGCCGCGTATTCGTTGAAATACGACGAGCTAATGAAACATGTACTGGATAGATGGCAAGAGGATCGTACGGTGCCACAGTATGTTTTTGAGATATATGAACCTTCCTATGAGTACATTGCCTCTAAAATGATAACCTTGTCGAATAAAGAGTGGTTAAAAATCCTAAGAATAGTGAACATAGATAAAATGAAAATTGCCAGATCATTTCTAGGGAAATGTATGGCGGAGTTCATGAGAACAAACGATGAGCGCCTCTTGAATCGCAATTTGCGCTTCAGTGAGATCTGTTTGGAAGTTAATATGTCCGAAGATGTGTTCAGAAATCTTGAAATGAATAGTTCTAGCGGTTCAAATAGGCAAGAAAAGACTGCTAAAGCTCAAATAGAAATAAAACCTGAGCAAGTAAAAATATATGATGGAAGAAACCCTCACGCGAATCAAGAACTCCATTTCAGGTCTTCAAATATTTGCATTATGAAGAAAATAGTGTATGCATGGCTAAGAATATTACTGGCAACTAATAATCACTTGCTGTTTATAGATATTTTTGAAAAAATGAAAAAAGGTACATGTACGGAATATACGATACTTGAAAACATATATAATAAGATCATGTGCATTTTTAAAGGTATAAATCCCAATTTTGGTGATCTTTTGGATAAGTACGATGAAACCAACGAGTTTTCACCAATTTCTTTTTCAGATTTAGGAAAATATTTATGTAAAATACAAATAGTTTAAGTAAAGTCCTTTATTGCATTTCTTGTTATGTTTAATATGATTTTCATTCTAGGTTGACATCGACCATGCCATTTTCTGTGTCAAATAGGAGAAAAAAACGTTGTTACCAATAATAATGTTTATTCGTTTCATAACATTATCAGCATATTTGCGGAAGCGTTTTCACCAGTTTAAGTATTCTGATTCAGAATAATTAAGCAGATAAGCTGGCACGTTTTTGCTTTACATCTAAATATGAGAGGAGAAGAAACTCTAGATAGTCGAGCGAGAGACTAATATACCTCGTTTCTGGTGTCCAGATTAATCCTCCAGTATGAGATTCGTGATGTGTTTGATGGAGAAAAAGATATGATCCACAAGACATAGAGACGAACGATAATGACAGATGCTTAGCCTGCTCGTTACTTATCTGTAACCATTTCGACAATGCTTGCTATCCTTCAAATTCAGAAACAATACGGTCACTATAGCTCTTATCAACAAAATACGTACACTAGTACAATGGATTGAACGCTTTTTATTTGAATATTTCATTAAAAAATAACTATAAAAAGTACCACGATCACGGAGCACAGAAACAAAATTATAAAGTTCCTATAATCGCTCTTCAAACTTTCTATCGCTTTTTCAAACTTATTGCGGGCCTTAACCACGTTGTGTGCATTTTCGACCGCCTTATTTTCTATAATTTCAAGAATAGTACTTTGATTCTTTATTTCTTTGTTAATTTCCTTTATGTTTTTCTTCAATCCAACCGTAGCATCCTTTAACAGTTCATTATTCATCTTAATTTCCATACCACAGCAACAAAGAAGCGAATTCAACTTTTTGCTGAAACCTTTGTCACAAGTTTTCATGATTCACCAGACAAAAAAGCAAGATTAGGAAATACAGCTAAAACAGAATAAATTTAATTGGATTGATAGGTGCTTTGCGCATGTTTAACATACTTTAAATAAATATATATAATTACAACTGGATTATTAGCACGTATAACAATCTTTAATGGCTTGTTTGAGAGTAAACAAATGGTGGTTGATGATTTGTAGTGTTTCTTCTCGGCTCTATAATTTTAACTGAGTGAAACTGATCAAATCATTATATTTTGCATTCTTATGAATTACACCTCGATACTTGGTCAATAGTCATAACAGGTTTTCATATTACGCTGCCAATGTATGACACAACTAAGAAGAAGAACTTGAATATCTACAAAAAATAAGAAAGTTGATAGCTTCCTTTTTTTCAACTTTTCTACTTTGAACCAAACCAATTATTGCGAAATGTGGCTTCACGCAAAAAAATGTCCAGAACTCTGAAATATTCAAAAATGATAGCTTGATTTAGGAAGTATTTATCAATTGAAGCATGAATAACAACCGCATCCGCTGTGATACTGGGTTAAGCTTTGACCAAAGAATGTTTTGCTAGTTCACTACCAACAAACACGCTTGAAATAACGTGTAAAGTAACCTGTGTAATGATATCGTATTGCGTCAAGCAATGCTGCCAACATGCTAGTTAAAAGAAAATAGTCGCAATCGATATAAGCCAAGAACTCAATTTAAAAGCATTTTCCTTTCTCTATTTAATTTTATCATTCTAAGTCTCGAACCTAGAATGATTGACAATCATTTTTGCGTGTTAAAACACGCCTCTTACAATTTAATCACCAAAAAATAAATCATTTTTGTGGTCAGATGGCATAATTATCATTAAATGATAATTGAGTTGGTCAATGAACATGTACTTTGTGTATTATATCGTAAAAGGCATACAATATATGACACTCCGCGTATTCTGTTCATGTATTACGTATTTTATTTTTTAGATCTGTAAAGGCTGACTTTTTAGCAAAATTATCATTCACTGGTTCTCATCTGGTCATGCTCAGTATTTATCGTTAGGTAAAATCAGTTTGTGAGATCTCATTCGAATGGCATCTCAATTCGAATACCATCATTTGGTGAGGTTATACAAAAATTTTAAAAATTGTGAATTGCAAATCTAGCACAGAATGATTAAATTACCTCCGTAAAGGTATTTTATGACTCGAATTTTTTGTACGCTGTACGCAGATACAGATTTAAAATACCGAATCGCATGTGTAAGAATGTTATCTGATGTGTTTCAGAATAGGCAAAATTTCCATACAAGGGACAGCAAGCTTCTCCCGTACCTGCGTCACAAATAAATAAAAAATCAGAGAAAATGCATTTAGTATATCTGCAATCGTGTTGAATGATCAGAAAAAAGCTATTTACTGCGTATAACAGTTTCTATATGGTTTAATACCAGAAGGTCTTCAGGTTGCCCTGGATAGAATTCAGTATCCGATCACCGATATTCAAGTGAATAAGTCATATAATGCGGGTATTTTGGTAGATATTGAGTGTAAACAGCTATGAATGGCTCCATAGTTAAACTGATTAAATTCTTCGCCTAATTTTAGACTACCAACAGAAAATAGCTGAATAAATGAACTTCAAAAACAGCAGGCAAGATAAATCGACTGCTATTTTACAGATAAGTTACCGATATAACGAGTTGTAGTTAATGCCATCTCAATAAGGAAAAATACTCGTTTTAAGTTCAACTAAGGAATTACTTGTACACACAGACACAGGTTCAAAAAAAGTCGTGTATAAACATTTTATCACCAGGAAATGTGCCGAGAGAACATCTGCTATACTGGAACTATACAAAAAGCTTCATGTTGTTGGTAAACAAGCGCGTTCACACTAATCGATTGCAGTACTCTTACTGATGAAATGCATCATTTCATATTCACTACAAATTTCTGAGTATTTTACCACAACATGATCATCAACAATATTAGAGATAACTTTACAGCAACCTACTTACAGTTTAAGCTTGCTGTCCACAATCAAACACTCCACAATGCTTCAAACCAGTAACTTTACGCCCTTTGCGCACACTAAAGAACACGAACAGAAAGAATGAATAACCAAACGTGTACAAACCAGTTCATCTCGTCTTGTGCACATTAAATTAATCACTTGACTCATTTTAATATCTTTTTTGAACTGTCTAATTTTCTATCGTTTTATCCGCACATGTAAATTAATTGATAGATCAAGAGCCGAGTGAACGGACAGGAAAACGTATTAATGTTATTGCACTTTAATGATGAAGATGAAATTTAGTATCGTGTATTAAGTGATAAATTAAAGAATTATGTGTCGGTTTAATTGCTGTTGATGTTCTGATATATTTGGTTGCTCAAACAGATGTGATATGTTTGGCGAAGAACCAATAACTTGTTCGTGTTGTGACCCAATGATTTTATAGAAACAGGTCACTGCACTGATAAATTTTTTTTACCTCCTTTTAAATAATTGGGCCAATTTCCAGAGCATAGTATTGCTAACTTCTCAAACGTTCTGCCAACACTCGTGGGGTGATCATGAACTTTTATTGGCTGCTCACACCGAGTTGGTCATTTCAAAAACCGTGGTGCTTTTTATTTGAGCGGTTGAAACGCCCACCAAAAACCGATAAGCTGCAAAAAAGCCACAATTATTGCAAAAGGATTTTGAAACGTTCTGTAGAGACAAAACAACACACTTATCATTGAAAGGTTTGACAGAGTCGGCCAACAAGGAATTCTACCTTTATTTCACTAAAATTGAATAATTAAAAAAATAAATGTCTAACAATTAAAAAGGTATTACGGAAAAACCACAGCAAAGATGATAGCGGTGCATAGACGGGCTTTTATACTTGTTTGATATTTATCTATTTGTCTTTTAATGCTAGCTTTCTATTTGTTTGACTTATCACAAAAAGTTTTTGTTTCAAAATAAAAGATAAAAATATAAAATACGAAATACCCTTTATGATTAAAGTACTCTTAGTTTGTGATTTTTATGAAACGAAAAACATTCCGGACTCGGTGTTTACGGTGAAAAAAAACGTAACCTTATTTCCGATTTCTAATATTCCTTTAATTGAGTATATACTGGAGCTGCTCTTCAAAAACAACTTCACGGAGATCGTACTTGCTGGCTCAAGCGTGTCTATTGTGTTCGAATATCTGAAGAGAACAAAATATAACAAGCTGCTGAGTATTAACTGTCTATCGAATAGCCACACTTCGCTTGGTGACATTCTGAGAGAAATCGATGAAAAGGATTGGCGGGTCGACAATTTGCTCGTGTACTACGCAAACACTTTCGTGAACTACGATTTGCGCTTCATGTTGGATGAACACTTCAAGTCAAAGAAAAGTAACAAAAATGTCATCCTCACAACCATCTTATTTGACGAAAAAACCAGGAAGATGAACAATCTGTATGCACTGTGTGGATCCGAGATCGTATACTACGAAGAACAGAGCAAAAAGGGAAACGTTAAAGCGGATGTGTGGAACCTGATAGAAAGGTATGGAACGGTGGACTTTGCCTCTAATCTGTCGAAGTCGCGTGTGTTCGTAATTTCCTCAGAGGCGTTCCCTCTTTTTACTGAAAACTTTGATTTCCAAAGTATCGAAGATTTGATCAAGGGGTTCCAGGTGTTCAACGCTTACGGGTACAAGATAAATGCGATTCTCTCGGACGCGATCCCCTACAAGCGAACGCGTACCATGAAAGAGATCATAAACATCTCAACCATCAGTTTGAACAGTCTATCGTTCACTTCACACGTTGTCACGCAATACAGTGAGAAAATAGGCACGTGCCCTGGGAGTGTCGAGAACCAGGCCGGCGAGAACATGATGAGCCTTGGTGTTGCATATGGGAAGTCGATCACAACCCTGCAAGATTATTTTGACATAAATACCGATTTTCGATCGAGAAGATCTTCTCCCTTCTCTCTTGAGGATTACATCAACTACCCTGAAAAACACTACACATGCAGGGACGGGAATTATATCATCGACGACATCCAAGTGAACTGCTCCATAGATAAGTCAGTTTTGGGCAAATCCAAGGTAACAGAGTATACTACGATAAAGTCTTCGAACATATGTAATGGATGTGTGATCAAAGCGAATGTGATACAAGATTGTATTTTGTGGGATGATGTGAGCGTTAGCAAGAACTTGAGTGAGTGCTTGGTGATATCGAACGGTGAGGACGGGATTATTTATCTAAATCAGATTGATGAAACGGACGAGAGTGTGGACGAGAATGTGGAAGAGTTTGAGAGCACGTTCTTTACGGACGTTGTGGACTATTTGTTGGCTATGTACAAAGATGTATCGAATTTTAGGATGGATATTGATGAGGTCCTGAAACAGGTAAATCTTCTACGTATCGTTTGGAATGCGTCTAGATTCGATTTGGTCGAGGCTTTTGGCATCTTTTTGGCCGAGACATATGATCAAAATGATAAGGAAGGATCGACCATCAACGCGTCTCTCTTCTTTCCGATTTTAATCGGAATCACAGAAGATTCAAATTCGCAGGATCTGCTTTTGACATCGATTAATGCCCACCTCATAGGGTTGGATAATGGAGGAAAAAAGGAAATTGTAAGTAGGTACGGATTTCTTCTTTTAGAGGATGGTCTTGTCTCAAGAGCTGCTATAAAAAAATATAGAAATTTAATCAAAAAAAATCTTATTTAAATAAAAGAATCCTAGACACCTGATGCCTGTGCTTTCGTTAAGACGCTGATTCGCTTTCCGTATGGACTCAATAAACGTAATAAGTTATGGTGAGATGTACGCTTCGGTAGATGTTGTACACACGTGTGTAGTGAGAGGTATGTTTTCGTGAGCTTATGTAGTAGAATACCAGATGTTCCATCCTGTTTGTGATAACGGCACTTTTCTTTCCTGCTTCTGCAGGGTTTTTCAGAAGTCAAATGCAACCTGCATCGTTGCTCAGCCTACTTCAGTGTCCGTGTATCTCGTCTCTTCAATTCGCTGTAAGTGCGTTTTCGTGTTTAACAAGATTGTGGTCAATTGCTCTGGCAGCGATTTATTCGCATTTATTGTAAGAAGCTCTTTTGTACGTGCTTGCTCCAATATTAGGTTGATAGAAATAATGGTGGATGTTCGCAAGGTGATAATAATATGTAAATCCCATGTATCGTTTATGTGCAAGAGGCATAAATTCATTTTGCGATATCTGGTAAGCTCAACTCTTTGTACCAGAAGATAAAGTACTGTTCATGATCAAGCTCTAAAAATTTTATGTGCATCGTTTAGCGCTTGATCCTGTGGTTTAAAATCTATCAACCGTATCAGTGTCTGTTGTTTTTGTCATGGGAACAAATTTTGGTCTGTCAACACATCCGTAAAACAATGAAGTACACGTAGTAAATAAACGTGCTTTTGGTAGCAAAGGGTCGTTTTTGGCCGTATTAACGCAAATGTTGGGTGCAACGTATTTGTGCGCTACGAACGTGTTGTCATTTCGAAACTACGATGATGGGTTTAAAGCCTGCCACTTTTCTCAGAGTTAACCGCACCGCTTCCATATATAAGACTGAACATGCAACTCAGTTACATATTTTTATGTCTAGATCGTTTTATTCATATGTATAAGCGGCTCTTCGGTTAGATATGAATCGATGTTACTTGAACCCTGACTGTAGAAGTCAAAAAATTGAATCATTATTCGCGATATGAAATGTTCTAAAAGCATTTCATCTAATCAGATAAACACGAAATCAAGTGGTATTAAACCGCACTTTATTTTATTCAATTATGGTGTTATTTTGTTTTCAGTAAACTCCTCTTCGCACAAAGACGAGCCACAATCAATCGAAATTTTGCTACCATCTGTCACAAATAAAACTTTTTGTTGAACAGTATTCTCTGTTTCACTGTTTCTTTGTTGCCTGTAATTCTTTCTAACCATTAGTTCTTGTTTTACATTGTCGGGTTCTTGATATTTTTTATACCACTGTTTTCCCTCATAAGTGTAATTTCTTATAACATCATACGGAATTATTACATTCCTTTTTTTGTTATTTTTACTTTTGTTCCTCCATGACCTGCATTTTTTGTAGAGGAAAACGCTCATAATGACGAGCTTACTTACCAAAACAAGTGCAACCAATGCCATCACAATAATTGGGGTATACACTGGCCCTACACGCGATGAATTAGTCGAAATGTCAATTTGAAGTGTCGGCACGGTTTCGTAGTTGTATTTAATTGTTGATAGCGAATGAATTTGTGAAAATGGAGTTGGAGACAATAATTGATCACGATTTTGGACTGCTGTTGGAGAATATTTATCATAAATGCACTTGAACTGCGTAGTTTGTTTGTTTTTTACCTTTTTGCATCTCCTGCCAACATTATTGGTCTCGATTGAAGGTCTACTAGCATTTAATCGCGTTTTCCGTTTCCGAGAAAATATTCTTGTGGGTAAACAATGTTTAAGAGGTCTCATGGTCGTCTTAAACGTTTTTGGAGCCTTTAATTTTGGTTTGTTTCTGGGATGGAACAGCTTTTGATCGATTTTTTCCTTATTTGTAGTTATTACAGGCAAGTCCTCTTTTGAGAGCGAAGTTAAAGCTGTTGTAGCGGCTAATATTGCATCAGTGCTAAGTTCATTATACGGTGCATTTTCTATTGCCCTTTTCTTTGCTATTTCTTGCTTCGATACTGTTGTTTCGGTCTGATTTGTACATGTCCATTTGTTGTTCGCATCGTATACTACAACCTGGTCACTTTTACAGCCATGTTTTAATGCAAAGGATATATTACCACTGCTGCCTTGTTCCATTAAGATGTATTGCACACCAATACTTTTAATCGAATATATTTACTGCTTTTAGTATGCGTTTAATTAATTTATAATGTACGATTCTCTCGACAAGCACTGAAATGGTTTCTAGCAAAAGTTCAATGAAAAGAATCTTTGAATTTACTGTGTATCGAATTGGCACATGCAATAGATACCAATTCGGTGAATATTTTCGACAATAATCAAAAATATTTATGAAACTTGCATTGCAGAACTTCTATCACTAAGGTAGTTAGTATGGTTTTTTTTGAGTGATACTGGATAGAAACACAATTATTTTAAGCTCTAAGACTATATTAGCCGGGCCAATAAACTTGTAAGTGCATACATACTCTGTCAAGTTATGCAAAAATTCGATCAAGTGACTAGCATCATAATATGTTGTCTGATCCGACAGCAAACTTTACAGAATATCATAATATCTTTGATAATACGTATAACTATTATACCCTTGCCATAAACTCACTGTGCAATTCGCCTACCATCCTAACTCTATATACTTTAGTTCCTTAATTAAAGATGGTAAAAGCATCCATAAGACCAAGTATGGTTCAATTATATTGCTATATATGATACCTCTGGCATATCTGAAAGTCTTTAAAGATCTTAATTCATCGAATAATTTTATCTAATGTAATGTGGAGCAGAACGACACACAACTCAGAATCTAGTGACAAACTCACAGTATGGATGGGCAGCAAGCCTGTGTTATCGTAGACATAGTTATGAATATGGCATGAATTGGTACTCTCTACAGTGCTGGAAGTTCCAACACAAAAATAGCAAATCGACAATTAGTAATTTTCGATAAGAACTTCACTCAGTGGATTACGACAATATGTTAGCATTATTTCTCTTTACATATCTTGAATAATTAATCATTGCTTTACAATTTTATATTTTTCTAGTACGATGCAAAATATTCTCCGTTAGCAGACCAAACTCCCAAAAATCAATTTCTGAAAATGGCAGGAAAGTATCGAGAGAAGAAAATTATGTGAAAACACAGTGGAAAGAAATGCATCAAGAAAATAGTGCGGTTTACTAGAACACAAAACGTTATATAAGTGAGCAAACGTTCTTTTCAAATAAGAGCGGAACATGGTTATTCCTAACAGGTAAATTTATACATTTATCCTAAACCAAAGTATTGCAGCAGCTTCTCCAGGGCTGATCAATACCTTTAAACATTTATTAGTATCGTTTTTGATGACTGGCTTCTTGGACCATTCGCACACCAACATTCTTCCCGAGAGTGACTCAGGATTTCTGATTGTACCATGCACCAGATATGGCTCTGTATTATGTGGATTTAATCGCATTTTATCGTCTTGTTTCTCCTTATTTTTGTAACCAGTGTATATCCTGTGGTTATACATTAAATGTTTCATTATTAGCGATCCATGATAACATGTTGGCTATTTTGTTCAAGAAGTAAAAATTGCAAGATTTGTATCATCGTATACGTCCTTCCAAGTGAATATTCATCAAATAAGCAACAAGTAAATGTACACATGGAACACTGTTAATGAAATATTTACGTGGTTAATAGATAAAAGTATTAATACTTTGAGTTAATGAGGGAACAGTGAAAATGCTCGTATGAGTTTAGCTTTAATTCGTTCGAGAGGCATATCATCATAATTTATGGTGCAAATTACCCTTTATGATCGTGAAGCCATAATACTAGCATTGAAAAACAATTTTACCACGAAAACAAAAATAAATAACCGAAAAAACTTTATTGTGGCAGATCAACCTAAGATTCCTCCAAACTAACATCTTTATCGGCCGTTTTCTCCTCTACAGAGTGATATTGGTTCAAAATATTTTCCGGTATGCGGTTTAGCATGTCTCTGGGAAAGATCTTCAGCAGTTCCCATGCTATATCCAGGCTTTCGCCAATCGTTCTGCACTCATCATGTCTTTGTCCTATAAATTCCTTCTCAAAACGCTCCAAAAACTCGATAGATAGTTTGTCCTCCACACTTAATGATTCTTCGCCGACAACCGCCTTCATCGCCTGTGCATCCTTACCAATGGCATACTTGGCATACAATTGATTGGAAACATCACCATGATCATTTCGTGTCATGCCTTCACCTATTGCATTTTTCATCAATCGCGAAAGGCTGGGCAGTACATTTATCGGTGGATATATCTGCCGGTTATGCATTTGTCTATCAATATAAATTTGTCCCTCTGTTATATAACCGGTCAGATCGGGAATAGGATGCGTAATATCATCGTTTGGCATCGTAAGAATAGGAATTTGCGTTATCGAGCCATTTTTACCATCTATACGTCCAGCACGCTCGTACAGCATACTTAAATCCGTGTACATGCAGCCGGGGTATCCCCTTCGTCCTGGAACTTCCTCACGAGCAGCACTAACCTCTCTCAGTGCATCAGCATACGAGCTCATATCTGTCAAAATAACCAATACATGCTTTTCTGTCTCATATGCAAGATACTCAGCGGCTGTAAGTGCCAATTTAGGCGTGATAATTCGTTCTATGGTTGGATCATTGGCAAGGTTCAAAAATAAGGCAGTTCGCTCGAGTGCCCCGCTAAGCTCGAACGAACTCTTGAAAAATCTAGCTGTCTCCATGTTAACCCCCATTGCAGCAAAAACAATCGCAAAATTCTCATCCGAAGAGTCAACCACCGTTTTCTTTTTAACCAAGCCTGCCTGTCGACATATCTGCGCCGCCACGTCGTTGTGTGGAAGACCCGATCCGCTAAAAATAGGAATTTTCTGACCACGCGCAATCGAATTCATCACATCAATCGCCGATATACCCGTCTGAACCATCTCTTCAGGATATATTCTCAGTTGGGGATTGATCGGCTGACCCTGTATGTCTAGGTATTCGTCGGCAATAATCTTTGGACCGCCGTCGATCACTTTGCCGCTTCCGTTGAACACCCTACCTAGGATGTCATCACTCAAACTTATCTTAAAAGTATCTCCCGTAAAAGAAACCATCGTTCTTTTTACATCCACACCAGATGTGCTCTCGAATACTTGTACTACTGCCTTGTTTCCCGTTACTTCCAGCACCTGACCGTTTTTGTGCGACCCATCTCCCAATGTTAGACTGACCATTTCAGCATACTGCAAATTTTTTACACCGTCAAGGATTATCAATGGACCATTGACACCAACTACTTTTTTGTAACTGCATTGCGGTTCTATTACAGATCGTGACATAATTTTTAGGTCGGGGTAGAAAATTTATTGCTATAAATATTCCTGACGTGAAACATATTGAGAAAGAATAACAAATGCGAAACAATACGACTATGATATTTATTATTTATAAAGGAGGTGTATGGTGGAATGTGATACGGTGGAATATTGCTATTTGGATGAACTGATAGAAATAAATAACTTTACAATTTGAAACTAGCTCTAATTAGCATTGAAGAAAAATAGGATCCAAAACAGTTTGTAATAATAGTGTAGAGGTATTAAAGATACTAAAATATTCTCTTAAACCTTCAAAACTTTGTCTTCGCAAAACTACACGCATTTAGAAACCTATGGAGTGTCGTTTTTAGAAATTTGATTTCTAAAAGAAATAAATTAATAGGCGGTAATAAAATGAATATTTTTATTTGGAACAATAGGTACTTCATATACATCATAAAGACCTTTATAAATCTATGATCCTTGAAGGATGGTATAAGAATATCTCAATACATAGACCAGAAACATCTTATCTCAGGCCATGTTACCCACGCGAATTGTGATGTAGTCCAAGTACCTGTCAAGAATAAAATTTTTTATTGAAAAATTGATTCAATATCTATTGAACCTTGAATACCTCACCAAACAAACCATTTATTCTGGTGGCATTACATCTGTTATTTGATTGTTCTTACGCGCGTTAGCGCTCATCCAGCAATAACCACCCTTGATTTGCAGGAGACAATTTTCTAGTTCAAGCTCAAAAGTAGATCATTTATCTATTTGGATTCTATCAATAGATGTTTTTATCCGTAATTCCTCATTGATATTTGATGTACGAACAATGTTGGATTTATATTCAGTCATACGGTACCCCCACGATGTTTAATCGGTATAAACTAAAGGAATTGAAAAGGGCCAGAGAAGACCGGAACAATAGAAGCAAGGCCGTCAAACACAATGTTGTGAGCACCAAAGAGGAGTTTGATAAAGTAGTGCACATGCTCAGCACCCCCCATTTGTTTCTACATGCATATAATAAGATATTGAACAATGGTAAACTGTTGGACGATAATATATACAAATTTACAATTTTGATCTTCAGCCATCTACTCAGCAGTAAGAAGGATAAAATAATAGTGAAAAGCATAGAATGTATAAAGAAAATATGCGGATCGGTCAACTTTTTGGCTGTCAAGGAAATATCATATGATTATTTCAAGTCGCTTTTTTATCTTAACCGGTTTCCTTGCAGGCTGGTGTCTTGCTTCACGAAACACTATGGTGATTTTGCAAAAGAATACGATGAAGAATTTTGGAGCACTTTTAGAGAAAAGATGAAAATTGAGAAACCAAACAAGAAAATTATACTGAAGAAAAATCTCAATGAAAATGTCTATTTATTAAATAGTGGTATTGAATAATAATATAGAAAAATATTGTTCGTAGCAGAATGTCATTAGTGGTTGACCAGAGAAATATATTCACGTACCAATATGATTGTTGTTTCGTACGCTGTAATCCTTAGATAAAAGATAGATGGAAAGCATAATTTCTTACTTATTCAAGCATTCGTTGCGAGTCACTGTTCCATAACATCAATATAATTTCCTCTAAACCTCTCAGTTTCATATCCACTAGCTTGATGAGAATATTTCTCGTTAAACGGTTTCAAAGGTGTTTCTTCTGCCAAACAACCGTTTATATGTTAACTGTACCGCTAAATACCAACGATTTTCATAGAAGAATCACAGTTTGTTCAAAAAACACTTTTGCTGTATAAAATAAATATTTATTATTACAATGATCAGCACTGCCTTATTTTTAGCAGTCTATTATTCGTAAATCTAGTTGTGATATTCTATTCGAATTGTATTTTGGAATCTGATCAGGAATCGAAAAAAAAGTCTTTGGGCATGAATCCAAAACTTGTAATGTCAGTGTTCTCGTCAGCGAAGACATTCTGCGAAACACTCAACACTTCCAAGGCTGTTTCTATCTCGTCTCTGAACGCATCATAAAATTGATTGCGCTCCACAATAAGTTCTAGCAGCTGCTGAATATTATCTTCTGACTTCTTCTTCCTCTTATTCTTGATCCGTTTAAAGGCAACTTTCTCAATTTTTCTGTCAATTTCCCGCAAAAACTTTAGAATTGACAAAACTTCCAATTTCTTTTCCAAAATACTGCTGAGTACCTTTCGTCTGCTGTTGTTAATACTGATTTGCTTTTTTAGGACGCTCATAATTTTGTCTTCTTCCTGTATGTTAATGTTCCTAAGATCGATTTTTTCACAAAAACTTTTGTATTTTTCAAAAAACTCGCTAGCAACTGTTTCACTTTCCCTTATAGGTTTGAATAGGATGTCATCTTCATATCTATTTTTAGTAACAAAACTTTCTTCATTATTTTCACTCAGAAGCGCTGATACCAGCAAATCGTCGATATCAATTTCATTTTGTGACAGATAAATACATTTTGATTTGTACAGATTGATATTAATGTCTTCCACGTTGATTACAGGAAACGAAACGATTTCCTCAAACGCGTCTTTAGTTATGTCGCCAAAAAAGTCCTGCAGAAATATATTAAACTCATCATATGACACCTCTAATTCATTCTGTTTATTAACGTTAGGATTTTGCGTGTTAATATTTTGTACCTTCCCGTTTAAACTATCCTGTATGGTAGTTTTACCGCTTTGTTCCTTCTGGCCTATTTTTACAACATTTTGTTGTTCATGATCATCACCAATAAACTCCATTAGTTGCCAATAAGGAGGGATCATTTAATATTTTCACAAAATATTTTTGTATCATATATAATTATGCGGTATTTACTAACAAACCATGCTATTCAAAATATTATTTCTTGAGATATTGCGTGTACAGGACCGTCTCTGCGTCTATGTGCGTAATAATGCACTAAAACTTATCCAGCAGAAAGTTACCAATGACGGCATGTCTTACTCGGTTTATTGATCAGGAATATAAGTTTTGACAATGTTTATACCAAAAATCAGTGTTTATATCGATCATACTATACAGAAAGGTTTTTGCCGTTTGTATGGTATGGAATGCGATCATTAGAACTTATACAGTTTTGATTAATTATTAATAGGTCATATGTGTGTTATTCTCATATAAATAAGTGAGAATTGGGATTAATATGGTATATGAGAGAATTACCCGCCATTAAAAACATGTGAATATCACATTCTGTTGTAGCCTATTGTACGATATTAGAATAAATGGTAGAATTACTTGATAAAAAGTGGTTGTCTGGGTATTAGCTGAGTCATCTTTTGACGAGTCTCACAGTACCATATATATAAACGAATTATAATGGTATCAGAAAAAATCATTAAGCCATTATGTACTATTGCATTATTTTCTCCTGCTCCAAACTCTTTCATATGTTAACCAAATATGGTGAGTGCTATTGGCAACACAACCCTGCCCTTCTTTTGATAGCCTTGTAAATTATTTAGGTGTAATGCAGCCAGCTTGGCACCAATTCTAAATCTAAAAATACGTTGCACTGGTTCGTGTGATTTTTGTGGTTGATAAGAGCCATGTAGCATTATAACCAACAAAAAATGTTTATATACTTATTATATAATCAGATTACCACAAATATTCTATGTTCTTGATGATGCCTAGTTATATTAAGTATACTACCATAATAAGAAAATAAAAAAATTTATCGTCTAAATATGCACCGACACTGTTATCATGTTCTGTATTATCCGACAACTCTGTTACTACCATACCGCTTCATATGGTAGTATGGTAGCTAGCAACCATATATATGATGTAGTCCATGTGTGTTTTGAAAGTGTTCTACTATTATGTAGATAACACGTGATGATACATAATGATTATGAAACAATCATTTACAAGTATTGGCAATAACACTTTTATTCCTGTATCAGATAAAACATCTTCTCTAAGCTGTAGTTAGTGCAAAAGTTTTAATGAAATGTGTTTTCTTACTACTTGCGCTATTTCCGTTTACAAAACGGTAAAAACTGTTCTATTCATTCAATGATACTTTCTTCTTTTCATATGTCGTATTATTTTTTTTCTACTGTTTAAGATCTTGTGATAGAGGTTAATTAATTAGCTACTATTCGGTGAACGTGTAATTTTGATGTTGTTAGTAGAGGACAATTGAGGGCTTTTCAGAAAGAGTGAGTCACACAACAACCTTAGGCCCTTTATTCAGTGCAAATACATGAAACAAAAATTTTTTATTTTTCTTGAAGGGCCAAATAATTTATTTCACAGAACCAAGCAATCAGCTTTCGAGTTGTCTTTTTATTTATATGAGATGAGATGAGATGATGTCAGAGGCAATAAAATTAAACCATTATAGATGAATTGAACGATTTTAAACAGCATTGTGATGCTTTATTTCTTTTGAAAGAGCAACATCACAGCTATCACATACGCTTCGAGATGAAATATGCTTTTTGTTCCAAGCGTTATCCTACCGTCATATTTTGCTGTCAGTCTACATAAATTATGATGATCGATCGGTTTTACCTTAGATATCAAAATCGCAAACAAGGTTTTCAGTATCAATCGGGGCGGTACACATTTGATCAGCAGTTCATTTAACTGCAACCTAATATTTAGAACCATTGTGTTCGATTGTTCCTTCATCATCATCTCAACTACATCTGCCACAGTGATTTCCCAGTCTAATTTAAATGTGCTTTCCTGCTTTTTTAGTCGTTTTGATTTCTCTTCGCCCGCACCATCAAGCTGCGTTCTCTGCAAAAAGAAAAGTGCTCGTCTGAAATTTCCGTTGCAATCATTTATTATCTGTTTCAGCGTTTCTTTACTACCACAAATACCTTCCTGCGTATTAATCTCCGATAACGTTCTCAAAAGGAGATCAGAAGGCGCCACAGTTATCCTTAAACATAGCATCCTGCTCTTTATGGGATCGATTATACCTGTAATATCGTTACATATGAGGATCATTCTGAAATTATCGGCGTACGTTTCCACTGTGCGTCTCAGAGCAGCCTGTGCATCTTTAGTCAACTTCTCAGCCCTTGTTATCAAAATAAGCTTGAGTTTGTCTTGCCTTTTCTTCGATATTAGACTGGTTATTGGTTTCGTCTCCGCCATTTTCTTAATCACATTTTGTATCACGTCTTTGTCTTTGAAGTTGTAATCCGACGGGCATATTTCTACGTATTCGTCAGACTCGACATAAGATATCGTAATTTTTTTATCGCTTGAGCTGGTAACTTCAATGCTTCTGTGGTGAGTTTTAGGCTGCTCGCCGAATAAATGGTTGATAAACGCGTAAACAAGAGTTCGTTTACCACAACCTGGTCTTCCATGAACTATTAGATGCGGAATTGTGGATAGCGTAAAGTTTTTGAGGTTTTTTGCATGCTTCTCGTTGAATTGAATATCTTCCAACGTTTTCGGCTGATATTTCTGGTCTAAAAGCATCGGTCCAAAGGGCAGGCGGCTCTTTTCATTTTTTATAGAAGAGTGTTTACTGACGAGGTCTAAACTTGATTTATCAGAAAAATTCGGAGTAAAGAAAGGATAAGTACAATAAACAGAATATTTGTACAGTGTGCTCTGCGATTGTATGCTTTAATAAGTAAGCATTCATGACAAAGTAGAAAATACATTAGAATATGAATCATAAAAAATGGTGCTGTGTTGCCATCAAAATACGAAGTATTGAACAGGACCCGCCGTATTTGATACTTTTGTATGGAATACGATTCACACCAGCAGATACGTTAACATCCCTAAACCAAAATTTTTACCAGGTCTCTTTTCATACCATTACCTGGTCACAGAGCAGACAGGTAAAAATATTTTCTATCTTTGTTGCGTTATTAACTATGATATTCTTAGAAATATGGAAATGAAATGTTAAAGACGTTTTATTGCTTTCCATCCGAGTGTTGTGTCAGTAAAAATGAAAAATACTTATATTCATAGGAATAAATAGCTGTCAAAGATGTAACGATCCTGCCAAAACACTACGTATATTGTTTCTCAACAGTTTTTGTTCGTTAGGAATGCCGTATCTTACAACTAAAATCCGCTACAACATAGTGCCACACACTTTTTTGCGCTAATAAGTTTGTTCATGCTATCTCACCACGTATCCAAAATACTTCTTTTTCTTGAGCAATTCTATCAGAAATAGCTAAGGAATTCCATGATATTCAAATTTCGAAAAAATTGTATAATAGCGACGGAATAGTGTGAAATTCCGATCTATATTACAACAATAGTTAAATAAGGGCAAAGACAACCTACACATTCAAATATTAGGCATTTCGCTACGTGTATTTGCAATAATATACACATTTTCATTTGTCTTTATCAACAACTTTATTGTTCCATGTGACAGGTTTACTTAGTTGTGCCTGCCAACACATTTCTATGTCAATAACTGAACGAGAATGAGAGGTGTTTCCATTCTGTTGGCAAGAATGTTCATGATTACAACTGTGAACGTTTATACTACAGATACAACGTTATGACGAAAATTTTTTATTTGAATGTTAGGAGAAAATCACGAGTCCTAAGTCAATTCCATGAACCAAAAACTAGCGACTCGATCGATCCAGGAAATTTGCTTGTTTGAATGCTGTGATGGTGATAACAAATATTTTTAGCTAAAAACGGTGTTGATCGATCACAAATAAGAGCTAAAACCATAGAAAAACACAAATGAATAAAAATTGCATTTAATAATCAAAAAAATGATGGTGGTTTGCCATGTTAATCCTGAGTCAGAGGTTATCCGACTCATGTAGGAGATTTGCCTAAAATTAAACCAAAAAAATTTTGAGCCCTTCGTAAATGTCCGCTGAGAAAGTAGAAAATATTTATCCGCTCGCAGCACTGCTCTTGCACGAATGTGGTCAGGATGTGACAAAGGAGGGTATGCTGGAAATATTTGCTCATGTCAAGGCCGAGTGTCAGCCGAAATTGGCGGAGCTATACAGTTTTGATAAAGAAAGGATGGAAAGCATATATGAAATGCTGACTCAGGCACCAGTTGCTGCCTCGGGAGTAGCGGTTGCAGAGAGTGCGGCGGCGAAAGAAGAAGCTAAGCCTAAGGAGGAGGCTGCATCTGCAGCAGCTGATGACGTTGATCTGTTTGGAGACGATGATCTTTTCGGATGAGTGAATAAAGGAGTTATTTCATGAAATACGTGTTTTGAGGATAAGTGATCTAACTTGGGAGCATACTTGGTTCGTTTAGACAGTAAATTTTGCCTGCTATTTTTCCGTTGTATTTCAACAACATATTTAATTCGTACTGTCGACATCTATTACTTCGTTAAGAGCGTGAACTAATCGTGGGGACTATCGATTGAATATTGATGAAAGTACTGGACTGGTTGCAGTTACGATTAAATTTATGAGAAGCAAATTGAAAATATCAGTTACACCCTCATATGCCAAACAAATCACCATTCATGTAAATCTTCGTGTGTTTCATGTTATTGACATGAATTATCAACTGGTTTTTTGATTGGTAACATAAAAATTGCTAGAATGAGAAGCAAATCTTACAAGGCATTGTGAGTAGCGCAAAAATTTGTATACATATTGGTTTTAAATGCAACAGCCACTCGGGAAGAAATATTTGAATAAATGCTTGTTATTCTGCAATTGTTGTGCTGATTTAACCAAATAACTTTTTAAGTCAGTGACTAATTGTTTGATTATAGTCAGTATTTAGAACTATTTCGTTTATTTGTGCCTGAGTTATCAATAAAAATCAGAAAATATGTCAAAAACAGTGTTTTTACGATAAAAAATGGTATAAACTCTCAACAGTTACCATTTGGTCGCTCTAAAGTATCACACACCATAAAAAATTCTTGTAGCATGTTGATATCCATTATAACCGCTGTAACAATATTATTCTTCCATGTCACCATCTCTAGTTCTGGTTAAAAATCATTTTCGGTGGTTACAAAACCGTCAGGCCAAAAAATAAATTCAATTACCTATTATAATAATTATCACTTCGATGTCAGCCTATCTATGCCATAGCTTAACTCCAATACATCGTAATTATAACAATAAACTCTTATCTATGTATACCATTTGCCAAATTGTTTATATTTACTAAGTATAACAGTAAAAATACACATTGTTCGCTTTGCTTCTTAATACACTCCCCTAGCCTAAAATCTTCACGCAACAAAAAATTTGATTATCTTGATGTGTTATTGGCAAACTTGAACAAGTATAATTTTACCAATGTATTCTAACAAATAACCGTCATTTGCCCAAACATACTTTTCTAACGATGTAATGGCATATCCGTGGTACACAGCATTGTGCATCCAAAAGTGGTATAGCGGCAAAATATGCAACTTTTAATGACCAACCAAGTACACCACCTGAAATAAATTGAACAGAATTAGAACAAATTACGTTCACAATAAATTTTTAATTTGAATTTTAAAATGGTAGCCCTGCGTTTTATGACAAATAACAAAAATTACCAAAAACTTTCCGAAGAGGAGCTGCAAGCCGAAATAACTGCGAGTATGCCTTTCTTTGCACACCCCGATCAGACAAAAAGAAAGGAAATAGAAGACGCATTTGTCCAAATGAGCATGAACGGCAAGTATCTCTACGTTTTATCAAGAATGTATGCCTCGGACCCAAGGAAATACTTCTTGGCTGGCGTGTTACTGCGAAATTCGCTGATGGCAACGGATCCAACGTTGAAAAAGCGAATAGAGGAAAAGTATGCCAACAGTATGAACAAGGATGAAATTAAGAGCCATCTGATGGGAATGAACGATGATATTTCGGTAGACTGTGTCGCACGTATAGCATCACTAGAGCTAATCAAAAATGAATGGACTGATTTTTTTGGGGTCGGCAACACTCGCTCCCTTGTGCTTGCCATTTTGTACCTGAAGGACTACAATTTTGATTTTATTAATTACCTGGATGTGATATATCAGAGGTTGTACACAGAGCCCAAGGATCTTCTTAAAGTTATTTCCATCTTTAAAGACAGGTTGTCAAGCAACAGATTGAATCACATATTGGGAACATGTGTTGAGGCGTCAGACCTTCCGGGATTGACCATAATCTTTGACAACTTTTACAAATTTATTGTGGACAAAAATTTGTACTTTGCTTTTGTGAACTCGCTAGCTGAAAAGCTTCCAGCAGAGGTGATAAAGTTTTACGAAGTGCTTGATAGTCATCAGTGTCCATTTGAAGCAAGTATACTTTTCAAGTACTTAGAAAGTGTCGATGCGCAGGTCGTTCATTCTGTTACCAATTTGTTGTGCAGTTTCTTTGACAAACTATTTGTTGATGGGCAGAAAACATACTTGCCGTACCAGGATCGGGAAATGTTGGAGATCAAGACGTATTTAAATAACAATGAGGGAAAGGATTCATTTGTTTTGATGCTTGGATGCTGTCCGAGTGCGTACAAACAAAATTATTTGGATATTTTAGTGTGCAAGAACGCGTTCTGGCCACTTTCCAGACTGGCAGAGCAAAGATTTGATGATCTGGCTGTTTGTTTGCCGCAGATAGTGAAATGCTGCCTGATCGCAATCGATAAGGAGGTTAATGAGGATGCGTGCCAGCTCCTGCAGGTACTATCTCAACAGGTGGATAGCGAGCAATATGAAAATGAGCTTTCGTTTTGCTTTATTGATATATTGAATACGCTCATACTTACATCTGAACGGATAAATTACACTGAGTATGAGAAAAGGGCTGCCCTGTTCAGTGCATTAATCGAAACGGTGAAGGGTTGTGCCGACTCGCAACGAGCTGGACTAGAAAAACTTCTCTTTTATCTGATAAGCAAAGTCAAAGAAAGCCTAAAGATAGTTGACTCCCTCAATATGAATGAGTTTCTGATCCTGGAAGACATTTTGACGTATTATTTGAGTTTGATCGAGGAAATTCTCAGAAAACAGAAGGATACGCAGTACATCGAAGCTGTGTATGATATTTACTACGATGTGCTTAGTCTTAGGCGCATAAGCAGTCTAGTTGGTGACGTGTACATATCCCTGTCTGCACTTATAGCCGAGAACTCGTTTTTCCTGGGAAAAATGGATGAGTTAGTGCAGTTCATAGTGAGAGACATTAAATACAAGCAGGGATATGATATTTTCACGTTCAAGGCTGCACTTCTGCTCATTGGAGACATCTCACAGGTTCTATCCAAGGGAATCCTCAAGTATTCATTTTTAACTGAACTGCTTCTGAATAACTTAAGCTCCGAGTACATCCAGAGAAGCATAAAACCACTGCTATTGTCGATACTGGGCGATTTGGTATTTGCAATGGGAACATCATATGCCCACAAAGATCTCACATGTCTAATGCTCGAAGAAATATTGGGACTGGACAGAAGCCTTGACATTCTATTTATAGATGATCTTAAGAAAAGTGCTCTTATCCTCTTAGACACTCTCCTGATTACTTTTGAGCGGGAGGTCAGCAAAGAGTTGATAGTACGTTTTCTTGCGCGAGTTTCTTCGGAAGACGAGCGAAACCATTCGCTCAGGCAGCTACTTGATCTCTCATATGATTATGTCTGCTTCTACGGTGTGAACGGGCACTTAGATCTCATAAATGAGATTATAAGTAAAGGAAAGCAGGAGAACATCGACAAGACTGATCAACTGCTGAACTTGATTAAATAAAACGTACTATGTGAATGACTTTTTAGTGTTTGTCGTTATTTGTGCTTGATCTCCCGTTTTAACACTCGAGCAGCACATGGTGGACGTTTACGCAACAGGTTCGATACAGTAATGCAATTTTTGAAAAGATTTATGTCATTATCCACAACGACAATGGTAGAACCTTCAATAAGTCGTTTGATCAGTCCTTAAAATGTGTTTGAATTGCACTTATTTCCGGCCTTGTGTCTGAACAACAAATTTTAGCATTCAAACTCTGTTAAGCAACATATAAATTGTAAGACACCTCGTTCTATTGTTAGTTACTGCTAATTTTTTCCTTCACCTAGGAAAGTACGGCATTTGCAACACCAAGGAACATATTGTAGTTGGAAGAAGGAATAAGTCACTACGAGCATGAATAGCTAAATATTGCGGGTATAAACGGTGCTATACCTACACATTATGGATGTGTAGTGACCACGTAATCTCAACACGTAGAACACTCGTCGCTTAAACAAAAGAACGGTGGAGAGAAAAATCACATCAAATCACCCAATAATGCACAAATTGTGCTAAAACACCCATTTATTCATTTTTAAACTTCATTACCTGGTATAAAAATGTTCTCCACTCCTTCCTTTCGTATTACTGCCATTCTTATACACCCACCTGAAGAGTTGTCCCTATTAATAGCCAGCTGAACCAATTTCTTGGTCAATTCAAACTTCTCGTCAAATGACATATCAGACCTGTACATACTGTCACAATAACCGTATATGAAGATCGAACCGCTACCCCCCATTGCCCATTCTCTTTTAAGGAGCGTTCCCCCTAAGTTAACACTGTAAATACTTCCCTTCTCTTCTTCATCGTAGCCGGCCACAATGATAGAGGCAGTAAGCATGGGATTGTAATAAACAAGTGCGCGCACTAAGTTCGCCGCATCACGTACAAGAGGCTCTCTTTCGTTTGAATATGCGAACAAGTTCGTTTTGCTCGACGTGTACTCCGCAATAATCTGTGTATGTGACGATCTTCCTGATCTGCAGCAGTATATCCTAGGTGACAGCTTGGTGAGCTTGTTTGTCACGCGATTCATCACATAGGCTCCCATTGATGTCCGCGAATCCGCTGCCATAATTACACCACCATCAAATTTCATAGCAACAATTGTTGTTCCTGTCATTTCATACTCGGACATGTTTCGTGGGGGTACCTATTAATGTTTTTTTAACAACGACGAGGAACGAATTAAAAACTGCGAAAATAATGAGCACCTGTTTCGGCAAACAAAGGACTTAGACATATAAAAAATGATAATATAATCAGATAATCGCTTGTTTAAGATTTATTACGGCAATGCGGTCTGTTCAATCATCTGTGACTGTTATACCAGAGATATAATTTATGAAAGTATTACACGCTACCGATTAATCCAGATTTTTCCCAAAAGCCTGTTCAACAATTACTAAATATTCGGTTTGCATCCTTTCAGATGTGTGAGAGAAACTTATTAAACAATAAATTCATTCAACTGAGTTATATCTTGACGAGAATGGACAAAACATCAGGAATTAGCAATATATTAAAAATTTATAACAAAAATACCAAATGGTACGAGCATTATAGTTAGCAAACGGTGTGTCTGTCATAGTACCAAACCATTTTACCTCAAATTCTTGGCTACTGTGGACAATGAAGCACTAAGAAAAGAGTCAATCAAAGCGATAAACTGCAGATGGGACAACGGTTTCTCCACAGGTAGTTAAAGAACAAATCGCTGCTGCGATAACGAAAGCAATGAGTGTATTCAGAGACAGTAAATAATAATATACATGCAAAACATGCGAAAAAAAATGTAAAGTACCTTCAACTATCGCTTTCTTTTATTAACACAGTTACTTCCCTGTATAAATCAAATGCTTTTTTGACCTGTCCTAAAACATGTTCCATGTTATTGAAATTCAATGTGACTTTGTCAAAGGATGTATTAAATTGGTTTAACTTGTCCAAAAGCTCTTTCGAATCTCGGTTCAGCTCTGAAAGTTTATCCAGTAGTTGTTGTGCCATGACGTTTCCGATGGGCTGCTTTATAAAAGTCCAAAATTAAATTGAACGAAAGAACATGCTATTCCAAAATTCCCTTGAGTATTCTTCTATCACCACAACATATACTACGTATTTAGACAGACTATATACCCAACATAATGCTTTTTCATCATTACAAGTGTCGCCGTAATTCATGTGCTGCATATTAATCATTGTCAGAATGCCGTCCCTATATAAAGGTCATATCTCTGGTTATACAGCATTTTATGTCTATTTCGAATGCGTTCTGAATGATCGCAGTCACAAATATCACGAATTATAATAGAGTCAATTCCGAATACTTTAGTCTGGCATATCACTAAGTATCCCTACGTATACTGTTATTGAATCCAATATTAAATGTTGTGATGTACGTTAGTTATATAAAATTTTCTTCCAGCTAAGATGTGCTTGCATAGAAATTACAAGTGTGGTTCTGGTATAACGTTGTATGCTGGTTATTTGTTGCTGAATTACATTGTAAAAGCTAGGCAGATGATAAATGCTGCCATGGTCTGTGTAAATAGCTTATTGTGAAAAATAATCACACCATGTTCGTGAAATATTCTAATTTTGTTGGTGCAAAAAGTGAACCCTGGTTAAATTATCACATTGCACTCGCCACTCAGATGCCACGCAAAAGAAAGTCTTTTATCGAAAAGTATTACAAATTTGCGCTCAAAAATAATCCAAAAACTAATTGTGTGCGTATATCGCTACCACTCACAATAAAATGCACGTTCTGCAGTACTTTTGCATTCAAGGGCTCAAAACATAACGCTTTAAAGAAGAAGTCCGGAACGCAGATGGGTGCTGACAGCTTCTTATTTTTCATCCGATGCCACAAATGCAACAATGAAATGATGATACAGACCAATCCACTGCAGGGCAGTTATACCGAATACGGGGGCTGCAGATCATTAAATGAAGAGAATAGAAGCGAAAAGGATGTGGAGAAGTCATATAATACACCGAGTGCAAGTTCGGTGATAGAGAAGCTCAAAACTAGCAAAAGATTGGAGGACGTCGAAGAAGAAATAATGGCACAGCTAAGGCGATGAACTATGACAAGTGCATGATAAAATAAAATAATTTAAAGATTCAGAGCGGTTTACATCAAGCTTCATCAACAGGTGCCTGCATTTTCAAACTTCTATTTACTTAAAAAGCATTTTCAAACTTAAGGATTGAATTTATTTTCGTAAAATGATGTTGAGTCGTTTGGATAATTACTCTGTCCTGTGTTATGGATTTTTAGGTGTTGGCTCAGATTGTCCGATCTGGCAAATTTCTTAAAACACCCGGGATACTTGCATTTGAATGGTCTCTCACCCGTGTGTATCCTGTAGTGCCGCTTCAAGTGCTCAAATCTTTTGAACGCACTGCTGCAGTTTTTGTACTGGCACACAAAAGGTCGTGATGATAGGTCTGTACCTTTACTCTTCTTTCTCCTCGGCCTAATATTCTCTGTGCTTGAGTTTGAGCATTCTTTTTTGAAGATGTTATTTATAATTGAATCTATCATTTTTACATTCCATTCTCCTTTCTGTTCGCTTCTGCCGAGGAACGGCTTTTTGTCAAGATAATTTAGGTCATTAGTCTTAATCTTCTTGAAACTAATCTCTTCATCATCATTTATCTCATTCATAAGTGAAAACTCGTCTCTGAGATCATTTATATTTACACAGTTCATTCCTTTAAATTTTACCTTCTTCTGGAAGAACTCCTCTACGCTAAGAGTAATATCAATGCTTTCGAGGAATAATCGAACGAAAACATCGTAGTCCTCTTCGAGTATGTACATTTCGTCTCTTTCCTTTACAATTTTCAATTTTGTGTCGATATTATAAGGATTAAGGTCAACGACATTTTCTCCCTCCTTACATTCATTCTGTAACTTTTTGGCTATCTCGAGCAAATCTTTGAATACTTGTTTATGCTGTTTCAGATCTGCTTTCATTAACTTGTAATTGGCAAAGAATTTTTTATCTAAAACAGAATTTCAAAACGAACAAATGAAAATAGCTATGGCTTAATTTTTAATGATTGGTTCAAAAAGCACCCTTTGCAGAATAATTCGTCGAATTATTCATGTTATATTTCAGGAACAAAGCGGATATTGCTTGTGCAGGCGATTATCCCGGATTAAATACGTTACTGTATTTTGGCTAGCAAGTAAATGAAATACCGGAGCTAACAAGTAGTTTCTATCTTCTGCGCACACATTTTGCTAGGTTCAGCATATGAGCACACAATTCACATATTATAAAATCGCTACAGGCCTAAAGCAAAATTTGTTGCGTGACCCGCTGTTTCGCTACCATAGTGTGTAAGCACATATCAATTTTAGCTCCTAAATGTAATGAATATTCCAAATACCATGTTAAGGTCATCAAAAACTTGTTTCTTGGCAGTAGCTGTTCAGTAACACGGGAACGTTGTTTTAGCGATATGTATGGTTCAATGAAATAGAGTACAAATAATGTTCCTTGTTTTAATCACCAGAATTTGAAAGTAGAAAAATTATACGCAAACGGAAATGGTCATTCCACAAATGTCTTTTCCTGTAGCAATAAAACATGTTTGTTGTGATGAACGCACCGAAAAATGCCTTAGAACGACTCATAAAGACCAAAAAGTGGGTAGTAGTTATTTAGACACGAATACCTAAAATGAAGTATACCACAGTTATTAGCATTGCGAACGATGGGTTCATTCTATAGTGCCGATTGTATTGCGATAGCCAACCAATTACAGCCTTTAGCATGTTTTACTTAAAAATCAACGTAATAAAAATCTCTTCGAAACTGTGTCTTAATATTGGCCTGTTCAGCTTCCATTAGTTCTTTAATCTGGTCGAGCGCTTGACTCCTTTCATCCAGACACTCATTGTAAAGGTAGAAACAGTTGTTATCGAGCAAACAAAATCGAAGGATGCTTAGTTTATGGTGGTATTTTTGCGTTTTGTAATAGTTAATCAGCTCTGTAACGTAATACTCCTTCCCCTGTGTGATTGCCATTTTAACGAAGTTGTCAACTTCTTGAGGGAAATATAACACTAGTTTGTAGAAATTAGCAGCATATTTAACAATAAAATTGAATTTCTTGAGGTATTCTCTGTTTGCGTCATCCAGCTGACGAAATAGATTGGCATAGAACGATTCAGCATCGAATGTATTTAAGGTGAAAAGATCGCTCAAAAACGATTCAATAAACTTGTGGTAGTTTGATAGCATCAGGCTTACGATCGTTTTTTCTAGTTTGTGAATTGGTATGCTTCTCAACGCCTTTGATCCAAACAATTCTAGGTATGATGAATCGTTTTTATCGATGAAAACGTATTCATAGAACAGACTCAGAAGAAAGAAGAGGTCGTACAACGTTTTCTTAATGACCCGTTTCTCGGTATGATAGTAGGACATAGTCTTTATATTTCCGCCTACCACATTTTTTTCTCTTTTAAAAATAATCAGATTTTTGTAAATCAAAAATATTCCTTCTCCATTTACCAATAGGTACAAGTTTTTGTAGTAATCAGCAAAAGTGCAGTTCTGAATACATGTGGTGCTCTTGTAGACTAGAAAATTACCTATATCAATTATAGGTTTCGTTTCCGAGTTATAAATCATAATTTTCTTTGATGTCTTGATCTTTAGAGCCGGCGTGTTGTACATGATCACTTTGTTCTTGTAATTATAGAAATACGTGTCATCCTCCACTTTACCAGTAAAATCAAGCGTATCATCAGCATTCTTTTCTTCTTCGTATTTTCCGTATACCAGTAGAATACTTTGCTTCCGTCTAACCAACAAACTTTCATCCATTTTGCAGCTGTCTTTTAATACTAGCTCGTCTATTTTGCTATTGTATACTCTGAGTGATCCGAATATCTCTAAGTTGAGAAAATAATCCGCAATGTAAAACTTATATTCTTCAAGAAGTATCTCATCACTTTTCTTAATGAATCTATATGCCAAGAACGATTCTTCATCCACCGCATCGGCATTTATGATAAGGCTATTCTGATAGTATATGTCATTATCTTCTTTAGTGAACAGTTTTAGCGGTTTCTCTTGCTTATGCTTCTTGACTTTCAAGTTTGGATACTCATAAACGGTCATCCTTGTTGTTTTGAGCCAATAATTGCTGTTGTTGTGCACTAAATGACCATACGGTAGCCTATAAGTCGATAACAACCGATACATAGTTCGTCCATTCCCCTTTTCTTTTATTGACATGATTTTAAAAGGTAAATTAGGACTAAAAGTTTTAAACCAAGGGACCAGAAAAACAAAACGGATATGGGTGAGTACACTAAAAATATGTTGGAACTGAATTCAGAGATATCAAACTACCTATAAAGAATATATGCTGCTTTTTACATGCGTGTAAAGTGATATAAATTATAAACGAAAATGCATTACAGTTAATAACGCGAAAAAAGTAAATTACACAATTAAGCGAAATAATGATTGTAATAGATCAGAATACTGCAAACTCCTCAGCTTTAGAATATAAAAAAGTACAATTTTTAGTTTTTATTTAAAGTATTCTGATAAAATTACTATTCAGCAAATGTTTAACAACGTTTTTCTTCATGAAATAGTACCTGTTTGCTTTTAGCTCATGAATCTCGTCGCCATCCATAACTATTCCACAGTCTGCAAGTGTAATGAAGTGAACAAAATGATCTAATGGGATATATCGTACATTAAAATCTAATTCGGGAAAATTACTCGTATATTCTTCAAGAATGGCATTGAAAAATACGAAATGTTCACTCTCTTTTTTATTTGGCACACTCATACCCGAATGCTTGCCAAAAAAGCGTTGTTGTATTTTCAAAAACCTACTAAACTCGTAGTTCCTTTTCACTCTCATATAAAAGTCATACGTACTCTTCAAAAAAATATACTTTTTCGACATTTCTTCGGTGATTTCCGTAGTGTCTGCCATAGCTTGTATAGCCTCCATTTCTTTCTTGGCGTACTTTGCCCCATCCATCAGTTCCTTCATCTTGATACTGTTGTAATGCTTTAAATACTTAGATTTTGCATCCATTAACAGTTCCAAGATGGCATCATATTCCATTCTAACGGTCAAGGGGCTGTCTCAAATGAGCTACGAAATATAAAAATTTCACAATTCGACTTGTATCGCTTATTTACACTCATTTTGGCCCACGAACAGTTTATAAATTTATTTTACGGTATGAAATGGTAATTCATGGCTCAACAAGAGGAACTCGGCCGCAGTATACAATTTATTGCATAGCTAATACGGTGGTCGTACTGTTTGTGTTTTCTTTTGTAGCTTTTAAACATGCAAAATATCCTATATAAGTCATAACACATTTGCTGTCTATCGACAAGATACAGACTAGTAACAGCAAATTACTAACTATTACAGCAAAATAGCTTTTATTGTCCTGGAGTTTCCGTTATATGTTCTCAAATTTTTTATTCTATTTATATTCATTATTGTTTGATAAATGTGAAAAGCACACTTCATCTATAATGACTTAGAACTTGAACACACGCTGTTATGTTCTCCATTTTGCCTTCTAATCACTGATAAATTAGAAATATACGAAATTTATATCACCAG